TTGAAACTGATTCAGACTAGGTCCAAAAGGAATCCAAGCCAAAAATGTGTCACTGGGTGCACGAATATTGTAGACGAAATTTGAAAATGCAGTAAGAAGATAGTGTGGATGAACTTGTATCAAGCATGAAATTGTCCTGGTGTAAACTCTTCTATAATAAATTACACATTATCGAGGTGACACAACATTCGTTTTATGCCGAGTTGACCTTTAAATTTTTAGGAACCTCCAAAAATGGACAATGTTACCGATCGTTACACTAATTATGTCTACTACAAACACATTTATCCTTAATGTGCAATGTAGCAAACTGAACACCAATAAAATAATGATAATGAAAAATTTAATATGGTTGTGATAAGTTTGTCATAGTCTCTTTTTGTATACATAAATCAAGTTTGAGTTTCTTTTTTATTTAACTAAATTGCTTCAGCGCACCGTAGAGAAGCTGTGTTTCTTTGTCTGCTAATAATTTAAGGGCTCGAGGAATATCAGGTAAACGCCGAGCAACTGCACTCCTTAGAGCCATTTCGCTTACCAGTATCAAGTTCTTTGGAACATGCTCGGAAATTAGAACACATACTTGTAACAGCTTAGGTTGGTTGGTTAAGAGTTGACCCCAAACAACCAAGCATATGCCAAAACAGTATTGTTCAAGTATTCATTCACTTCCTTGTTTTGTATAAGCGTTATATTCCCTATTATCTTATATTGAATGTTGAGAGCCTTTGTTTGTCTGAACAGATAATCCCACGCTCCACTGTCACCGCGCTAAGATCGAAATAAAGACCTATTCACTACTTGTCTGGTTTCTTCTATCAATAGCACGAGAGTTACCTGTAAGCACGAAATACTCTCCTCTCGGTTCTTCCAATGTATGTACTTTGGCACGTACATGTAAATTGGTAAATGCAGTTGGAGGTACTGAGAAAAGAGGACCTGCCAATCTTAGTTTGTTTGAGCGAGCAATTCGTTTCAGGCTTGCTGATGGATAAGCAACCTTTAACGCGGCATTTATCCTGTGGTTAATTATTCCACTTGTTCCATACCTACTCCAGTTGTTTCATCTCCTTTAAAGCGAAAGTGTAAGAAGCGGGTTTTCTTTTCTTCTGCATTGTATTTAACAAGAACGTTGGTTTTGGCATATCTCTCTATGAATTTCGCTGGAAATGCACTTTCACATAGGCAATTTGTATTGAAGGCGAAGTTTATGAGCACAATCAAAAAGGGTTCGTACAAGTTCCTTTTTGTAACTTATCGGACAACGAGAACATGAATTTATCGGAAGCGTTCAGGCCATCAAACTTTTGTTCAACTTCAAAACTATCCTTCAGACTGTAGGGTGAGTCTCTTACGCGTTGGTTCTAAGCACCTAGTCAGTCAGCAGGCGAGTTTATGGAAAGGTATTTCGGTCATATATAATATTGGTTTTATCAGGATGTTGGGTTTGTATTTTAGGTAGGTCGCATAAATAAGGTAATTATGATTCTTTAGGTTTAAGTTCATTGTACGTATGATTATTGATTAGAATTCTCGTCAACAGTTCGCCCGTTTTTCAAAGACGATTCACAGTCGCATATGTTAGGACACTTTGAGGTTCCTCTGTTGCAGGTTTTTCATAAATAAATCAACTAGAATTGGACCCCGTGGGCTTCCCATGGCTAACAGCTAAATATTTCAGTTCCCCCTGTAACACTTGATAGGACCTAGGCTGAGGTCGTTTGTGTACGTTCTATGCACTTTTCCATATTGCGTTGTCTCACGAGCCACAAACTTACTATTTTAAACATCATAAGAAGAGTGATGTTATATTTAAATTGTATGTAAATTCGAATTGCTGCTTACCATCACCAAAACAGTTGATCATTTAGTGCAATTATAACACTCGCTTAGGTTGCATTCGTATTTATATGATTACAAGATTTTCTTGAAACTGATTCAGACTAGGTCCAAAAGGAATCCAAGCCAAAAATGTGTCACTGGGTGCACGAATATTGTAGACGAAATTTGAAAATGCAGTAAGAAGATAGTGTGGATGAACTTGTATCAAGCATGAAATTGTCCTGGTGTAAACTCTTCTATAATAAATTACACATTATCGAGGTGACACAACATTCGTTTTATGCCGAGTTGACCTTTAAATTTTTAGGAACCTCCAAAAATGGACAACGTTACCGATCGTTACACTAATTATGTCTACTACAAACACATTTATCCTTAATGTGCTAAGTTGTAAATAATCGGAAGCATGCTTTGAGATACTGGTTGACTTTACCGCAGAGAAATATTGGTAGCAGCATACATTATCCGTCCGTCCTATGTTGAAGTGAATGGGATTCCGGGTGTCAGCTCGATTGCAAATCACTATGTTGTCACATACACAGCCAAGATGGAGGCTCCGCAATGAGCCAAACATAATAGTTGGGCAATTCCGTGAAGCCAATTGAATCTGTGACACTTATAAGGGATCAAAAGTTTATGTCAAGTTTTAGGTAATTAGAATAAATAACTAAATAAATGTGTCATTCAACTATGTAGTTACCTTGATAGTTTAGCATTATGTTCGAGAAGCGTTTACCTGAAGATCGGGGAAGTGCTATCAACACTAAAATCACACAGATGATTATGTGATTCTTCGTTAACTAACTAGTAGAGTTTCAGCAAAATGCCAATAACACCCAAAGCCGATTATCAGTAAAGGAACAAAAGTATTCTCTTCCCGACCAACAACGATGGTGACGCCGCTAACCTTCTGGTGGCACATTACTCTCAAACATTTCAGCCGGCTGACATCAACTTTATTGACGACAGTTTCATCTGCAATTCCACAGGGCTTTCCGAAGCGGGCTTAAGCACTTAAGACTAAATACTTGTCCTGGCCCGGATATGGTTCATTCTGCCATACTGAGGGAGGCAGCCTCAATCCTGGCAACGCCGCTTAGCGTGATGTTTTCACACTCGCTAAGCCGAGGAAAACTACCGGAAAGTTGGAAGTTGGCTCACATCACACCAATTTTCAAAGGGGGTCGACGCAATGAAACTTCAAGTTATCGGCCGGTGGCTCTTCTGTCATTACCTTCAAAACTCATGGAGTCCCTGATATTCGATGGCATATATGATTATTTACTGTCCTTAAATTTATTCTCACCCCAACAGAATGGTTTCAGGAAGGGTTACTCTTGTATAACCAACCTGCTGACTGCGGTGGACAGATGGACAAGCATCCTCGATCGCAAGGGAAAGGTTGATATCATATATCTTGACTTCTCAAAAGCTTTTGATAAAGTTAACCACTTGTGTCTTATCAATAAGCTCAAACGACTAGGTATCACACCACCTCTAATCGATTGGCTTACTTCATACCTAGAAAATCGACACTTAAAGGTGAGGGTTAATTTCACTTTATTTCAGGCTATGGAATGTTCTAGTGGGGTCCCCCAGTGCTCAGTACTAGGACCTCTTCTCTTCTTGATCTACATAAACGATCTTCCTCAACAGGTAACGTCAGACTTATTACTTTTTGCCGATGACGTGAAACTTTGGAGAGAGATACGCAACCAAGACGATATACAGGCACTTCAGGAGGATCTGACTTGACTTCAAAGTTGGGCAGATGATAACGGACTTACCTTTAACACTTCAAAGTGTAAAGTAGTCCATCTGCGACATGTCGCAGACTACAGTTATAACTTAGGAAACTCCTCTCTAGTGGTATCCCAAGTCGAAAAAGATTTAGGAGTCCTGGTTCCCCATGATTTAAAGTCTTACGCTAATTGTGACAAAAATGCCTTCCGAGCAAACCTTGCACTGGTAACATTGAAGCGCATTTTTGGCCAGTTTGACAGAAGAACTTTTCTTACAATCTTCAATAGTTTTATCTTTACCCATTTAGATTACGGAAATATAGTACTCCCCCCTCACTCCAAAAGGACAAGGTCACTTTGGGGCGTATCCAACGGCGAGCCACGAAATCAGTTCGCGGACTCAAATCTAAGCCTTACGAAGAACGCCTCCATTCACTAGACCTTTACCCATTAGAGTATACGCGTCTTAGAGGTGATTTATTAATGGCTCATAGTATTCTTAACACTTCTGGACATCCTCTTAAACACCTACTCAAGCTTAGTTCGAATAATAACCTAAGGGGTAACACCCAGAAACTGGAAACTCAACATAGCAAGACGGGATGTAGACACAAATTCAACTCCTTAAGAGTTGTCAAAAGCTGGAATTCGCTGCCGGCCGAGCTAGTCCAAGCGACTTCTCAGGAGTCCTTCAAGAGGCAACTTGACTTATTCTTAAGGACAAAGGACAGTATCACACTATGATATACCAATTTCTTCTCCTCTTCTATTGTTAACATACCTAGGTTCCTGCCTGGAGGATTTGGTGATCCCCTGCTACTAGACACGGAAGACTGTTAAGCGAAAGCTTCTTTTATTCCGTCCACAACCATTTGAACCATTTGAATCACTCTGAGCCTCACTCATCATCCTAGCAAGTAAAAAGATCCCACTCTCATTTTATGTTCTAATTACTGTCAGGTCAACGCCACAAAAAACGTTTTTCCCTTTGGCAAAAACACGTTTGACTCAATTAGAGGAGTCTGTTAGTTCTGGTCATCGAGTCTCTCACTGAGGTGTTTGGAAGTAGAACTACGGCCACTGGATGGGAATGAATATCAATTTAATATACCATCTAGTCGTAAAGAATTTCAGGTAATTCCTTTGAAGTTGATTAACGCTTCATCTACAATCCAGGGATTGACGCAAGTGGTTTTTCACGGATTAGTGCCCCGAAAATGTTAGATATACCTCGACAACATTGTCATTCACTTTTTAAGGATAATTATTTCAAGTGTGATCTACGTTCAAGATTTACCATCGATTGTTATTTTTATGGAGATCTTTTAGGTCCTTCCTGATCTCCAATGAACGATTCCAACATTTTACAGAGAAACGAATGTGGCTTCGTCCAGGTCAGTGAATATCAAGGCCGTACCCACACTCACCGGCGCTGTTTGTAAGTGTCTTAATTTTTGGAGATTTTGTAAGTATAGGTTTCGGGGTAACAATAAGTTAGGGATTTCTCTACAGGCGTATCGATCGGTACAATGGATCACATCTAAAAAAATTTAATGACACTGTAATTTATGGGCGACCAGATAGAATTAAGAATACCAGGTCATGGATTTGGGCGCGAAATTTATTCGTCCATGTAATTAAATAACATTCCAAGAATGTTGTTGATAACAGTTCTGGATGGAAACCGTTACTTTTATTTTTGATTTCAAATTCTTGATTTTCAGTGTTAACCCATCAATAAGTTATGACTGTTTCCTGACTCCAATAAGTATACCTACAGGTCAATCGTTGCAATTGCGACCTTAAGGTCACTCTAGCGTCATTCAAAAGTTATTGAGGATAAAAACAGCTTATCTAGTATCTTCACTCAGTTATGATTCAATTAACTAGTTCTTGACTTGATTTTGCAGCGCGGAATACGGATTTAGTGTTCTTTTTATTCCGGATCTTGGCTATGGGACAAATTTGTCTTCATATTAATATGAAGACCAACATACAGTACCAATTGTTGTTGTGCGTAGCCCCGTGAAAGGGCTTTACGTTGCTTGGTTTTCTCTTTTGACTTTAAAGTTGGTCCTATTTGTTACCATGCCAGTAATCAGAGAGGTGAGACTAGTTGCATCTAATTAGCCCCTCAACATTAAAAGTTACAAATATGGTCAGCCTAATTTGTCCCTATAAACCTAACCCCACACCTAGACCTTAAACTTCCTCTGTGACTGACCGCCAGTCATAAACCGGAAGATTTTATATACTATTTCCTCCAAAACGTACAGATCTGTAAGCATTGAATAACAGCTGAAAACAAAATAAGCTAACTGGTAGACTTGCTAGACTATACATCGCTCCAGTGAGCCTTTTCGTCTTTTTGATTGTTTAAAGGTGCAACAGCAGTTCTTGATGAAGCGTCGCAAAAATAGTATACTTACACGTCGATATTTTTTCTTTCATGGGAAAAATGGGAACTACTATACCCCACCGCTATTTATTCCACACGAAATTCCATAAATACTTAAGTGATCAAAGTTATTTATGTACATATTTGTCAACACTTTTACCCCAATAATCAGTAACAACCACACTTGATAATATGGTGTGAATATGCCAGCATAACGATGTTTTGGATTTTACTCATTAATAATATAAGGCTTGCCATAAATATGCATCATTCCAAGTTCCCGCACCTCACACTAGAATATTGAGATTAAATTAACTTGGCAGGTAAGTTGTTGTGGTTGTGAAAACCAAACAGGACATAGTTGTTCGAAAATAGGCAACTTTAGTGAGGAAATACCAAATGACTTGTGTGGCGCATATGTATTCAGTGCTCCTTTGTACCAATATTTATGTGTTCAAATAAATAAATAAGTTATTTTGTAACCCAAGATCTAGATAGTAAGTGCAGATATGACTACATCAAATAACATTTGAAATTGCCCCACAGTTTTCCAGCAGTTGAATATGTTTATCTTTTAGATGTTAACTATGGAGTTCATAAATGCCAGTTCGAGATAAAAGGACATATAGTCAGTCAGTCACTTATTAACAACGTGAAACTTCGTGCGTACGTACATCAGTTCGAGTTGCCATACCACATTAGCACTGAGATGCAGTTATCGATTCAATCCCGTAGTGGTAGAGGTAGTACGAGTATAAGCAGTACTCGGAAACATTAGGGTATGAAGATGTTATTCAAGGAGTATAATCTAGTGAAATAAATTTGGGAAGAAAATAAAGGACATGAAGGATTCAGAAGATTAGAATTTGGGAGAACACAAAGAGTGAATGCACCTGTGCCATCGCAAACGATTTTGAGCCATGTCATTCAGGGTCTCTAACCATTGGTTGCTATCATCTCGCGGTCCCCAACCAGGTAGTCTATACCTGCCAACATGGCTCAGTCCACTTGTCAGTGACTTCATGGATTTGTGCCATGTTTTGGTCTGGCCGCCCCTAGCTTTCTTCCAATCTACTCCTACACCAGAAAACATCGCGCGTCGAGGCAGTCGGTGGTTGGACACACGTAATGTGTCCCAGCCATCTCAACTGGTGAAGTTTTACTACTCCATCAATTGGTTTGCCATCCTTACCTAGTACCCGTTTCCTAACAACTGAGTTATTTACTCGGTGGTCCCAGAATATATGCGCAATGTTTCGAAGACATCTATGATCGAATACTAGTAACCTGCGAATATCCTATACTCTTACCGGCCATGTTTCATTGCCATAAAGTAGGACGGAACGAACTGCTGCGCAGTAAACACGTCATTTGGTTGGTAGACGGATATCTCGCCTATTCCATAAATGACGCAAGTTGACAAAAGCTAATCGAGCCTTCTGTATCCGTGCTGAGATTTCGTCACACACCAGACCACAAGGACTAATGAGACTTCCACAAGGATGTACATCTAACTGATAGACCAATATAAATCTTTGGACTTTATGAATTGGAAAGATAGAGTTCCCCAACTGTCGTCAAAGAATATTTCGAACATTATCTGGCAACCGCATGTCCATCAGTTTGTGATCGATGGTTTTCTAAATAAAATGAGTACACACTCGATACATTGCAGTGTTAATCCTGGTAGCCTAAGTAGAGAGACAATGTACTTCAGTATGTCTTTTTAGATAACTAGTGAGCTGTTAACCAAAGGAATAAATAGTCAATTTAGAGGTTGACTAATCAGATTAGTGAGTACTAATATTGTTGAGCTAATGCCTCGATTTGGGTACCCGGGCAGTATCCTATCCCTCACAAATCGAATAGTGTGGCACGTACCTATTTGGTGCCTCCTTTTACCAATGTTTATGTGTTTAAATAAATAAATAGCATGATATAAATAAAAATAATATATTTGTAATATCCCAATGAGTAGAAAATTGGATTTTCTGACGTTTCACTCATTGGGATATTACAAATATATTATTTTTATTTATAACAATGAACCCAATGCTCAATTTATTCGAAATTATCAAATCAAACCTTGGTAATGACACCTACAAATAGCATGATAATTGATACATCATAGTTATGGTCTATCAAAAAATATACAGCTGTGTTGTGGGAAAAAGGTGCTCAGACAGTCGTGAAAGCAATCTTCAAAAAATTGGCCACTTTCTCAAGCACTTAAATGCACTTATACTTAGATGGAGGTACAAACCTTAATAGCTGTGTTTGAAAATCTGTCGAGTCCTGTATTCTATGCCTAACAATCATCTTAATTGTTTGGGGACTGAGTAACCTACAGACTAATTTTCTTCGAGTGCCTGTGATCTATCATGTCAATTTTACGTCAATATTTTGCATGTAATCATGTCATTTTATTACACAGAGCTATTCTGTTGATCTTGTCTTTGATTTGAAATCACTCTTAGGCTTATGTCAATAGCAGTCTCGTGAATGGGCATCATTCGACCACATTACATTATTGCACATCATCAAACGATTAAGATTCTGTCCTTTCATAAATTTTGTTTACAAAATCATTAACATCATAACCCACAATATATGTACATAAAAACAAGTTTCTGTTCGTTCAGAAAATAGGTTGGTTTAGTGAACGCATTTTTAAATAAACATAGATTTTGACTTAATTTGCTAACCTACGGGGGAAACCACATGTCGGAAAGACATCTATGGTTTATTATGGATGTAAATATTACTATAAGTGGTTGTAAAGCTATGTGAAAACATCAAAGTATTGTAAATTTGTTCACATCAAACTAGTAGCGTCATTGACTGTAGAAAACATTCTTGGGATGAAAATGGTCACGAAAAATAGTATAGTCAGTCAAATCAATTGATCGGATTAATTTAATTCAATCAGTCAACTACAACGTATGTGCATCGGTCCAAGTTGCCATATCTCATTAGCACAACATGATGAACACCGGATTCATAGAAGTAGTTAATTCAGTGGTGGTAATATATAAGAGAAGGATTGCATATAAGGACATAGTACAGGAAGAAAGAGTTAGCTTGTAGAAAGAAAGATATGAAGCGATTTTAATCTGATAGCTTAAGGGAAGACAGGGAGCGTACAGACCGACGCCATTGTGATCGATTCTGTGCCATGACACCCACAGCCTCCAACAATTGGTTACGTTAGTCACGCGGACCCCAACCAAGTGGTCTTCATCTACCAACATGGCTCATACCAGAGGTTAGTGACTTCAAGCACTGATGCCACGTTTTGGTTTGGCCGCTCCCAACTTTCTTCCAACCATCCCCTACACTAGTCAGCATTGCGCGTCGTGGTAATCGGTGTTCAGGCATACGTAACACGTAACTCAACCATCTCAGTTGATGAAGATTCACAACCTCATCAACTGATTTACCATCATTCCCTAATAGCCTACGTCTAACCTCACTATTACTTACCCGGTGATCCCAGCAGATGCCAGCAATATCTCTAAGGCATCTGTGGTCAAATACTAGTACCTTACGAGTATCTTTTACTCAATGGCAGGTTTCGCAGCCGCAAAGTAAAACAGAACGAACTGCTGTGCAGTATACTCATCCTTTAATTGATAGACGAATATTTCGATTTCACCAAAGGTGGCGTATGTCGGCAAAAGCAAACGAGCCTTTTGAATCCGTGCAGAGATTTCGTCAAAAATCAATCCATTAGGGCTGATCAGACATCCAAGATAAATGAAGCTTTCGACGCGTTCGACTACTTCACTTCCTATCCTTAGTTCAGATGTTGATGCAGGCCAGTCCTGAAGCAACAACTTGTATTTAGAGTGGCAGAAACGCATCCCAAATATTCTGGCATTGTTGCTCAGTGCTATCAAAAGACTCTGCATTTTATCAGCGTCTTCACCAAACAGGACTATATCATCTACGTATTCTAAGTCGGTAAGTGTACCTCCTGGTAGGAGATCAATGCCTGAAAATCCAGTCGATGAAAGCGTTATTTCCATCAGTAGGTCTATGATGAAGTTGAACAAAATGGAGAAAGTGGACAGCCTTGGCGGACACCACTTGAGGTTGCAAAAGCAGATGACATTTCGCCATAAGCTCTGACTCGACTAGTAGTGTTCGAGTAAAGAGCCCTCACAAGGTTCATATACTTCTGAGTTACGCCTTTCAATGAAAGACACTGTCACAGAACCTCTCGGCCTACGGAGTCAAATGCTGCTTTTAAGTCGAGAAAGACCACCATTGTCGGACGCCGATAAGCATGCCTGTGTTCTAGGACCTGACGAATGGTGAATATGTTGTCGATGCAGCCACAACCAGATCTGAAGCCAGCCTGATTTTCTCATGTTTGCAGTTCACGAATCTTAGTTAGGCGTTCTATAATTATTGATTCTAGTATTTTAGATGCTATATTAGTCGAACTAATCTCTCTATGGTTATTACAGGATGATTTTGACCCGTTCTTATATATTGGGACAATCAGTGATTGTGACTAGTCAGATTGAGTTACGTCCAACTCTCAGGTTTTAGCTTGAATATTACTCAACGTAATCACTGGAACTGGACCTCCAACCTTAAATGAATCTGGAGTTAATCCATATGAACCAGCTACTCTTCCTCGTTTCAGATCAGTTATAGCATTTTGAAATTCAGCTCGAGTCGGGGACCTACTTCAATATTCAATTCACGCTGTCTGGAAATGGTGGGTAGTTGTAGAGTAGTTAAAGGCCAGCTGAACTGCTCCTTAAAATATTCCGCCCATAGTTCTAAACGTCTGGACTGGGAGCAGATAAGAGTGTCGTCTTTTTCCGAAATAGTATCGCTTACACTTGACTTATTAATTCCTGTTTCTTGTATTAGTCTGTAGAGCTGTCTGGCGTTACCTACAGCCTCTGCTTTTTCCATCTCTTTAGCTCTCGTTGCCCACCACTGATCATGCTTGTTGCGTAAACTTTTGCTTAACCTAGATCTGATTTGTTTCCGCTCTTCGTCGTGTTCAGAGCCTGATGGGATGAGTTTACGAGAATCCATCAGTGCGATAGACTTAGAAGAAATCAATTGGTTTTTTATAACTCTTTGGCTTAAGTCATTAACAGATGTCGCTGCGGTTTCCACAGCTGTTTGTATATCTTTCCCAGAAACATCTGGATCAGCCTCGTTTTCAGGACTACTTAAGTGCAACCTTAGTTGTTCTTGGAACCTACTTTTGTATTTCTCATTACTCAATTCAATCCTAATGGGTCTTTTTAGTGTGGATTTTCTGCGTCCAATGAGGCACAAGCAGATACGTGCCCGTATTAAAGCATGGTCGGAGTCCAAACAGGTATTTCAGAATGAGCGAAAATCTCCTATCGACCCTCTCCAACGATGACTGATGGCAGTATGGTTATTTGAGTCCATCGTTGGTTTGGTGCAAGGGGTCGCCTTGCTAAACAATGTCTCTCATTATGCTTAAAATTAGTTCGCTAAAAATAAACGATTGTCTGAGCACAGTTGCAGCAGACGATCACCATTATCTGTTCGCTTTGCCGGAATCCCAAAGTACCCACCTAAATGCCTTTTTGCTTGGTTTAAGCTACCTACATGGGCATTGAAATCACCTGCTACGAGTACTATGTCTGAACGTTTAGCTTTCTGAAGTTTATTCGGAAATGAGTAGGTCTGTATCAACCAAATAAACTTCTTAATTGGAATTCGAGAAATAGAAGACATAGCTTTCGTTTCTCACAGAAGTCCACCATGGTTAAATAAAGTCAGTATATTGCAAAATGTCATTATTTCACTAGATATTACCAACAAGCTCATTTTAATTAGATCACAGTCAAGTTTTTCTTACTTGTTTTTCAGATCATAAGATAAAAAGGAAGGATTTCTTAGTTGTTCATTGTCCTATCCCTTTTGAAGGTTTCTGTTTTCATGTTGGAATTTTATCTGTCTTAAACAAAATTCACTTCCTCCTGTTGTGGTGATTACCGAGAACACAAGCTAACATCTATGAAGGAAAAGATTCATAACTCTGGAAACTAAGCATAATAATCGACTTTCAAAGAAACTACTTCAGTTGCTACGAAAGATTATTGGTGTTTAGAGTTTTGTTCAGATTGAAGACTGCACCTCTTTGAATGATTTTATCCTGAAATTATTTCAGCCTTTACGTAACATTCTACATACGTCGTTAAAATTCATCCAAATCTTGTTTTAAGGCTTCTGTTAGTTCTCAATGGCTCGTACTTTCTTTAATTTTGTTTGGGTGACAAAGAAAAATATTCTGCTTTTTTGGCGTTCGTGGTTCCAGGCTATCTTTGTAATTGTTGTTCCTTTGCTCTTAGTAAGTGTGCTTGTTTTCTTACGTGGAAGGGCAACAAGAGAGGTAGTAAAGCAGCCTTTAAATTGGTCTTCCTTTCGTGTAGATAGTGGTTTTTATTTTTCTCATAAATATGTGGCATACGCTCCCAATGATACACTAAATCTCCAACTCATGAACGCGGTTCATATGTATACGAATTTACAACCTTTTGGCTTTAAAACGGAAGGTGATGCTATTGCGTTCTTTCAGAGCAATGATGTCAGATCCAAAGAAACATTAGGAGCCGTGATCTTTGATCCTTTTTCCAATTTGAGTGTGGCAAGTTATACCATAAGACTTCGCTCAAAAAATGACTGGTCTACGAGAGTGTTATTCCCAATGTTTTTCAAAGGCGGCCCAAGGTCTAAGGATATTGCAGCGTCTCCTCCAAACTATAAGGAGGAATTTTTAGTTTTACAATATGCTATAGATCGCTCCTTAATCAACATAAATTGCAAAGCGAATGATTCCTCCCAAAAATTGAAGGTCGTATTACAACGAATGCCGTTTCCACCTTATATCAAAGATGAGTTTATAATTATCATCCAAAAGCAACTGGCACTTATGTTGATATTGGGCTTCATTTTCCCAACATTGTATTGCACTCGACTTATCCTGATCGAAAAACAACGAGGAATGAAAGTAAGGTCTAATCTTATATTTTCAGTTGTAGGAAATGTTAAAGCTCCTGGGATTAGGAGAATCAACGTATTGGTTTTCCTGGTTGATTACAAACTTATTTGTGTTTACTCTCATTAGCCTCTTTCTTAGTATTTTACTCTGTTTCCAATTATCAGGAAATGGCCCTATTTTGGGGCTATCAAATCCATTCCTTATTTTTTTGTCATTGCTCTTATACGGTGTCAGTATTTTTACGTTCGGATTTGCTCTTTCTACTTTATTCAACTCTGGTAAGTGTACATAGTTTTCCTTTTGATTTTTATGGTCTGAGAAGTTTCAGTTGCTGTTTTTACAAATTTTCCTGGTTGACTAGTTATAGAAGTAGCATACGACGTAATTACTATTAATAAGATCGATTATATATGCCTTTATAAGCATTTCAAAATTTTATGGTCAAACAATTGAACTCGGGTTTGTCTTGTTATTGAATGGTGAGTGAAAGATAATTAGGAACTATTTAACCCAACTCTTGCTTTGATTAGAAGATGAATTGGAGAGATCGCTATATCATTTTATAAGAGGGGGCTTAGTGGTTGAATCAATTGACTTACAATCAATATATGACGATTTCGAACCCCATAACAGCTTTCAATAGGTATGTGGTAGCACTAGCTCTCGCACAAAAAGTGTAGATGAAAGCTAATTAAATAACATGTACTTATCCATTGAGTCATATGAATTAATAAATGAACCTTATTTTCTGGATTTTGGTATAATTCAACTCGGTTTTTATAGGTAGACATACGACATAGGTTATATTATAGAACTGCATTTATTCAAATTGCCTGTATATAATAGTCTAAAAAGAGTAATAAATAATAATAAGTTAAAACAAGCAAGACATGTGCAAGTGACAGAAAAATAATTAGAAAGCACCAAAATATTTAAGACTTCGGGAAGAACAAAAGGTAAATAAGTCTGTACTATTGTTTTAAATTTTTAACTATAACGTCCATGTATTCCTATAATCTTCAGGAATTGTCAGCTATTTTTTAATTCATCTAAAAGTTTAAGTAGATTTCCAGACAACCTTTAGATAACTACTCCTTACTTTTTGAGTATTGACTTGATATATTCGTATTATTATTATTATTATTATTATTATTATTATTATTATTATTATTATTATTATTATTATTATTAAATTTTCACACGAACGCTGGTACAAGGGGGCACCAAAGACATATGCCACACAATAGCAATGAGGCCAGTAGTTTTTATCATTGATTTGTGTGTTGGCTATGATAATTTCAGGGTGCCCAAACAGAAGCAGTTCGTTTACATAGGGGTCACATCCAGAGCCTTCGACCTAAAGGTCTGATCTACAAGGCAGTGGAGCAACGGTAGGAGATGCAGTCCTATGGTAGCCGGTAACCAACTATTCGTTCTTACACCATTTGTTTCTTCAGGATCCATGGAGTCCACGTGCACCATTGGTTCGGAATCAGAGTTTTTCAACTCCCCTAGGTGGACTCTCCGTCTCCGCTAACCCGGTTAAAGTGCCAGACATTCGCTTTTCGTCCTCTCAGTCTCGTAAACAACACCCCCACCGCGAAAAGGCAATGAGTAGGATTTCCCTGACAGTGGCTGTATACGCGAGGCCATATGAGAGCATTTCTAGGGGGACAGCAGACTCTTTCGACCCTCGACTGTACCAGGGCATTCGGAGGCATTCGTAGTATATTTAACTGTTTTGCATTATTTTACAACATACTCAAGTATGGAAGGCCTAGCCGTATATACTAAAAAGTCATAATAAGCTATCAGTCAGTCAGTAACAACGTAGAACTTCGTACGTACGTACATCAGTTCGAGTTGCCACACCACCTTAACACAGAGATGCAGTTGTCGATTCTAATCCCGTAGTGGTAGAGGTAGCAAGAGTGTAAGCAATGATCGGGAAGATTAGGGTTTGGAGATGTTATTTAAAGAGTATAATTCAGTGAAATAAATTTGGAAAGAGGAAAAAAGGGACATGAAGAATTCAGAAGATTAGAATTTGGGAGAACACAAAGAGTGGATGCACCTGCGCCATTGCAAACGATTTTGAGCCATGTCATTCAGGGTCTCTAACGATCGGTTGCTATCATCTCGCGGTCCCCAACCAGGTAGTCTATACCTATCAACATGACTCAGACCACTTGTCAGTGACTTCATGGACTTGTGCCATGTTTTGGTCTGGCCGCCCCTAGCTTTCTTCCAATCTACTCCTACACCAGAAAACATCGCACGTCGAGGCAGTCGGTCGTTGGGCATACGTAACACGTGTCCCAGCCATCTCAACTGATGAAGTTTCACTACTTCATCAATTGATTTGCCATCCTTACCTAGTACCCGTTTCCTAACAACTGCTTTACTTACTCGATGGTCCCATGATATACGAGCAATGTTTCGAAGACATCTATGATCGAATACTAGTAACCTACGAATATCCTCTACTCTTACCGGCCATGTTTCACTGCCATAAAGTAGGACGGGACGTACTGCTGCACAGTAAACACGTCCTTTGGTTGATGGACGGATATCTCGCCTACGCCAAAAATGACGCAAGTTCGCAAAAGCTAATCGAGCCTTCTGTATCCGTGCTGAGATTTCGTCACATACCAGACCACAAGGGCTGATGAGACTTCCAAGATAAGTGAAGCGGTCGACACACTCAACTACTTCACTCCCTATCAATAGTTCGGGTGTCGATGTAACCCAATCCTGAAGCAACATTTTGCATTTCGAGGGAGAGAATCGCATCCCGAACATGCTTGCATTGTTGCTTAGAGTGGTCAGAATACTCTGCATTTTGTCAGCGTCTTCGCCAAATAAAACTATGTCATCAGCATATTCTAAGTCAACAAGTGAACCTCCCGGTAGAAGTCCAACCCCTGGAAATTTAGATGAGGAGAGTGTCATCTCTAAAAGTACGTCGACCACAAAGTTGAACAAGAATGGAGAGAGTGGACAGCCCTGACGAACACCACTTGAGGTAATCAATTCTGATGACAGTTCGCCATAAGCTCTCACTCTACCAGTTGTGTTCGAGTAGAGAGCCTGAATAAGGTTAATGTACTTTGGTACTCCTTTCAGTGACAAACACTGCCATAGAACCCTACGATCAACAGAGTCGAATGCCGCCTTAAGGTCGAGAAATACTACCATTGTCGGGCGTCTAAACGTGTGTCTGTGTTCTAGAACCTGACGTAGTGTGAATATTTGGTCTATACAACCACGTCCAGGTCGAAAACCAGCCTGATTTTCTCTAGTCTGTTCTTCACGAGCTCTGGTTAGGCGTCGAAGTATTATTGAAGCTAATATTTTAGACACTATATTAGTCAAACTGATTCCTCTGTGATTGTCACAAGAGGACTTTTGTTTTTTCTAATAAACTGGCACAATCAGTGATTGAGACCAGTCAGATTGGATTACGTCCAGTTCCCAAATTCTACCTAAGACCTCGGTTAATCTCATTGCTAATAATGGACCACCATCCTTAAAAATCTCAGGAGTAAACCTGTCAGGGCCTGCTGCTCTCCCTCGTTTCAGATTTCCTATGGCTTTTTCAACTTCGTTAAGAGACGGAGGACCTACATTAACTTGCCATTCAGGTTGACTGGGGATCGTGGGAAACCGAAGTGTGGCTGAAGGCCAGTTGAACTGATCCCTGAAGTGTTCTGCCCATCGATCCAACCTCCTGGATAGGGAATGAATAATATGTCCATCTTTCTCTGAGATTGTTTCGCTAACGGTCGGGTTCCTAATTCCGGTTTCCTTAACGAGTCTGAACAATTGTCTGCTATTACCTATTGCCGCTGCCTTCTCCATCTCTCTTGCTTTCGCTACCCACCACTGTTCACGATCATTGCGTAGACTTCTTGTCAGCTTGCGCTTAAGCTGACTCCGCTCTTCATTATGTTCAGAGCCAGATGGAATGAGTTTCCGAGCATCTTTCAGTGCGATAGATGCTGCTGAGATCCAGTGTTGCTCCCTAACCTTCTGATTTACCTTACTAGTCGATATCATTGCTGTTTCCACAGCTTTTCGGATATCATTCCATACTGCCTCGGGGTGGGCATCACATACATGGCTGCCTAACTGTTTTCCTAGTTGTTCCTGAAATATACTCTTAGCTTGACTATCATTAAGTAGGCCCCTAAGAGGTTTACTTGCAGCGTCTTTCCTACGTCCAGTAAGACGCAAGCAAATACGCGTTCGCACTAGAGCATGATCTGAATCTAAGCATGTGCTCCAGAATGAGCGACAGTCTTCTATCGAGCCCCTCCATCGGTGGCTGATGGCGATGTGATCTATTTGTGTCCAACGTTGGGACGAATTAGGGGGTCGCCATGTTAAAAGATGTTTTTCCTTATGCTTAAAGTTAGTATTTGCAAGGAACAGGCGATTATCTGAGCATAGCTGCGACAGACGGTCGCCATTATCTGTTCTTTGAGCCACGACACCATAAGATCCACCTAGGTGTCTTTCCCTATCGCTTAGTTTACCTACTTGAGCATTAAAGTCACCGGCCACTATTACTACATCCGAGCGCCTAGCTTTTCGGAGAAGGTCGGAAAGCTTTCTGTAAAACTCATCTTTTACATCATCTGGGCTGCGGTCAGTGGGAGAATAGGCAGAGACGACGAAGAGGCAACGACGGGTGTCCCTATCTTTCCGGATTCTTACTGTTCCGTTCAGTCGGACAGCGCACAAACGGCTGTCTACTGGGATCCACTCTAAGAGAGCTAATTCTGCTCTGGGACTCAATGCTATGCCTACGCCAGCGAGGCCACGGGAAGCAGAATCAGGGCTTCCAGATACACGAAGCGTAAATCGAGTCGGTTCTTTATTTTGGCATGGTGAAGTCAAGTGAATGACGCTACTTGAATCTTGTATGCGCGTTTCGGAGACGCAGCACACATCGATGGGGCGAGATTCTAAATTCCTAGCCAAGGAAGTCTGCTGTCCTATTTGGCACAGTGTTCGGACGTTAAAAGCTCCTACGTGTAGTTTAGAGCGTGGTTTCAGGAGACCAGGAATAGAGTTCCACGTACTCGAATCGTTTGCCCTAGCGGTGCGAGGTGATACAGAGACATGAGGAGGGTTAGTCATGGAGATAAGAGAGGTATTAGAAGGTGTAGTAAGGATTTGAATGTGACCAACTTGGTCTCGTGTGCTGTTACGGGTATGAGGGCTGGTGTCACTTCCCAGCTGCCCACACCGTGAAAGGGTATTTCTTGAGGAATCTGAAAATGAAATTGGATTAGTGTTGGTCTTGACGACCTGGGAGCGTGACCGCAGAGCCCAAGGGACAACTGCTCGAGGCCGGTCGCGCACGGTCTTTTTGTGGAAGGTTTTTGACGTGTTAGCTCCGTTCTTCAAAGGGCCTTACCGCCGGAGACGGAAATCCGTGAGGTAAGGTGAGGTGTGACATTTTTAGGGTCGACCTTTTCTAACCCCACCCCTCCTTGTGGGAAGGCAGCATCGCTGTCATGCTGGTTGTCTGAGGGAAACACCTTACTGCTGTCACACCTCTCTACAGTCAGCAGTACGACTTCGCCCTCAGACCTTGAGTTGCTGCTTTTAGTCTTACCGTTCACCAATCGACCTGCCTGGCATGGTAGAACCTACAGGAACATATGTTCCAGCCAATATAGCTCGTTTGGGTCATCACGATAGTCAAGCCCGACCACCGCGTCAAGGTAGCAGCTTCGGTAGGATCCAATAAAGTAAAAATACATCTTTCAAAAAAATTTACTTAAATTGAGATAACTTTCGAAATCGAATAAAATGTGTAGATATACGGAACTGCTTGTTAACGATATGGGAATGCCATTCATGATTATTGCAAAAAGTCCTCATAAAGTATAAACCAACGTTCTCATAAGCTTATCTGGTCAAAATCTTTGTATGTAAGTGAAAAATAGAAACATAATCCACAAAATGATATATTCATCATTGATATTTATCATTACTATTATAAAATCACAATTTAATCTTAATTGAAATGTCTCTTTAATCTCATTATAACATCATAAAAACTCCTACGTAAAGAAATATATGGGGAATAGATCCATACCTGATCCAAAATCGATAGGGCAACGGTAATCCTGTATGCGGTACTCAGTTCGATTTACTGGAGGATTCTCCATATAAAAAGTTTGTAGGTAATGATAATACGCCTGCTGATATTTATGCATTTGCTCGGGTGAAATATCACTGACTACAAATGTCTGAGATTGATGTATCGTCTTTCAAAAGCTTACCAGCATGGATAAGTCTTTGAGATGAGACACTAGGTTGAGCGGGATGATGCTCTGATAAGTAGTTTTTCAAGTCACTGGCCAGCCAGTGAGAAAGGCATTGCACAGTCAAACTAGGTATTTTGTCACCAGGTGATTTGATCACGGCCTTAAACCTCTTATCACCCATCATCCTAGATGACGTAAAGCTGTAGATGAAAACCCAAATAATAAGCTATCAAGTGCTGTTCAACAATCGTTCTTTTTAAGTTGATTTATAAATCAACTTAGTCATTGGTTTCGGACCACCTTATCATTGGGATCCAGCTAAGAACTTATCTCCATCCGTACTTTTTATCCTGCTAAATAGGTTTCGTCTGCTGGAATAAAACCTTAACCTTTGGTACTATATATATATATATATATATATATATATATATATATATATATATATATATATATATATATATATATATATATATATTCATGTTATAGTTTTGAAATACTGTTGCTTATTTCCAAGGCTTCATCAAACGACCCATGTAAAAGAATTTTAGTATTAAGCTGTCACTGGTATTTTTATGAAGTTCCTGTGAATTATGAGCATTTACCTAGAGACGGAATCACTACTGAGGAAAACTGTTATGTATGTTAAATGTTTAACTTACTTGTGCTTGGTATTCAAACCTCAAATCTGACGAAGCATAGTGAGAATATAGAAGTCGGTAATTAGGATTTATTTGACTTCCAAAACAAATCAGATTGATAAATGAATACATTCCGTTATACGTTGATTTTACTCACATTTGATGATCAGTTAACATTTATCACACATAGGATAAACAATAAGAATTACTACAAATTCCAAATTACGAAGTTTACACTGAATCGATGCAAAGAATATTATCTTGAACAAACATCATACGGAAAAAAATCAACGTTATACTGAACAAAATACCACACCAAAAATAAAGCAGATATTACACTGAGTAATTACCATAATGAATTAAAATTGGGAATAATGTTGAAAGAAATACAAATACGTAATTTAGCCTATTTCTCCTGTCATATCAAAATTATCCCACAAAATGTATAATTTTATTTGTCTGCTAATGATTGTCAACGTTTTCGAAATGCCATCATGGCCAAATATGTTTTAATTTAATAGTTGATTAGTGTTTGAAAATACAACGGTCTGGAAAATTCATTATATAAATGCACACAAAAAAGTAATTTAATTTATTTATGTGCTTCTAGTAAATATCATGAAGCCATCTAACGTGTTTAAAATAAGCTTTTTAAACAGTTCACTCTATATTTACTGTTTAAAATAACAAATGTCTTCCTTAATTTTTGCTTACATTATAGCTCATACTGGTGTGGCAATAGTTTGTACAGTTCTGATTGTTATCTCATTACCTTACCCACTTTTGGAACGACATTATAATGAACTAAACATATTCATTAAAATGTTTGCTTGTTTATTACCCAGTTTAGGCATGGGTTTCTTATGCATTTTAATTGGGCAATTCGAGGGCGCAGGTAATGTACTCAATTACTTAAAATAATGACGTTTTAATGTTCTGTTTCATTTTTGGGTTATGATCTATACCCTGAATGTTTCGTCCTTTTTGTCGACAAGGGCCGATATTAAAACCCAGCCACACTTCTATTTTGGCTACGTTTAATGGAATTATTGCGTCTATTTACAGAAATCAATTCTAATTACTTTTGCAAAACAAATTTTTGATCGACATATCGTGAACCATTCGTTTCACACATCTAGTAGTGCACAGTGACGTCCCCAATTCGTAATTTTATCATGTAATCAAGTCTATAGTTGTGTTTAACATTCATTTCTTGGAATACACTTTTTATTCTGAGCTGTGATCCAAGGCATCTGAAATGTACACCATGCGAACTTTTCATTATTTCAAGACGGAAACATCAATTGACCATTGTTACCTGTTTTCAACTGACACCATTAAATGTACAAGACCCGGAAGCGAGTATATCATAACGGTATTACCGGATGAAAACTATTTTAGTAATGAGTTCCAGTTACTTTTTTATAAGACCCTTTTTATTTCAATGAACTGTTAAACTGCACTTATCGCTTATTACTGTTACATTGTAGGTTTGGGTGTACAATTCTCATCTTATTTCAAACCAGCTTCTCCAGATGACAGTCTATCTATTCATCTCCTGTGCTCAATGTTTATTTTCGATTCTATTGTATTTCTGATACTTACTCATTATATAAGTGCTGTTTGGCCTGGAAAATACGGTATTCCCAAACCATGGTACTTCCCATTTCTCGTAAGCCTCATTTGTCGCTATAAACAGTATTGTTGTCCTGAATAATATCAAACTAACCACTTTTTCACTCACTGTATTCACAATTGTTAATATGTAGGTTATTATGATGGATTTGAATTTGTCCTACAGCTTTGATATTATCGTCAGTATTATTGTGGCCATAAGTTACACCTAGTTTTGAATTATGTAGTGAAAAATTCTTGTTTAATTCAAAAATAATTAAATTTCATGGGAGATTTTAAGTGGCTGTTCTATTGCTTTAAAAGGGTTACTAAAGCCGCAATGAATCGGCCAACTGATTAAATCACCGCAAAACTTAGGGGCAAACTCAGATCGGTTCACACCTCCATATTTTTAAATTACCTGATTAAACGAAACTGGTAGATATAATAAGAAAAATAAAAGCAAACAAATATTCAGAATAGGATGTTGTTCATTATTTAGAGATAGATAATTAAATGACGCATTTAAACCGTGTTACTGGAGTTTCATTTTCACTTCTTTAGCCTTAAGAAGAAATCTAGTCAAAATTTTTTAATTCCCAACAATATATAATCCTGTTATCGTAAACCTAACGCTCGACGTTGAACTTATCGACTTGCGAACCTTGAAATTATATAATATACTGCAAACACAAGTTACGAAAACCACTAAATCTACAACCATACTTGCTCTGACCAAATTGTGATGGTCTAATGGTTGAACCACTCAAATTTCTACTACCGTATCTCAGGACCGGGACATTTATTTTAGTATGCTCTGTCAGGCAGCATCACTTATCCTCACTTGAAGTGTAGTTCAAAATCGCGTGCACACGCTTCTTCTTGGTTACTGAGTTGCATTCAAGTTGTTAGGGATAAAATTTTGCGAGTTCCTATTGTGAAGCTTTTGGTGATTATGTCAGCCTAGTAGAATTGAATGACGGGCATTTCTCGGACTAAAGTGAAAACTAAAAACCACGGATTGACTAGTGTTAAGAACCCTCAGCACTTTATTCTAACCGTAGCTGCTACCTTGACGTGGTGGTGGAGCGTGCCTATCGTGATGATACAACCGGGCTATATTGGCTAGAACATATTTTCCTTTAGGTCGTATTATGCAAGACAGGTCGATTGGAGAACAGTAAAACTAAAAGTAACAACTTAAGGTTCGAAAGCGTAGTCGTACTACTGACTTTGGAGATTTGTAACAGCAATAAGATGTTTCTCTCGGACAACCGGCATCTTCAACGACGCTTCCTTCTCACAACGAAACGAACGGGATCAGAAATGATTGACCCTAAAAATGCCATGCCTTACCTTACCCCACGGATTTCCGTCGCTGGCGTTATGACCTTTTGAAGTGCAGAGCTAACACATCCAAAACGTACCATAAAAAAGCTGTACGCGACCGACCTCAAGCAGCTGTCTCTTGGGCTCTGTGGTCACGCTCCCAGGTCGCTAAGACCATTAATTCAGCTTCTCTTTCAAGTTCCTCAAGAATAAATGTCCTTCCATGGTGTGGGCAACTAAGAAGTGATAACCTTTCTCATATCTCTAACATCTTGTTGATAATCGAATCCCTCCAGCTCTTAATAATACTTTCATCCTCACGACTAACCTTTCTCATTTATTTGCATTGCCACGCGCCACCGGTGCTAATGATTTTAGTTCACGAAATGTTATTCCTAGCCTCCTGAAACCACGCTCTACATTATATGTTGGGGCCTTTAATGTTCGAACCTTGTGTCAGATAGGACAACAGGCTTCTTTAACTAATACTCTAAAATCTTTCGCCGTCGATGTATGCTGCATCTCTGAAACGCGCATACAAGATTCAACTATGGTCACTCATCTGACCTCACCTTGTCAATCTAACGAACCGTCTCCTCGTGCTACTTCCTGCGACCTCGCTGGTGTAGGTGTAGCATTAAGTTCTAAAGTAGAACAGGCTCTGTTAGACGAGACCAGTAGATAGTTGCTTGTGCTTTGTTCGACTAAACGGGACAGTAAGGGCTTGGAAAGATAGAGACGTACGCCATTAGTTTTTTGTTGTCTCTACCCACGCTCCCACTAATTAACGCGAATAAAGTAAAATATGAATTTCATGAGAAGCTGTCCATTCTCCTTCAAAAGGCTAAATGCTCTGATATAGTAATAATGGTAGGTGATTTTGATGCTCAAGTAGATAAGATAAACTAAATCGAACCACATTTGGGTGGATCTTACGGTGTTGCGGCTCAGCGAACAGATGATGGCGACTGTTACAACTATGCTCTGGCAAAAACCAACTTTAAACCTAAGGCAAAATATCATCTGTGGTGACCTCCAAAATCGACTCATCGATGGACTCAACTCGATCATATTTCCATTAGCCGTCGTTGGAGGTGCTCGATAGATGACTTTCCCTTATTCTGGAGCACATGTTTAGACTCAGACGACGCTCTAGTTCGAGCATCGATTTTTCTGCGTCCTACTGGACTCAATAAAGGCACAACTAAGAAACTCCTTAGAGTTCAACTAAATGATAAAAAAGTTAAGAGTATATTTCGGAAACAACTAGAGAAGAAATAAGTCAACCATAAAAGTGATATCTACCCCAAGGTAGCTTGTCATGATATCCAAAATACCGTAGAAACAACAGTGATATCTACTGGTAACTTGAACCAAAATGTTAGGAAAAGTCAGTGGATTTCAGCAGTGTCTACAGAACTAATAGGTACTCAGAAACTCATCCTGTCGGGCTCTGGACATGTGGGGAGTAGAAGCAGCCTAAACATAGACTGACCGAAATCCTACGTAGTGATTGTGAGCAGTAGTAGGCAGTAAATGCAGAAGAAACGGAAAAGACAGCAGGATTAGCTAATAGTAGACAACTGTACAGAATTATCAATGAAACGAGTAGTAGAAATACGGTTGTTAGTGAACCTACCTCGGAAAAAGAAGGGAATATTGTTCATTATGGATTCAGGAGACTGAAATGATAAGCAGAACACTTTAGGGGACAGTCCAAATGGCCTCCAACCACACTTCAGTTACTTACTATCTCCAAGAAACATGAATGACAAACTGATGCAAGTCTCCCAACTACTTGTGAGGTCAAAAAGACTAAGTAACCTAAAACGAGAAAGAAAAGTAAGGTGTGATAGACTAGTTTTTGGAATTTTTAGAATGGTGGTTCAGTTTTAGCAGTAAGATTAACTGAAATCTTAGCTAAAATCTGGGAACTGGACTTAATCCCATCTAAATGGTCTCGATCGCTGGTCGTTCCAGTTTATAAGAAAAGACAAAATTCCTCTTGTAACAATCACAGAGGAATTAGTTCAACTAATATACTGTCTAAAATATTGGCCTTAATAATACTTCAACGACTAACTAGGGCTCATGAAAACCAAGCTGGTTTCAGACGTGGACGTACAGACCAAATATTCACCCTTGGGTAGATTCTGGAACATAGATATACATCCCGACGCCCGACTATAGTTGGATTCCTTGATCTTGATATGGCGTTCGACTCGATTGATCATGAGGTTCTATTGCAGCGTCTGTTATTGAAAGGTGTAACAAAGTACATTAACCTCGTACAGGCTTTCTACTCGAACACTTTTGGTCGAGTTGGAGCTTATGGTGAACTGTCGTCAAAATTGGTTATTTGGTTTGATGTTCCTCAGGGTTTTCCGCTGTCTTCACTTTTAATTAACTTTGTCGTAAACGTTCTCTGATAGATGACACACTCAACCTCTGACTTTTCATGGAGTCAGTCCACCGGGATATTCACTTGTTGACTTAGGATACGCAGATAATAAAGTTCTATTTGGTGAAAATGCTGACAAAATATAGTCTTCTGATCGTCTTAAACAATAATGCCAGCATGTTTGGGATGTGGTTCTCTCCATCAAAATGTGAAGTGTTCTTTCAGGGTTAGGTTGAGTTATCGCACGAATTAATGACAGAGAGGGAAATAATTGAACACATCGACCGTTTCATTTTGAGAGTCTCTTCAGTACTGATGATCTGGTGTCGGACGAAATCTCAGCACGGATTCAGAAGGCTCGATTGGCTTTTTTTTCACTTTCACCACTTGTTGAGCAGGCGAGGTGTCTGTCTTCTATCTAAGGTAGCAAAATTACTGCGCAGCAGTTCTTTTCGTTCTACTTTGTGGATGTGAAACATGACCGTTAAGAGTGGAGGATATTCGTAGGTTCGACCATAAATGTCTACGAATCATTACTTGTGCATTTTGGAATCACAGAGTAAGCAATGCTTGGGTTAGGAATATGGTACTAGGTAAGGATGACAAATTGATTGGTGCGGTAGTAAATCTTCATCAACTGAGGTGATCAGGACGTGTCATGTATGCCGATCCACTGCCTACATCAACGGGTGATGTCCGGTGTAGGAGTATCCTGAAAGGAAGCTGAGGGAGGCCAAAGCGAAACATGGCATCCGTCCACAAAGTCACTGACAATTGAACTTAGCCATGTTAATAAATGTAGACTACTTAGTTAAGATCCGCGTGATTATCTTAACTAATCGTTAGGGACTTCGAATGGTATGGCTCAAAATCGTTTGAAATGGCGAAGGTGCATCCATTCTTTGTTTTTCTCTAGACTTTAAACTCCTTAATTCCTCATAACTTTTTTGTTTTTATTCCACTGACTTTGTTTTCTTCTAGAATCGTATCTCCAATGCTTAGTCTTTCCTATTACCTCTGATAATGTTACTACCTCTAATATTCTGGGATTTGACCTTACTGCTTCATCTCTGTGCTAATTGGATATGGCAACTTGAATCGATTTACATACGTACAGGTTCTACGTTGTGACTGAATTGGTTCAAAAGTATGGTTGTTATGTCCTTGTTTTGTCTATTAACTAGTCTGTGCTTAGTATACAGGGAGAGAGAAAGTTGTGTCGTTCTAGTTTACGGCCTTAATTCGGTAGGTTACCTAGTACAATCTTGCAAATGAGCGGTTTTGAAGGCAGACAGAAAAAACTATCCGACTACCGAGTTATGAATCAATAGGTTGACAAGCGGAGAGAAAAAGACTTAGTTGGTACCGATATCCGGTGTATTCTTGATTCTATCAACTAATAATACACATATGACCAACAGAACCATTACGCACAAAGGAACGACAATCATATCCAAACTACAACATTAGGATAAACAAAATGGTATACAAGGGTTACGTTTAGATTACAGTAATTTCTGAGTAGAAAAAAATGACAATTTATACACTACATAAAAGTTGATGATTCATAAAATAAAGCAGGCACAAAACAATATTGGTACTTTACAGATTTCGAACTAAGCGAAACAGTTTGAAAATGAGTAACTTTCCTTGTTTGCCATTGTTTTTTATCCCTTTCTTTACAAAGAAATCATTGGATAGGAAACCTCGAGAGCCAACGAGTACATTCCCCTGATTAGTGGGAATATCAAAATGGAACAGTTATGTAGTGTTTTATTGTTTTCAATGATTTTCTCACTGTAGTAGCTCATGTGAACAGTTTTGATTGTTTGCTATATTGTTTATGCAATGTTTTTCAGTGTTTATGTAGGCGAAAACTAACTTTCGAAGTCCTGCTTGATAACCTAAAGCCGAATGAGCTGACAAGAAATGTAAAAGAAACAACAAGATTACTCTCTTTGCCAAATACTGATGGTAGAAATGAAGAGTTGCAAACAAATCAACAAATCAACATTAATAATACTGAGTTTATTCCATCAGATCCATTTCCTGAAAAAAACGAACCTTTACTTGAGCATAATGGTGATGGCGTTGACACACTTGAACGACTATCTACACCAAGTTCAGACATGCATGAATATTTCGAAACCGAACCTATTGGTTTACAAGTTGGGATTGCAATTGATCACTTATGTAAAGTAATTGTAATGCTGTCATAATCATAACATTAATATTTAACATGTACTCAGTATTCTGCACATTGCTTTTAGTTTATCATGACGTTACCAAATGTCCACAATTTACTTGCCGATACCTATGGCTCTTGCTCTACTCGATAAAGTAATACGCATATATATTTTTACTGTGCTCTTGTATTATAGGCTTGGCTAATTTAGGTAGGTCTCGGGACCGCGTGGAAGTGAGGAATAAAGGTGCAGACAAGCTGTTGCTCTCTGGAAAATTATTCATCTAGTCGAGTTCACCGTCTATATATATATAGACCATGGTGAAAACCATTTTCAAACTGATTGATTTGTATTGGAAGTTTGGATGTTTTCGTTGATGTTTAAAACTGGTATCAGTCAGTCACTTTATGGAGTATATGTATCCTGTGCGGATGGTCTCGATATTGTCTTACGTCACAAGCATTATAAGCAGAGGTGGATGGTGGCTAGCAATGGAATCCATGATGCACGTTTAGTACTATTCGGGACTCGTCAGCTGGGTGTACCTGAATCCCAGAAACTGATCAATTGCAATCCTCAACATCAATCTGAAGATTCAAACAACCAATACAAATGAATTAGACTTCACTCCATTCCACATGCCAGTAGTTATCTGGACAACTCAATGGCGTTTGAAGTGAACAGTGCTGGATTCGAGTTCCAGAGTAAACATTAATTTTGAGGTGCAAGTACATTCGGCTGACGAATCCCGGATAGGAAGAAATGTACGTATATATATATATATATATACTCCATAAAGTGACTGACTGATACCAGTTTTAAACATCAACGAAAACATCCAAACTTCCAATACAAATCAATCAGTTTGAAAATGGTTTTCTCCATGGTCTAGATTCAGTTGACAAACCATTCGAAACTGGGATTAATGAACAGTCGCTTCGTCGTAGTTTGAGTCTCATCAGTAATTCTACTTGGAGACTAGAACAGTGATAAAACAATCTCATGAGTACTTGATCTTCAAAGGATCAAGCACCACTCCATCTATCTAGGCTTAGCATTCATAGCTCTCGTTTCATAAATCAATATGCCTTATAAACATGTAAACCAAGTTGTTTGTGATAATGGCTGAGTTTCATTTACAAGTAGATTTTATTAGGCTAACACTCCGATTTGAATGAATCTAGACTCACATGCTATAGAAATTATTACTGTTACTATCATTAATTTATTATCGTTTATTTTGTCATACGGTCTTCCTTTGATTGCTTCTTATTTTATGTACACCAAAACCATCCCTTCACTCATACGTTTGCATTCACTTATGTAAACTCTTCAAATCCTGTTCAATTATTACGCAACCTATATATATAATTCTGTTAATTCTCCCACATTATATCTTAGTTCAATGTTACCTTTCAATACGCATATGATTTGAAGCAATTAATCCCTTTGATAAGTTTCGATAGTGTAATAAGACGAAGATTATCAGAACTATGTGATATATTAGCGCAACACAAGTATATATGTGATCAGATTGTTCGAAATGTAATGCAATGTAAACTTCTAAATATAATGGATTCACTTTATTCTACATTAATATTGTTTTGGCTTTGTTCAAATATAGAAACTTTTTTAAACTCCCATTTTCAGAACAATTGATCATTATTTAGTCCTCCCAAATTTATTCTTTTTCTGTGAAAATTGATGATTAAATCATTTTTCCATAGGTCTATTCTAACAAGCAATCTACGGTTGTTGCTGTGTCTGGTTTAACAATGAACATTTATGAAGGCCAAATAACTGTACTTCTAGGGCATAATGGGGCTGGTAAAACTACGACTCTATCCATACTGACCGGTAAATGATTATGATATAGTGTTTTATTATATTCTGCACTGTTTGTCATTAATCTTTGCTAATCACAGGTAATTATCTCATTTCTGATGCTTCGTAAATTATTGTCATTAGTAGTCATTTTTTGAGTTAATGAATATTTTCTAAGTGAACTGCTAATTAATTCAGATCACGTTAAAAAAAAGAGGGGCTATCGACCGATCAAACTTCATGGTTAATTGTACTTAGAAGTCATCCAATGAGTTTTAAAGTCGTGTTTCACACACTTCCAACTGCAAATTAGTACGTTGAATAAAATGAAAATATTGTGAAAGAAGTTAAAACAAACGCGCGGATGATCTGGCGATGAATTGGTGTGCAATCAATAAACTACCAAAATAGATCATCTTTTTGATAAAAGTGAAAATTTTGTGACAGACCAACCTAATGATGTAATTATTACCTGAAAAGTTAAAGAAATTACATATATCGGATATGCGGCTCCTATGTCTCAGATGCAGTTCATATTTAAACAGGAAGATTACCGGTATCACTAGTTTGATGTTAATCTGCCTGAACAAAAAGACAGATTTGGCCATTAGGAGAATAATGAATGAATGACGTGTATGTGTTTGCAAATAGAACATTTCACAAGAGTGCGTTATGCATACTAAAATGTTATATCAACATCAGCAATAAATATCAGTTCCCCAACTATTTATTTGTTCTAGTACAAATTATTGTTATAAATGCTTTTGAGATAAATAATTCACACTGTATATACTACCGATTAGAAATTTAAGTGTTTAGATATCATAGATATAGTCCCCTTGGTCTGTGCGTGTTTAATCTCAAGTAGGGTGTCATCTCCTCTAGTGTCTGAACCTATGTATAAACTGTATCTTCGGGCCGATCAAGTATTGGCTTATGTCATCAAGGGTACAGTTATGGTACAGGTTCTTATCAGTTAGCAAACAACTTATTTTCCTACCTCTCAGTGTTCAAAATCTATTATTTATTACCCGTAGATTTTCTAAGTACAATCAATCACAGATAAGAGTATAATCACATTCACTAACTCCTCTTTCACACCTTTATATGGTCAGTTTTTGAGTCCATTGTGGGTGGTATTATACAGTATAATTTAGAGATATTAAAAGATGTCTTCTTACACTACTAACTTCTACTGAAGGACTATTCTTATCTATTCCTGAAGATAAATTAGCTTTAAAATCTCGTTAGTACCACTAACTACAAAATGATCAGATGAATAGAGCAATGGAAGAATAATGGAAATTGCGATTATTTGATTTATTTTTTATGAGACATTTTCAAATTTTAACCATGTAGGTAGGCATTATGAAACACCTGACGTTTGTATCTTTCAATCAAATGTATCTGATATTGGTTATCTTAGTATAAAACCCTTACCAGATAAACAGGTAGATAGAAATGACGTAAAAAATATCTAACGAGTGAAGAAATACTTATTATATCAACAAAGGTTAAAAAACTACAAAAAGAGGGAGAACAAGGCTGAGGTTCCCAATATTTTTTACTGTTACTATTGTAAGATCTGAAATATGGAATTTAGGCACATGTGATGCATCTCTCAGCCATCCCAGTCATTATATGTTCACATCACTGTCGACGAGTATATCCTATTCACGTAAGTCCAATATCATCATCTCTCATTTGGTAATTCCATCTCATAAAAGTGATTCTTCGGAGATAACGATAGGTTTCAGTTATTGTGTTTCACCGTCGTGTAATCGGCCATAGACAATTGATGCTCAATATACTAGATCTTTAATCAACATTCATGTTATGACCTTGGGTATGTCTGGTTTTGCTGTCACGCGACCTATCTACCAATCCGGATACGACTTATACGAATATTCACACTAGGCCAACCAATGACGTTCAACCGGTGTGGGCAGTCTAGCGTCCTTATTGGTCCTATGTCCTACGAGCCCTTCCACTTGAGTCCAGAATACAATACCAGCTTCGAATTAGGGCAGATCGTTTATTTCAAACATACTCGGTTTATATATCAAACAGACAGACCACAACACACCATAAATTAGGAAATAACATATGTACACAAATAAGCCAAAAAGTGGCTGTGAACGAGGGGGACAGTAATTAATAGACTGAACATAGTTTAAGAACCGTAAATCGTACAATAATAAATTATAGATCAAAATAAAGCTTATAATAAGAGGGATATAAATATACATAATCTAATGATTGAATAGTTTTACAATAAGAATATTTATAGAATATTAGTCCACTAATAGTCCTCGGGAGTTACCTGTAATTTAATCTTCGCTCGGATATAACAATTCATATCCCATTTACACTAAAGATTGCTTAACAAAATAAAAATGAGTGTTTTGCGTCTATACCAAGATTTCATTAAAAATCAATTACAAAAAAATCAGAAACAGAAAAGCTATCATTGCCTTTCGTTCAAGTACAAAAGTGCAATACGACCGACATAAGTTTCGATTTTAAGCTATATATCATAGCACATCGTGCCCACATACAGCATAACCTTCTGCACCACATCTCAAAAATCAGAAGACACCAACAGATCAGAAAGAATGTATCACTTAATTCTATTCTGCATTTTTCAACGAAACCCAAGGCCAATAAACTGTCCGTTTGGCGTATGTTAAATTTGCCCTGTTTATGGAAAGCAATGTTTTACAGCGATCCCATTTATTGTTAAATCGTCCCCACTATGGCGAAACACCATCAAAACTTAAGATGTTTTCTGATATATTGTTACCGTGTTACCAGTCCCACAGAGGTAATCATAAGCCAGCACAAAAGACTGGTGTTTATTATATTAATTCCCATTAATGCGTTATACACAGCGTTGATGATTTAGTGTATACTTTCTTTATATGTAAAGCAAATCACTTAAAGATGTTAGTTGTAAAGTGGTTCATTGCACTATGAGCAATGTGTATATTATCACATAGAACGACGTTTTCTCTGTGATTAAGTTTAGTAATAATGTGTGCCTATTATATTCCCTCATTCTACCTTAGGTGTTTGTATGCACGTCTTACAAGTTGTTTGTCAACCTGTCGTGAAGATTTTTTATATTTAAAGATTTGTTAATTTATATTTAGACAGTGATTGTGATTGTATAGGTTTCATCGACTTACAGCTTGAACAGCTATTCAGGCAAATGCTTTCTTATTCGTAATTATGTTCTTGTATATCATACAGGTTTATATCCACCCACTTCTGGTACAGCTTATATATATGGTCATGATATTCGTAATGATATAGAAGGTATTCATGGAAATCTTGGTTTTTGTTCACAACACGACGTTTTATACGACACATTAACTGTTGAAGAACATCTTTATCTATCTGCTCACGTAAGCGGTTTTATTTGAGTAAAAGTACCTATCACTATGATATTTTTCCCTCTATACTTCAATACTTTTTTGTGCTTGGAGTTGTAGATATCAACAATACTTTCAGTCCGCCTGTTTTCTGACCACATTTTTGTTAACTTAACTAATTTTCGATCACAACTTAGTTGTCTGGCGTATGTTTCGATTTTTACTTCATTTCTGTTTCATCGATAATTTGATGTCGCTACTGATGGTTTATCAACTATCTGTACATTGTCAGTTTTCATGTATAAAACCCTACAGTTTTGATCCATAATGTTAGGATATTCAAATGCTGTTAATTTTGTAGTGTTGTTCTTGGAAAAGCAGATGATAATCACATCACAGGTAAGATTTGGGATAGAAAAGAAAGTTTAATTACTTTCCGATTTGAATAAGCTCAGATAGTTGGAGTATGCTTGTTCTTATTCTTACCGTATATCTCAACTTGCATTGATGGCTCGATCACGATTAGGATAAAGGGTGGTCAAGTGAACAAATGATACTAAATTATTTACTATTTGATGTTCGTAATCGTTTGGAAAATTTAGTTTTCTTATTTTTTTAAGGCAACTCTATTGTTATTCGTTTTTATGGATCTGGATATATATATATATATATATATATATATATATATATATATATATGTATATATATATATATATATATATATATATATATATAATGTTAATCAAATTTCACTTGACAGAAGGCTGAATAATCCTATACAAAGTGTCTGTTATCCAACCAAAAAAATGTGAATCGGCACTTTATTCAAATAAGACTACATAAATCCGGCCAAATCCATTTTTCCCTTGTATTGTTAACATAGCTCATGAGTTGACGTATAGCTGCTTTTTCTATACTGTAAGCACTGAAACAGTGAGTTTTATATCATTAATGCTTCTATTAATTTTATTTGTTCTTTTTTATTCCTCTTATAGCTCAGAGGCTGTGATAATTCCACTATCGAACAACAAGTGGAAAGAACTTTGAGAAAGATTTATTTGCGTGACAAAAAGAGTGAGTACACTAAAACATTGTCTGGTGGAATGAAACGTAGACTATCTATTGGAATGGCCCTAATAGGTGATTCTAAAGTAAATAGTATACAATTTGTTATTTCAGTTTATTTTTTCTGAGAATGACTTACATATTAGAAACAGTGTACTTTATGAACTGTTATGTCGTAATAAATATAGTATATTTGTACTTCGTATTTTCGATATCGTCGACTAAATAAAATATGGACTGTTGGATCATAAGCTCAATATTCCAAGGGCTGAGAGCTTTCAAGAAAACCTGAATTTCATTGATTCAGTTCGTGAGTACACACTAATGATGAGTCACATATTAGGACAAACCAGCAGCTCAGCTCCTCCTGGTTTTCGGTAGCACCTTAACTGATATCATTCCAAGACGAATATTATCCACAAATTGAAACAATCTCCATTAAACAGATCATTAGTAAATGGTTCATCATCTAAACATATTTGGATTTTTTTTCATCATAATATTTGTTTATTCTTGCGTATTCGACCAATGACAGTACACAACATATAATGTTGAATAATTTGGCTAGAAAATACTAATTTTATCGCTTTACCCTTAAAATATATGGATAAGGGAAAATAGTTAATCGACATATTAACTCACTAGCCATTTGCGATTCAATCAACTGTATAACTAGTTTCTCAAAATAGTTTATCATAATTAATCGAAAATTAGAGGTTAACTGTATTGATCCAGTGCATGGTACAAAAATATTATCTAATGAGAAAATGTGAAGAATCAATTCATCTCCTGTATTCCGGTTTCGTCAAACAAGTCTTCTGAAATACTCCGGTTAAGGTCGGAATAAAACTGCCGCAGGTAATAATAAATATTTTTATCTCTATAGCAGTAAGGAACAAGTGTTGAAATATTATAGTTCATCGTTCAGTTGTTGGCCCAAATGATCAAAAATATGCAGTGTGAGTTTGACCAAAAACATTGAAAGTTCCATTCATCACCTAACCAGGAATATACCTTCTATAATCCAAGTTATTAAATAAATTTGTCCATGTTAGGTTCTCCGAGCTCTCACTGTCATTCCGGACAAGGTTATCATCTTTTAATGTAGAACATGGCCCTAAGAAAATTTTCACAAGTATCAAATTAGTCCATATTGGTGACCTTGTTTGCTGAAGGTTTATTGTGGTTTTGATATCTTTATTGAAATTCACCTCAACCATTGTAATGATATACGATCGACTCATTTTATCATTACAAACCATCAGTGTTATTCAACTTTCCAATTACATCTTAAATTAGTCTTTGATAGCAATCTGCAAATGGTTCTATGGGAATTCCACGGGGTTTGTCTCGTTTACCCGCCATCTAATGAGAGGCTTTTTAAATTTGAATATGTTTATGATTACTTCTTCACTGTTGAATACCGTACAGGCTACTGAAGAGTTTCTTGGTGCTTCGTTGCATTAATTTCTTTTGTTGTAGCCGTAAGTGTTAGTACATTATTTATTCACTAATACGTTATTAATGTTTTACATTTCCTTAAAATATGTCTCTTCTAATCAAAACACTATGACATTAAGTCTTTGCGTGTAAAATATCAATCCTTTTAAAAGTAATTCTTATCAGCATTACATGAAAGATGGACCAGTTCTCGATTTTACCATATAACTAGTCATAGCCATTGCTATTTTTTTCTTTGTAGATTCTTATATTAGACGAACCTACCTCAGGATTGGATCCTGAAGCACGTCGTCAAGTGTGGGATATACTGCAAGCTGAGCGTCAACAGAAAACAATCCTAGTTACTACACACTATATGGATGAAGCTGACCATTTAGGTGACCGTATCGCAATCATGGCTGGCGGTGAACTCAAGTGTTATGGATCACCACTGTTCTTGAAAGCAAAATATGGTATATTAGATCACATTGCCATTCCTTTTTAACTTCCTTTTTTATGGTAAATATTATCACCCCTAGGTGTTGAGAACTGTAGTGTCAGTTATTATGACAAGCCCATATACCTTATTCTAGCTTGCGGATATCCCATTTTATTCATTCTACTGGAGTCATATTTTGACCTTGTCAATTATTCGCTTATCAGTCTTGACTGTTTTTATATGAGCGTATATGTGTGTGCCCTTCTTATCGCATTAATCACATGTCTGTAGCTTTATTTTGTCTGACTATAAATATGGAGTAACTCTTGACTAAAATGGAGTTAGATTCCAAGCCATCTTCCATGCGTGTCATTCTTACTTGGCTTCACCGTGTGCTTGCTCGCTGTACGCTTGTGGATTTTTATTATTCATTAACAATAAATTATCTCTACAACTGGTGTTCAGGCTTCTGAATAATCTCGAGTAAATCCGTAATTCGACTAGGAGATTAAACCTGCCTTAAATACTCAGTTTACGAAGATATTATTTATTGGAGTCAGATATTGCGGACATTAGCCTCAACATATTAGCAAGCCGCTGTCACAACAGAACAGTCAGTCAATATGTTCATCCTAACTAATTAAATATAGCTGTGAGAATTCACTAAAGCATCTGAAAAATCACCTTCTAAGTTCTATCACGAATCCTTAAAAAACTCCAACATCTGTGGCATTAAATAATGAGTAGTGTTATATCACCAATTGACGTCTAAGTTGTTGGCTCAATGCGGAACAACTTTGTTGGATCGTAATTCGGAGTGGCTTGCGTTGGAACTTAAAAATAGGTTCTTGATGGCTATGAGTAGAATGCAAAACACATTTCTTACACTTACTTATCTCACTCAATGCATTTTTTTGTCAACAGTTTACTGCTGTTTGATAGAACTATAGGTTTACCAGGTGATTGATCAAAACTTGTTGGATTGCCATAACATTTAACATTTCAAGTCAATTTTACTTTTTAACTGTAACTTTTATTGTATGGGAGTTATTTTTTGAACCTGTCTATTTGTTTTTCTTTGTTTCATATATTTTTACCTTAATAATCAAAATACTCGGCTTTCAGTTAATAAATTTCAGTTTTTTTCACCCCGTAAAGCTTACATCGGCTTAAACAACCAGTATCAGTAGCCCTCACACGGGAAAGCGTTGTTGAAACTCGAGTAAATAAACTTGTGTGAGATAAACATATTAAGAACTATGTATTTCGAAATAAACGTAAAATACGCTACCAATTTATAGTAAATATCCCGATAGTGATGAACACTTTTTACTTTGAGTTTTATCACTTTTCAGGTGCCGGTTACTTACTGTCTATCGTCAAACAATCCAGTTGTTCATCTGATTATGTATTAAAACAAGTTAAACATCACATCCCTAATGCATTTACACGCAGTGATTATGGTGAAGAGATCCGCATACTGCTACCATTAGAATCAATAGATAAATTTGGAAATTTGTTTGAGAATCTGGAGTCAAATAAAATTAGTTTGGGCATTTCAAGTTTTGGTGTATCTGTCACAACAATGGAAGAAGTATTCTTTCAGTATGTGGTTTTACTTACAGTCTATTGTTACTGTTTTTAACATTCCTTGTTAACCCATCACATTTTGTAAAGTAGTATAGGTTAACTCCACTTCAAGAACTCTCCATCGAATCCATTCAAAGTTGGAAAATGAATAGTTTTACCCTGTGAAAAACATATATCGCTCTTATAGCTGCAATTCTGAAACCATTTGGAAATTATTTCATGTATTAGCGAACAGACTTACCTCGTTCCATCGTATGCAGACCAAACAAAAACATTCCAGGCATCCACACTTACATTAGCCGTCAGATGATATTGTAGTTCTCCCAAATATCATCCTATGTAAACAATTCCATAAAGGGAAGTCGATAAGACAATCTCGATACATGTCATCAATGTGTTTACCGATAGTTTTGTTCCTTCCTATACTTATCATATCTTTAATCTACAATAAATATTAAACAACCATTTATTTAATCAACTAAGCTATGAACTGTTTACTGTGTCCTTATATACTGCCTGCAGACACATGTAATGTAAGCAGAAAGTGAGACAGTGGAAAACTTTTTAGTTATTTATTCATTTAAATCGTCACTTTTTACTGATAATATCCGTATAATAGGTTGATTACGCTAGTTGTCAGACTGCTAAATAACAATGCCTTATCAGCCAGTTGGTTATAGTTAGTGTACGACCTGATGCGAAAAGTGTATCAGTTCAAGTTTACGTATCCCATATGAACACAGTGATGAAGTAAATTGATATGACTTCTCGATTGAACGCTAATTTTTATATCTGATTATTATGTCAGAATCGCTTATCACTTATTATTGTAAAGTGAGGAACCACTGCGATTCCCACGACGTGAAAGTAAGAACACAAAGACTGATACAAGTGATGATTTATTAACCCCGAAACACGACGACAACAACTAGTCGAAAATACACTCATTTATATATTGATTGTATACCCATTTTGATTAATAATTAGGATGAAATCACATATATGAAAAATACTTAGAGTTATCCCATTTTACATGTCATGCTAAGCATAGTCCATGTCAATTTCTAATACAAGAATATTGTATATTATACAGAATAAAATATACGAGAAAACAAATAAACTTAGTGATTATCACATTGATTTAAAAAAAACGGAATTAATGAACAAAAACCATAATAAGTATAAGAATGTAATTTCGACTATTCTTTCCCGTTATATCAGGAATTTACAAAATGAGAAGTCTTGGAACAATATATAAATATATATATATATATATATATATATATATATATATATATATATATATATATATATATCAAAGTATAAAAAGTTAGAAATGACACTAGATATTCAAGGGGAGATAAATAATGATTGCTAATGGAGCACTCCAACCGATTTTGAGTCACCATAAATTACAATTACTTCATGGCCACGAAGCAATAATTATCTTTCCCGATACATCTTAGGTAAACAGCAATTGATTCCATATATTGATCTGCTCACCTATAGGTTTTCGCCGATCTACCCTGTGAACCAGCATTACACTTTAAGGCACACAGTGGATAGAAATGTATAACACCTAATCCGTTATGTTTTGCGATCCCTTACAGTAATCTCTAACTACGAACATTTGGAACTTTCTTATACTAGACAGGATCTGTGAAAACTTAGTGAACCGCATATTTAATACACAATGGTTCAACAACGGTCTCCGATTCAGCAGAAGGCAAAGAGAAGTCAGAAAACCAATAAAAGCTTGATTCTCAATAAATCAAACGTGAATTAGAATTGAAGTGTATAAATCGCAATAAACATGAATCTGGGACACGTGAAATTACAAAGCGAGAAGTTACAACAACCAATAAAATGACAACGAACCTGAGTGCGGAAATATGAATTTGAAAACAGTCATCGCTGTTATTTTTGCACGTAGCAGTTAACCTCCAATAATAAGAATACATTATGACCAAACATCTTAGCACGACTGCCTCAGCTAATGAAGGTTTATTGTCCCACCAGTTATGTTGTTATTCTTACTCTGTATTTTACCCTTTACCTTACCATTAATCACTTCGTGGTTCCATAACTTAAGGACACCTGAAACAGAAAAATAGAAAATTTCTCACGTTTCCTACTCTCACTGACCATATTTTGCAATCGTAGAGCAATTTGTGAAGGACTCCCGTGTAGTATGTGAAACCATATTATTATCAGTCGGTGAGATCGTGAAGTTGTATCAATCGAGCTAGTTGACATTTCCCCAAATGCCCTGGTACGGCCGAGAGTGGGGAGAGTCCGCTCTCCCTCTCGAAATACTCTCACACGGCCACGCGTATATAGCCTCTGCCAGGGAAGTCCTACTCACTGCCTTCTCGTGGCGGGGGTGTTGTTTACGAAAATGAGAGGACGAAAAGCGAATGTCCGGCGCTTTAACCGGATTCCAAACCAATGGTGCACATGGGCTCCAGTATCCTGCGGGAACAAATGGCGAATGAACCAATTGTTGGTCACCGGCTTCCATGGGACTGCATCTCCTTACGATGCTCCACTGCCTTGTGGATCAGACCTTCAGGTCGAAGGCTCGGGGAGTGGCCCCCTAAGAAAACCACCTGCTTCGGTTTGGGCACCCGGGCAGTATCACAGCCCTCTCACATATTGAATGAGATTTGTGTGGCGCATATGTATTTGGTGCCTCTTTGTACCATTATCTATGTGTTGAAATAAATAAATAAATAAAGTTGACATTTCCACTCGTTCCTAAGTTTTACATACAGATGTATTCCACATTTATTGAAGTAAAGACTGGACATTAAAAATAATGAAATTCTAGTTCAACCTAATGATATAAAATTAACAATGATCCCACCGTTCCTTGATATATCACTGTACTAAAAAGAGATTGTTGTTTTTGTAATAATAATTGTCTTATTAGTACTTCTTTATCAAATATTTGCTCGTCTTACTCTAAGGTTTCATTGAATCCTGATTTTTCACAACAAAATGTACGCGAAATACGTATACACTATCATGATTGCTAAATTAATTATTATGAAAAAAGTAATATCAAAGTGTTTGTAGCACTTTTCTATTTGTTTATTTTCTTTCAGAGTTAGTAAGCAGACGAATATTGTCAGTTGTTGCAGTCGTGAAACTCGTGAGAGAAGATGCAAAACAACTGAACAAAGCCGATGTACACCAGAAAGTTAGTTATTCTAGAAATTTGTATTCGTGTACGGTTACAAGTATTTTATTTTGAAATGAGTGATATGCTTTCGTCTACCATACAAGACATCCACAAATCAAATGTTTGACTACCACCACCGATTCAAATTTGACTTAAAGTGAAATAAAGTGTAATTGAAAACGATACTATATACACTTACAACTTGTCACACGTTAATCCGTCATATATTCAAAACGGTTTTTTGTCAGAATACCAAGTAGTAGTATGAAAGCTTAGTGTTTAGGAATCAAACATACACTAACTAACAATACTCCATTGTTTTTCAAAATGTAGGATGTTCTGCTTTTGTCGAAAAAACGCTATGTATAAAATATATCTTCTACTTATTTATATTTTGAAGTACTAGCCTTGACTTTTAACTTTCATCTCAGTCTTTACAATCATCAACGAATAGATGAATATAACCCTTGAATGCTCTGGTATGACCGAGGGTGGGGACAGTCGACTCTGCCTCTCGAAATACTCACATGGCCACGTGCATACAGCCATTGCCAGGGAAGTCCCGTTTACGAAATTCAGACGAAGAAAAGCGAATGTCCGGTGCTTTAATCGGGTTGGTGGTCACGGAGGGTCCACCTAGAAGAGTTGGAAAACCCTGATTCCAAACCTATGGTGCACATGGGCTCCAGGATCCTGAAGGAACAAATGGCGTATGAACCGGCTACCATTGGACTACATCTCCTAACGTTGCTCTACTACCTGTTAGATTAAACCTTTAGATCGAAGGCTCCTGGTGTGACTCCCTAAGTAAAACACCCGCCTGTGTCTGGGCACCCAATAGTATCACAACTCCCACACAAATCAAGTGACTTGTGTGGCGCATATGTATTCGGTGCTTCTCTTTATTTGTTCGAATAAATAAATAAAATGAATATGATACATAAAACACAAAGTCATTATTGAAATCACGAACCGATCAAAGTTAGATAGCCATTGATAAACTGGTTTTCAATGGCTGTCTAACTTTGTTCTGTTCGTTATTTCAATGGAATTCAACAATTTCCACAATCTCATGCTGATAAGATCATTGACGGAACTGGAGTCTTAATTTAAACTTTTAACTGAATTTAAGACGTATACAATATCACCAACATCTATATAAATAACTCACTAAGCTTATCCCATCACAGTCAAATAAATTTAAAATCACCCACCAGTACTACGAGAACTTGCTAAGCATGATTCTCATTCCATCGATCAAATAAGTAAAAGCACAACGTCAATGACTGAAATTTACTTAATACAAAACGTGAGAAATTACATCATTCCAAAAGTGCTGATCATTATATACAGTTTACATTGATGTAATGATGTGACTCGTTCATTTAGTTAAAGTTAAGGTAGCGCAGTAAAGTAGATCTTTTTATTTCAATTAACTGACAGCTAGTTGGGTCATCGATGTATAAAATCCCGCTACATATTACATTCATACTCGCAAGGATATTGACCTACAAGGATGTCCGTTTGTCTTACTGTTATGACAGTTCACATCTGACATTTTTAGCCCATTTTTCATCGAATAATTTCTAAGGTTTTTTTCTCCAATTACTATCATCTCAACTGGTAACAGTGATTTGAGTGTATAGATTATTCTTTAAAAATTCCAGATTCATACATATATTATCGACCGTATAGCTTACTTTTTTTTTAGCATAGAATATATTGTAAATTGCAGAGAAATTTTCCACTAAGTTGTCACGTTTACGTTGAAAAAGATTGTTTTGTCATTGCAAAGTACAGATGGACTTTTTCCCACTTATAATGATTAAATGTATACATGACAACTTATCACCAATTCGAATAATTGCCAAAACTTAAGCAAATTTACCTATTAGCTTGATCTATTTGTTTCACTTAATCTTCTCTCCCCTTATGTGTCTTTTTTTATGCAGCTAAAGTCGATCGTAAACAACTACGCAATCAGGGCTTTTTATTCTACCGCCAACAATTTTGTGCTTTAATGATCAAGCGTTACATATTCACAAAACGCAATTTAATATTTGTGCTCAGTCAAATTATTGTACCCATTGCGTTCACCTTGATCGCTTTATTCATATTTCATCATTTACTAAATAAAAACAATTCACTCGATCCACGCTTGGACTTGTCATTAAAGCCTTATGGTAAAGATTTGTTACTTACGTTTAGCAATGAAGCTGAGGGTTGGGAAAAACGTCAAAACACTGATCAGTTTATTCAGTCCTATATGCGGCAGTTTGATAGTAAGCAAGTTACGCCAATTGAATTCAATACATCCACAGGAAGTTATGAAGTGAGTGTCCGAAGTGTTACTTTCGTATGATTCTAGTTTGTTGGCATTACCACAAGCTTTTTATGATCTTAGTAACTACTGTCATTATAAATTATGATTGTAAATTTAACTTTTATAATCTGTTAAACTCAAATATGTTTGTCGTCTTCTCCTTCTTCTTCTTCTTCCTCTTGTTAGCTATCTTATTTAGTAGAACATCCATATAATTTGTATTTTGTTCAATAAATCGTTAGAACGCTTTAAATAATCCTAAAAGAGATGTTTCGCCAATTTTTCTTCAGTGCTCTTTGATTTTAGAGGATTTATGGTGTCTTAAATCATGTGGTTTAAGTTAGTCTTTCTTAGCTGAGCTACAGGTGCTCATACCATCAATTGAGTTGAAATTCTTTGATCAAACACTTTTGGTCAGAACAGATCTTATGGTACATGATCATTCCAATTGATCGCTTCAAGTGCTATTCGTCAAAACGTTCAAGTTTCTCTATTGAGATAGTGGAGAATATTTGTATTTCAGAATGAGTTATTAACAACTTCATCAACACGTGCTTCAGAAATAAGTGAGTTATTAGAATTTCTCTAAAATTGACCAACACCTTATTCTGCTGGCCCAACCCATGTCAATAGGTGGTGTTCACCACGGTCACTCGCTTCTTCTATTTTTATTTAGTTTTGTCATAGGCATCCTTGTAGAAATAATGCTCTCATAGTCTGATTTCAAGAATTGATCTATCAAGAGACTCACTTATCGACTTAGAATATCCAAGTGACATAATCCGATTTGGTGCAGATGATGACCAAAGGCAGAATCTTATGATCGTCCTAAGCAACAATCCAAGCATGCTTGAATTATGTTTCTCTCCCTATAAATTCAAAATGTTGCTTTAGGACTGACCCACGTCAACACCTAAACCAATGTTAGGGAGTGAAGTATTTCAACATGTCGATCACTTCACTTATCTTGAAAGTCACATCATCCCTGGTGGGTTGATGTCTGACGAAATCTCGATACGGATTCAGAAAGCTCAGTTGGGTTTCGCCAACTAAAGAACGAGTATACGATGTAGCATTTCGCCTTGTTCTACTCTATGACTGTGGAACGTTACCTTCAAAATAGAGGATATTCGTGGGTACTAGTATCCGATCATAGATGTCTTCGAAGCATTGCTCGTGTATTTAGGCACCATTTAGTTAGCGATTCTGAGACTAAACACAAAATATCAGGTAAGAATGGGGAATCAATTGATTTACATAGTAAATGTATCACATATTCCCATCCACCAACTACCTTGACAGGTGTTGTCTGGTGTAATAAGTCGGAAATAGACTAGGGACTGCCAAACCAACACATCAGTTCATAACTACCCTTATTCTTGAGCTGAAACACGTACCTAGATCCAGAGTATCTCTTAAAATGTTTCTTTTTTATCACCATTCTACGAATTCATGTTCTTTTCTGGAATCTTATCTTCTATGTGTTACCTTTTCTACTATCGCTAATACCGTTGCTACTCTGGGATTTGTTTTGACAATTTCATCTTGCTGTGCTAACGAGTTGTGACAACTTGGACCTATTTACAGGGGAATCAAGTTCTACGTTACACATGGCTGAGTGAAACACTGATGCGCAATAGGACATGATTCAACTACATGAATCCATTGAATTTAAACATTATGGAATCGTAATTTTATATCCTCTCTATTGCTTCTGGGTTCTGTAAATATTAATGACTAATCGAAATGCTTTTTTGTTTTTTTGAATGAAGTACAACCAAATTTCTCAGTTAAAACTTTAGTCACTTCTATCCATCTGTTAACCAGGATCATCTACTGAAACAAATAGCCATTCCTCACTTGTTTTACTTCCGTCTCAAATCAATTATCGGGCTAGTGGTTGATACAAAATCAACTCTCAAAGACCAAATGATTTCATTACGTGCTTACTTTCAAGGTGAATCATTTCATGCTGCTCCAATTTCTTTGAATGCAGTCGTGAACGGATTTTTACAGTACCTAACTTCAGTTAATCAGGTGATTTTCAAGAATATATATATATATATATATATATATATATATATATATATATATATATATATATATATATATTTGCTTCTGGAGACTTTTGAATATATTATTATCATAAAATTATGACAAATTAAGTAAGAACAGATCTTGGTTCTACTGGCTTACATTATTTTACACAAACTAACTTCATCTCAGTGCTCCATGTCTGATCAGACCTCAATGTGTCTTAAATCTTGTTTAATCTGCAGTATATTGTTATCTTTTTATGACTCACTGTCCATTGATGTACATCGTTCTTATAAGCAAATTATTTCGTATTTGCATTAAATCATTCTAAATTCACCAAATAAGAAAGTAGAGTCCCCGTATTCCAACTTCTATGCCCAGAGTATCGAAAATGACTCGATGTTTCTAGTTGTCTCCTTGGTAATGTCAATAGATGAATTCCCGAAGTTCTAGTGAAAGTCGTCACTGATGAAGTTCACCCATATCCAAAGGAAAGATTTCACCATACTGTCGTAAATTGATTGAGTTTGGAAATTTTAAATGTTAGATTCTGACTCAATGGTAGAAAACATAATTCTCTCTCCGAGTCCTTGGTTGTTCCTTGATGTAATAAGTCAACTTAAGCACCTAGTTTCATGTGAAATGTATTACATTAAAGAATATTCGCTAAATTTAAAGTGGATACCACGTTATGTGGCAAAAAAAATAAAATGAATAGTACAGAAGCTAACGTACGCCTGATGGAATAAAATAGATATTTGATACCACTTTATGATTTGTAATATATTCTTGTGATTTTGGATGTCATTAAAATGCTTCACAACATCGCTTCGGCTTGGTCATTAAAGTATTAACCTGCGTAGTTACTCTAAAATTGAATTTAAGTATTGCTTCTTTTCAGAAATTAGTTAGGGAGACAACGTAAATCGAAATGGTTCATTCAAGCATATTGATAAGTGGTTTTTTGAGTATTTAGACTTCAACTACATTTTCCTTAATATGAAAGCAATAATATTAATGCATTTTTGAAATCAGATTCAAATATTTAAAAAAACTCATCCTGACAATCCAATACAGGTTTTATTCAGCTCTCAAAAAGCAAAACCCCTCTCAGTGTTCGTACTTCGGAAATTATTAGTCAATCACATGGATCATTTCACGGTAACCAGATTACTGAAATTATCGTTTGCCTTTGCCTGGTGCTTACTAACCATTTGGTATTTTTTTGTTTTTAGACAATATGCCCCGGTCTAACTACTAACAACAGTCCGCCACAAATTTATGTATCTAATCAACCTTTACCTGAAACCAAAGAGGAACGTGCCAAACAGATTGATGAAATCGAAGGTCTTATGCGCGTTGTAGTAGCAGGCTTTCCATTAGCGTCGAATATTCTATTCGCTGCGTCCTATTTGGCCTCTTGTTTTAGTTTCTTTCCAGTTTATGAGACTGTAACTAAGGCAAAGCATTTACAATTTGTTTCTGGAGTAAAATTAGGTAAGCAAAATCTGTTTTGTCGCCACCCGTTCTCCTTACTATTGAAAAGCCTTATTTTCACAATTTACATATCAGGTTAACATTAAATGCACGGCAATTTTTTTTCATCCCATTTGGAAAAATATTTCATCCCCATCTACCAATAATTTTCATTCTGTTTCGTCCAATAAAATAGCTAGTTTCGAGTTCATTATAATTGGTCGTTTATTTCTTAAAATCGATATAAAATGTCCGGACTTGATGACAGAGCACATTTTCTTCCAATTATGAACGGTAGTAACATGCAAAGCACGAACTCGGTCATTCCTGACGTTGTCACAGAAACCGACAACCTGTTCTTGAGCACATTGTATCTCTTAGCGTTCCAATCTCTTGAAGCGTTGAAGAGCGCCATTAGAACTTATTAAGGAGCTACGTACTGCCATTATGTGGTGAGGGATTCTCATTTCCATAGAGATCGGAAGCCGTATATTAGATTCGTATGTTGGAGAAATGGCCGTAGAACACCTAGCAGTTCCTCACAGCCGAGTAGACGAACGAGGTAATTTGATTAGTGTTATTATAATTTTACATTAAGGACTACCGTGAACACTCAATGTCCTTCCTTCTGTTGGGATATTCAGGAAAATATCCCAAAAATTATTCTGTTAAGCCTAGTGCTATCCTTGGACATGAAGTGCTATCATCTTACTGGTCAATATTTATTTAACGTGTCATTTTCCTACTGGTTAATATTGTAGAATGTTATTTTCTATTTTATCGTACGATGTGGTCTGCTTGATTAGTATATAAACAAAGTATGTTTGAAATATAATGATTCATACATCCGAGGCTGTGACTTGCGTTCTGGACTCAACTGCTGGGCTAGATATGGAAGCGGGACCAATCAGAACTCTAGGTCGTTCTACGTGTTTGTGCGTCTTTGGTCCGATCGATAAATCGCTCCCCTCAAATCTGCTGCCGTCTCTCAGTTATAACAATTGGCGACGGGGTGAAAAGAACAACAATCCAAAGTTATTCTGTAATTGGACGAAATCCAGTCTAATTATTCAACCAATCAGCATCCAGATTGTCGTCACTGTCCTTGAACGACATTGGTCATTATTCACACAGTAATTTTCATCACAAGTGCTGATTCGGAAAAAATGACTCTCCCTTCCGATCGATTACAGCTGCTCTTTGAACGACATTTGGAGTTATTAGTCAAACTCCGCACGCAGCTGCTAAATCAGTCACGCTATGAAGATGCGACGGAAGTGGACGGATTGATATCTGAGTTACACAGTGAGCTGGGAAATGACAGCAGCCTCCATGAATCCTCAATAAACTGTACTTCAAACGAAACGGCAGTCATCCATGATGCGCCCAGTGGTCCAGTACTTTCTATTCCAGAAACATGCCCGGTAATGGATTCGAACTCCGTTATCCCCGAAGCAGTATGCACAGACAGTAACATATCCAGCTCACGAGATCTCATTGCTTTGCCAGAAAATGTGTTCCACGCATCAAATAATAACCAAGAACCTGGAACAGTTTTGTTAGACGACGATTATCATAATGATCCAATACCTACCAAAGATTTAAACCCTGATTACTTCGAATTCAATGGCGTTTATCCTCAATATCTGATCGATTTTACTGAATTACCTGTGCAATGTGTTTTAAATACAATCAAATCAATTGTAATTTGGGTTTATGAAGACCCAACATTATTTCGCGGGGGAGGATAGACGCGAAGAAAATTCGAAATCCGGACATTAACCCAGGATCTCCAAAAAAAGGGGAGGTGTTGGGATATTCAGGAAAATATCCCAAAAATTATCCTGTTAAGCCTAGTGCTATCCTTGGACATGAAGTGGTATCATCTTACTGGTCAATATTTATTTAACGTGTCATTTTCCTACTGGTTAATATTGTAGAATGTTATTTTCTATTTTATCGTACGATGTGGTCTGCTTGCTTGGTATATAAACAAAGTATGTTTGAAATATAATGATTCATACATCCGAGGCTGTGACTTGCGTTCTGGACTCAACTGCTGGGCTAGATATGGAAGCGGGACCAATCAGAACTCTAGGTCGTTCTACGTGTTTGTGCGTCTTTGGTCCGATCGATAATTCGCTCCCCTCTAATCAGCTGCCGTTCACAGTTATAACACCTTCATCTTTTGTAAGTTTATTGAAGGTTACTAGACTGTTGTTCGTGGGAATGTGCATCACAATCACGAGTGCGATTCCCTAAGGTACCAAAGTAATTCTTGGATGCGTAGTTTAACGGAGGTGGAATTTGGAATAGTGAGACCACTTTTGATATCTGGGACATCAGCATTCAATATTATGCACTTTGTTTACCAATCTTATAGAAAGCGCATTAATGCTCAAGATATTTTTAATATGCGCCACAAAGTGTTCTCACAAGCCAACCTCTCTGGTGAGCAATGTACCTACTTAAATTGTAAACGTTAGGTGATTACTCCAAATTGAAAGATCACATCATGTCGCTTGGTGGCCTTTGTGAATGCGACTTAGATGGAGATAATTATCTGTTGTATTTCTTCTTCACAACAGCAGGTCAAATGAATTTATCAACTCGATTTTTTGATGTTGTTGACTTTGATGGAACCTACAAAACCAATAAGGAAAACTTATATTTGTATCAGGTTGTAGCACTTGATATGAATTTCATGGCAATACCTGTTTGTATTGCATTCATAAGTTGTGAAACATCTAGTTTACTTGCTCAATTTCTGTCTTTCTTCCGCCGATCAACCAACAATCGGGAGGTGGTATGCATTGTGACAGATGATTCACTTGCAATAGCTGCTGCTATTATGCAGGTGTATCCCGATTCCCACCACATTTTGTGTCGCGTACACCTGATTCGTAATGTGGTAAGGAGGGTAAGTTTTTCGTTGCTTAACATTAAGCCATTGACCGTCATTGTAGAGGCTACGAGCAGAAACTGTACAACTTTTCTTCCGTCTGATGTTCACTAGAAATGTCGAAAGGTAAATAAAAATATGCATCACAGTCTTTTGTAGTTTCCATAGTTATCTTTTATTAATTGAAGCATCAGACGGAAATTTTTACCGATATGCGAGAGATCACTTGTTGCCTAAAGAGCACAAGTGGTCAAATGCTTTTCGACCAAGTAATACAAATTTCGTTGAGACAACTCATCGGATTCTTAAATTGCATAAGCTGAATAAAAGAACATCCGTGTTGAGATCAATATTCAGTATGTTTCTTCACACTGGATATTGGATGGATGCACGATTCCAGAAGTACTATTATGATTGTCGTAATAAAACAATAGTCGGTCGGGAGCCAGTGATATGTCGTCTTCAGGAAAGACTTACACCAGCTGCATGTGAACTACTGAAGCGGCACTTGCGCACTCCTATAACTGAGTTCGTAATGTCCGTGGACTCGTCCACGGCTGTTGATGCTACAGGAACTTATACAGTTTCCAGTAATCCACTCAATTGTTCATGTGATTTTTACATTGAAAACCGAATACCGTGTCATATTTTAGACTACTTCATGCGCAGTAATACTTAAGTGAACACTCATTTAATTAGTGATAGATGGTTGCAATCGGACAGCTACATAACCAGTGTTGCACGAAATCTTTATAAATCTCAATTGATTATATTGCTTAATTCGAATCCATCAATGTTGGTTCAGTTCACCTTTCCTATAGAAATGATGTCGTTGTACTAGTGAACTGGTAGTAGTACATTCGCCTATCGTAACTATATGACAAAACACTGAAACATTCTGAATAAGTTTTGCATGTATTATTGTTAGACAGATGAGCGTTCATTAGATGACATTTCCTATACGAAATCGTTTACTTAAACCGTATATTTGATAAAGCTTAAAAAGCGTTTACGAATACGTGAGCGAGGATCACATAAAGATTATTAATCTTAAATGAATTTTGAGGGTTTGATCACTTGACCTTTGCTATGGAAATAAGGAATTGAAACAAAAGAATTTAAATCAAATTGTGGGTGGCCCTGAGAACGGCCTTTACTGGTTCTCTTAACACTTCCGAATTTCATGAACAAAAAAGTTGCTATGACTCCGTTATAGCGCCGCACATGGATTGTGTCACCTTGTCAGTTCTGGGTGTGTAAATATATTTACGTTCTATTCAGGCTAGTCACGTGTTCTTGATCTGAGTCCCGTAGAGTAGACACTGGGATGGAATCTAGTGTAGACATTCGTCTTAGATAAATTAACGTCCTATTCGTAAAGACGAAGAAAATCCGACCGTTATAAAAAAATCTATCAGATTGTTTAACTATATCAACGATCATAGCCTGAGGCTGCTGTTTGAAGAGATTAAGAGTTCACCTGATCTACGAACGGAACGAGGACTCAGTGTCACAATGACCAATAAGCTAATTATCCTGATACGTCCCAGTCCCGCTAACTAGTGAGAAGTTCAGGTTCAGAAGAGGGAAATTTATTCCATAAACAGTAAGAAACAATAATGAGCACAACTCAAGAGTATATATACAGCATAAAAAGATCCTTGGGAAATGTTACAAATAGCATATTAGGAGACAATGAACCACTAATATTTAAGGTTCTCCCAAGTGGAAAATATGACATGAAGATGAAAATGGGTACTTTTGGCGCGAAAACGAGAATTTCAAAATAGAATTAAAAAAAGATTTTTACCAAGTGAGTAATGGGAATCTAACATCTCCAACAGAAGCCATGTATGGTTAATAGTTTTTTCTCACGTCAAATTTGCGTACATATATGCTTTCTACCTTACCGAAATTTCTCTATAATTATTTCCACATGACTAATACCCACACTACAACAAACAATACTTGGGCAATTTGTTTAGTACAAAATCAATTTGTAAACGAAATGTTTGATTCTTTCTACTGATGAAACTTGGATTAGACAGCCGGGAGGAACATTACATCCGTATTTGAACTTCAACTGCTGAATTTGTTTTAAAATATAACTTCCTTGTTTTATATCTTCCGTAAACTCGGCGCCAAACTACTGTGCAACTAACTATTCGTTAAAATTTAAACGAAAATTGGAATAAACTATTGTAATCTAATTAAATAGATTAAGATTTTAAATTCCTAACTAACCTATGCACATTTATTTCCTAACTACTTCCTTAATTTTTGTAATAATAACAAGTTACTTTTGGAATTATTCTTTTTCTACCAGCACTCTACTGGATATCTATCTATGTGTGGGATCTGTGCATATTTTTTCTATCCGTTGGTTCTATATTGTTGTGCTTTATGGCATTCAATTTGGAACAGTTTGCTCTTGGTGAAAGGTTTCACAATTTAGTTATATTATTTGGATTGTTCATGTGGGCTGTATTACCGCAAACATATTTGTTGTCTCGACTATTCCGATCACCTACATCTGGTTTGGTTTGGATTACAGCTATCAATGTATTCACTGGTTAGTTGATTACAGTGTTTACACTTTATTATTATTATTATTATTGTTATTATTATTATTTAACTTTGTTAAGTAGGACGTTTCCTGTTCCTTTATCAGGTTTCGAAATGATCAAATTTTCGTGAACACCACTCGGCAAAAAACTCTCGGATTATTTGGTTTCATACAATGCGATTTTTACCAGTGTTTTAATATCTAATATTTTCTATTTACCCGTCGTCTGATTTTTGCGACACTGTTCAATTTTTGACAAAAACCAATTCAAATGTACTTGTATTAGTGTTAATGTTACCACTGAGCTTTGAACTTAGTACCCACTAATTAAATGGGTTACTGAATTACCACAACCGTAACACATACAACAGGTATTCGCATTGTTAGTGATTCCAAACCTCATAAATTATTGAACCAAAAAAAGAGGAAATGCAAGTGACAATTACAGGAAATTTGTCTGTTGCGGAATTACAAACTATTAGAAAGGAAGGTTTAAAATAATTTTAATCTCACGCTTCAAGCGAAGACGCGTTCGACTACTTCACTTCCTATCCTTAGTTCAGATGTTGATGCAGGCCAGTCCTGAAGCAACAACTTGTATTTAGAGTGGCAGAAACGCATCCCAAATATTCTGGCATTGTTGCTCAGTGCTATCAAAAGACTCTGCATTTTATCAGCGTCTTCACCAAACAGGACTATATCATCTACGTATTCTAAGTCGGTAAGTGTACCTCCTGGTAGGAGATCAATGCCTGAAAATCCAGTCGATGAAAGCGTTATTTCCATCAGTAGGTCTATGATGAAGTTGAACAAAATGGAGAAAGTGGACAGCCTTGGCGGACACCACTTGAGGTTGCAAAAGCAGATGACATTTCGCCATAAGCTCTGACTCGACTAGTAGTGTTCGAGTAAAGAGCCCTCACAAGGTTCATATACTTCTGAGTTACGCCTTTCAATGAAAGACACTGTCACAGAACCTCTCGGCCTACGGAGTCAAATGCTGCTTTTAAGTCGAGAAAGACCACCATTGTCGGACGCCGATAAGCATGCCTGTGTTCTAGGACCTGACGAATGGTGAATATGTGGTCGATGCAGCCACAACCAGATCTGAAGCCAGCCTGATTTTCTCGTGTTTGCAGTTCACGAATCTTAGTTAGGCGTTCTATAATTATTGATTCTAGTATTTTAGATGCTATATTAGTCGAACTAATCTCTCTATGGTTATTACAGGATGATTTTGACCCGTTCTTATATATTGGGACAATCAGTGATTGTGACTAGTCAGATTGAGTTACGTCCAACTCTCAGATTTCAGCTTGAATATTAGTTATTCCATATGAACCAGCTACTCTTCCTCGTTTCAGATCAGTTATAGCATTTTGAATTTCAGCTAGAGTCGGGGACCTACGTCAATGTTTCATTCAGGCTGTATGGGAATGGTGGGTAGTTGTAGAGTAGCTGAAGGCCAGCTGAACTGCTCTTTAAAGTGTTCCCCCCATCGTTCTCAACTTGTGGGCTGAGAGCAGATAAGAGTGTCGTCTTTTTTCGATGTTGTATCACGTGGTTTCAGAAAGACTGTTTCAGTATTTCTATTCGGTGGATACATTCAACTTCCGACCAGGCAGTGACTCGAGAACGTTTAGGTAGAACAGAGTCTCCACTATGGATGAGCTGCTGTTTATGTTGAAAAAAGGGGATATATGATGTGAGAATACCCAAGCCATGCAATCCTCACTTTATAAGTTGGCAATCAGTGTCTCCATGTATGGTGGTATGTGCTTCTCACCTTCTATGTGCAAAGTAATTTTACAAAACTGGCAGGACTCTGATCCTGCACTCACTCTGGGTAGTGAGCAATTAGATGTAGTCAAGAAGTTCGTGTATCTAGGTAGCTGCAGAAGTGCTGGTGGTGGATTAAGTGATGAGATTAATGCACGTATAATGAAAGCCAGAGCGGCTTATTCTAATCTGGGCCATCTTTGGCGCCTTCGTGATGCTAGTCTGACTGTAAAAGGTCGGATCTACAACGCGTTGGTGAAAGCAGTTCTGCTCTATGCTTGTGAAACCTGGCCTCTCGGAGTTGAGGATGTTAGACAACTCTCTCTGGAAACCAGAGACATTAAGTAAGTTCATACATCAAAGCAATGCGTTTTTCTTACCACCTGTCTAACATTGGTCAATGTTAAATGATTACTGAGCTATGTTGTGAGTATATTTGTTTGTAGGTGACGATTTATTCATATAATCGCGAAGCTGTAGAGCTGAAGTAAGTTATGAAGAGTTATATTTTTCGTTTCACGAATACCGGGTTATCGGTGCTTGTGCTTTTTCGTATAAACAGTAAAACTGCTATTTTTCTTAGCCAAGCTCCGTCATCATAAAGGATTTTCAATCACAAATCGATTTCGTCTCAATAACCATTGTAAACTTCAGTGACTTAAAGACTATTTCGTTACGTTCCACGACTGCTCAGTATTATTAGCCCAGGAGTTTAATGATTGTAAAATTCGAAACATTGATTCTGATTTTAACACCTAGCATTGATAAGTTAATTTTACTTATCTTACAATCCCATTCATCAGTTTTCAATCAGTATATATATACTCATATTGTTTCCTGTTTATTTAGCTTCTATCGGTCTTATAATGGTTGGTTTACTATCTCATCCAATGATTCATCAACAAGCAGTTGGGGTTTGTCTAATGTATTTTTGGATTGCTATTTCTCCATCATTTTGTCTTTCTCATGGTATATTCCAATTATTTATTAATTATCAGTTTCGTCAAGTTTGCGATTCCCCACTTGTTCAATTCTTGTGTCTTGTGGATCAGGTAAACGCTTGCTGTTTAAGTGAGTCATTTGTTTATTTGTTCGATCACTAGATGATCCTATTGACGATCTATATTTAGCAAGTATTGAATGTGATTATCTTTACTTCACCTTTGTTTAAAGTGTGTCACTAAACTTCTCATCAAATATTGGGTTTATGTATGCCAGATTAAACTAAACTCATGGCATGAGCACTAAAGGTGTCTTAACTAAAATGAATTTAGCAAGTTTTGTATGTCTATTGCATAAACTGTCAGGCTACCAATTCATGAAACACTAATTATTTATGCACATTAATTTGAATGTGTAATAAATTATCTCTTGGGTTCGAACGTATAGTTCATGTGTTGATGAGGGTTTCATTTAATATTACACAAGAAAATATCTCTATAAACATACTCTGAACGAATTAACAGTTCCATGAAATTACCACATTTCCATAATGTGGACTTACAAAAATGAATTCCTCAGTTTTATCCTAAATAATATCAGCCTGTCACGAAAATCCCTCACATACAATTTTTGTTTAACTTGGTATTTTGTTTTACAAATTAAGGTTAGTATTATCCCTTGTTAACTTAACAGATTTGTGTGCTTATCTGAGTTACCTAGGCAACAATATAAGTTTAAGAACATATTATTGATTCCTATAGTTAAGATCATGTGTAATCAAGACGTTTCGCTACCTTTAAGCAGAATATAAGTATCATCTATATGTTAATAATTGATATCCATTGAGCCTATGTTGGTTTCAGCTCATTCTTTTCTAGTTTTCTCGATGAACACTTCGAAAAGTTGTATTATAATTGTGAGATAAGGTTAGAACCTTATCTATATCATCAATGAACCAAGCTATACAAAAAAATACAAATAGTTATCATGTAATGTTCTGTTTATGTACAATTCAGTAATAATCTGAAGTTTATACTTTGTGCCCCATCAATAGGATAAATACGCATTTCCACATTTTCTACAATTGGAACCATTGAGTATATATACGACTGGATTGTATTAAAATTTTAAGTTTAAACATCATAATTAAGAAAAATCAATATTTACATTTATCATCTCTAACCGATGCTATCACACAGACGCTTCATACATTTAAGCGGTGTGTAAATCTAAAATTACATATACCTTTGTTTGTGATACAAAGATCATGATTACTATATAGTACTAGTCATTACATAAATCAAACTTTGACCTAAGAATCCGATAAGTTTATACCAGCTGTGTAGGTAGTAACCACTAATTTACTGGTTCGAACCCCGCCATGCCTACTTCGGGTTGGATAACCGGGTGATATCATTAGCCCTTACACTTAAACTGTGGCTCATATCCAAATATCTGGTGAATGAGTTCATTTAAATTTAAATGGTTAATAGCTATAACTTTAGCTCTTATCCTGGGACTGAAATAGATCTTGGTAAACTAGTCTCAAATACAGATCATCGAAGACCATAAATCATTTTATTGATTTGACAATATATGGAATTTGTATCGAAGTATTATTGATTACGTAGATTATGCAACTGTATTTAGAATGCATTGTGTTATTTCCAAATATATTTCAAAAGTATCCTTTTTTTCCTTTCAATTATCCCTCACTTTTACAGAAACATGTGATCCATTCTGTGCATACTGGACCAATAATGAATTATCCTATGAATTGGGTGGTGTTGGCGCTCATCTTACTGCTTTATCTATACATGGCTTTCTCTATTTTTCCCTTGTATTAATTTCAGATTCTTCAATTGGAAGAAATTTAAAGATCTGTCTCATCATATGTAAGTTTCCTTAATCTTGTTTTAGTGAATATATATTTGTATGTAATCCATTCAGTTCTGGTAATTCTTTATTATGGATAGCACTGTTGAACTTATTTATATCTGGACCCATTTAAAATATTGCTTGCAGACGGTAACCATCACCGGTTAATATCAATAGAACTCAGATTCACAGAACATCAAGCAGCCATTTTATCATGTTTTAGAACCCTTGTCGTAAAGCATTAGAATTAAAAATTACTCAGTTTACCAACCATTTTGCGCAAAATATTTACTACTGTCAATGTTTTATTCTCTTCACAATCTCCTCTTGTATTCACTTTCAAATGCTTGGTGATTTTTCTCACTAAGTTAAAAAGGGGGTATGTTCCATGTAGATTACACAAATACTCATTTTTGATAACTTCACTTTTGAAGAACAAGTATTCAAGACCACATTTACCCATAAAATAATTTTTTATCTATTCTAAATGAATTTATTAGTTCTCAAGCAGCGGAAACTTAAGACTTCCTTAAAATGATTTAAACAGTAATTTATAGAATAACTGGATCTACTAATATTAAATTGTTGCTTTGCATTTTTTCATTCATAAATTCTGTTGTCTTGTTTTAATTAAACAGTATCACTTCATCAACCCTAACCCAATTACACCCATACAATCTGCACGATTTTATATGGGGTTCGAAAAACCAATATAATCTTTGATTCATTCTACAATTCATTTTCTGTTTTCACTTCACTAGATTCTCATATATGACACTAGCTTTTTTCTTGTCCACCTACCGGTCTTAGCATGTTTCATCCTTTTAGATAATACTATCTGACGGACTTGTTCAACAAAATTTGTTACCTATTCATAACTGTGATTTTTTTTTCGTAGGATGCTGAAGAAAATATAAAGATCTATTTATCCCATATAAACGTATTTCATGTAGCTTATTTAATAGCTACTCCCCAAGTTAAAGTGTCAATCAGATCTCGACTATAGATCATGCTAAAGCAGGCTTAGATCCGTCACGATAACTTCTTCAGAAGATGGATAATTTCCATTGAGCGCAATAATGTCACCTTTTCTCTGGCGATTAGTATAATCTTTCTCTCTTTTTATCTTTGATCTAGTGTATAAACGTTTTCGTTATCGACATCACAATCCTGAATTATTGTTATTAAATCAGTATCACGATGACCTAAGTTTCGACGATGGTAATTTGCCAGCTGAAGATGTTGATGTACGCCAACACAGGCATCTAGTTGAATCGTTACCGTATGCACGACTAAAAGAACAAACTTCGTAAGTCATATTATCGTATATTGGTTGCACCTTACATTTATTATCTGTATCCTGATACTGATACGATAGTGTAAATTATGTAGATGTTAAAAAGAAATAACTAGTTAGATTAAATTCTCAGGAAGACTTAAACGACGTCTCATTCTCACAGGCTTACATAACTTTGCAGAAACATATATTATTATTGAAATGCTAACTTTCATTATTCATTACCTATATATCGTATCTTGTTCATAATGAAATAAATTTAATCACGTTTTCTGACGAAAATGAGTCTCAATTAATGAAATGCTAATATTTTTAGATGTCTATTTAGATCGAAATCGGAATTAAAGTCCATTAGAAGTTTTCTGAGGTACCGATTTACTGCTAATTTTGAATCTTCTATAACCCCTTACTTCAAAGTTTGAAATTTACTCTGAGATACCAAACTCAGTTCTCCGTTAACAAAAGAGATTTTTTACTATACGAAATTAAGTCACAATGTATTTGATAGCGAAATAACTACGGTATTTCATTCCTCACATTCCATTAGAGTTAGTTGTAATATTCTCAATTTAAATTCACTGTTAGCGACATCAAGATCATGGGTTTCTCGCATAGTGATTGATCACTGTTTTTGGTACGAATACTCTTGGCGATGTACTGTCAGTAAACAATACCTTGTGAAATTCCTCTTAAAATACTATTGAAAATATAGTTTATTCAGACTACATAATTAATCTGGTGTTATTTGTCTTATAATTTCTTTTTCATGCTTCTTTGCCGTACAAATGTAATGTAATGTTTCGACCAATAATATTCCCATACATGTATTTCTCATTTTCTCATTTAGCCTTGCACTATGCCGCGTTAGTAAAACTTATGGATCAATTAATCCACGGTGTAAGCAAAACAAAAAACCTGCAGTAGACCGCCTGTCCTTAGCTATTGCTCCATCAGAATGCTTTGGTTTATTAGGCGTAAATGGTGCGGGGAAAACGACAACCTTTCGAATGATAACAGGGGATTTAGAACCTTCTTCTGGACATATAATAGTTGTTGGACATGATTTAAATAGAAATTTACGAAAAGCAAGTTTTCTGTCCTCAAGTAATTTATACATGTTTTGTCACTAGTCAAATATCGATTGATGATTTAACAAAAGATACATCACGTAATGCGAATAATAACAATAGACTTAATAAGTTAGTAACGAATGCATTAAAGTGATTAAAATGTTTTTGTTACAATAATTGAAGGTAATTAAAGTTCATAGAGGTGTAAAAAATAAATGAAATGATATCATAAACAATTATGAATGAAGTCATGAGAATATGAGATATAAGTAAACGGAGTAATGCAATAATAATAATAGACTAAGGCCAAGGTAACGATAACTATAGGATGTACTTCTTTTGTGTACACGATTCTGACTTGATCTCATGGATGGCAAGAGCTTCAGCTATTTTAAGGAGTTGGATACGAAGAAATCTAGGTAGATTTGAATTAATCGTATACACAACCTTAAAATCAAACTGAATCAGTAGAATAATTCGAGCCGATTAGATGGTCAAGAATGAAACTTCTAAAATCTGCCAGTTCACCTACTCTTGTGGAGCAAGGTATATTGACCGTAATTAGCCATGGTGATAGGAAATCAGTTAGAAATTTTATTCTTACCCATCTAATCGATTCTAATCAATATACTGATCTACCTCGATCCTCATATATAATGGTTTCAAATGCTACAGAAAGCCATGATAATTGAATTTTATCTTTGTTCTATCCAACTAGGCACAACAGTCTTTGGGTTACTGTCCACAATTTGATGCACTCTTACCGTATCTTACTGGATATGAAACATTGCAGTTGTTCGCTCGTCTACGTGGAATTCAAGAAGGGTTTTTAAATACAGAAATCGATCAACTATTAAGTGATCTGAAGTTAACTGATCTTGCTCACGTTTTAGTCAGTCGGTACAGTGGTGGGAATCGACGAAAGTTAAGTGTAGCAATAGCGCTTGTTGGTGAAACTCCTCTTATTTGTTTAGATGAACCTACCACCGGTGTAGATCCTATTTCACGTAGACATATTTGGAATTTGCTCTTAAAATATAGACGTCAAGGACGTACATTGGTACTCAGCTCCCATAGGTATGATACATTTTCGTTGCTTTTTCAATTATTTACATATATTATTTACTTATAAAACCGACAATCTTATCGTTTAAGTGCGGATACTCAGAACATGAGTAGGCTAAGTAATTTAAGTTAGGCTTTTTCTTATTTCTAGAAAATTTGGCTAAAATATGTAACATATTTAATGTATAACGTTTTCGTTTTTTTAAGGCTTGTAGAAATAACAATAAACTATCATATGTCCTTGACTATCAACTCGATTTCGAAATCCCCAGCCGTAGCTGCTACCTTGACGTGGTGGTCGAGCTTGCCTATCGTGATGACCCAACCGAGCTATATTGGCTGGAACATATGTTCCTGTAGGTTCTACCATGCCAGGCAGGTCGATTGGAGAACGGTAAAACTAAAAGCAACAACTCAAGGTCTGAGGGTGAAGTCGTACTGCTGACTGCAGAGGGGTGTGACAACAGTAAGATGTTCTTTTCAAAAACAGCATCTGCAGCGATACAGCCTTCTCACAAGGAAGGAAGGGGTTAGAAATTGTCCACCCGAAAAATGTCACACCTCACCTTACTTCACGTACTTCTGTGTCCGGTGGTAAGGGAAAACGATTCGAGTACGCAGAACGTTTTTCCTGGTCTCCTGATACCACGCTCTAAACTATACGTAGGAGCTTTCAACGTCCGAACACTGCCCAAATAAGACAACAGGCTTCATTAGCTAGGAAATTCGAATCTCGAGCCATCGATGTGTGTCGCGTCTACGAAACGCGCATACAGGATCCGAGTAGTGTCATTCATTTGACATCACCATGTCAAAGTAACGAACCAACTAGATTCACGCTTCGTGTATCTGGAAGCCTTGATGCTGCTTCCCGTAGCCTCGCTGGCGTAGGTATAGCGTTGAGTCCTAGGGCATAACTAGCTCTCTTAGACTGGATCCCAGTAAACAGTCGTTTGTGCACTGTCCGACTAAACGGAACAACAATTACTCGGAAATATAGAGACACTCGTCGTTGCCTCTTCGTCGTCTCTGCCTACTCTCCCACTGATGATAGCCAAGCTGAGAATATATCTCAGGAACAACTAGAAAAACCACATTTCGGTTTCCCACGATCTCCATTCAACTTGAATGGCAAGTTGATGTAAGTCCTCCGACTCTTTACGAAGTTGAAAAAGCTATAGGAAATCGGAAGCGTGGGAGAGCAGCAGGCCCTGACAGGTTCACCCATGGTATTTTTAAGGATGATGGTCCAGTATTAGCAGCGAGATTGACTGAGGTCTTAGGTAGAATCTGGGAACTGGACGTAATCCAATCTGACTGGTCTCAATCACTGATTGTGCCAGTTTATTAGAAAAAACAAAAGTCCTCTTGTGACAATCACAGAGGAATCAGTTTGACTAATATAGTGTCTAAAATATTAGCTTCAATAATACTTCGACGCCTAACCAGAGCTCGTGAAGAACAGACTAGAGAAAATCAGGCGGGTTTTCGACCTGGACGTGGTTGTATGAACCAGATGTCCACACTACGTCAGGTCCTAGAACATAGACACATATTCAGACGCCCCACAATCGTAGTATTTCTCGACCTTAAGGCGGCATTCCACAGTGTTGATCTCGAAGTTCTGTGGTAATTTGTTGGGATATTCAGGAAAATATTTCAGAAATTATTCTATTAAGTCTAATGCTATTCTTGGACTTGGAGATGGTATTATTTATTTATTGGTCAGTACTTATTTCATGTGTCATTTTCCTACTGGTTAATATTGTACAATGTTATTTTCTATTTTATCGTACGATGTGGTCTGCTTGATTAGTATATAAACAGAGTGTGTTTGAAATATACGGATTCATATATCCGAGGCTGAGACTTGTGTTCTGGACTCAACTGGCTTGGCTAGACAGGGAAGCGAAACCAATCAGAACCCTAGGCCGTTCTACGTGTTTGCGCGTCTTTGGTCCGATCGATAATTCTCTACCCTCTAATCTGCTGCTGTCACACACTTATAGCGTAGTGTTTGTCACTGAAAGGAGTACCAAAGAAGTACATTAACCTTGTAAAGGCTCTCTACTTGAACACAACTGGTCAAGTGAGAGCTTATGGTGAACTGTCATCAGAATTGATTACCTCAAGTGGTGTTCGTCAGGGTTGTCCACTCTCTCCATCCTTGTTTAGCTTTGTCGTTAACGTGCTTTTAAACATAACACTTTCCACATCTACATTTCCAGGGGTTGAAATTTTACCAGGAGATTCACTTGTTGACTTAGAATATGCCGATGACATGGTTCTATTTGGTGAAGACGCTGACAAAATGCAGAATATTCTGACCATTCTAAGCAACAATGCATGCATGTTCGAGATCCGATTCCTCACCCCCTCGAAATGCGAAATGTTGCTTCAGGATTGGGTTGCATCGACACCCGGATTAATAATAGGGGGTGAAGTAGTTGAGTGTGTCGACCGCTTCACTTATCTTGGAAATCTCACCAGTCCTTGTGGTCTGGTGTGTGACGAAATCTCAGCACGGATACAGAAGGCTCGATTAGCTTTTGCCAACTTGCGTCATTTATGGAGTAGGCGAGATATCCGTCTACCAACCAAATGACGTGTTTACTGCGCAGCAGTTCGTTCCGTCCTACTTTATGGCAGTGAAACATGGCCGGTAAGAGTATAGGATATTCGCAGGTTACTAGTATTCGATCATAGATGTCTTCGAAACATTGCGCATATATTCTGGGACCACCGAGTAAATAACTCAGTTGTTAAGAAACGGGTACTAGGTAAGGATGGCAAACCAATTGATGAAGTAGTAAAACTTCACCAGTTGAGATGGCTGGGACACATTACGTGTGTCCAACCACCGACTGCCTCGACGCGCGATGTTCAATGGTATGGGAGTAGATTGGAAGAAAGCTAGGGGCGACCAGACCAAATCATGGCACAAGTCCATGAAGTCACTGACGAGTGGTCTGAGTCATGTTGATAGGTATAGACTACCTGGTTGGGGACCGCGAGATGATAGCAACCGATCGTTAGAGACCCTGAATGACATGGCTCAAAATCGTTTGCGATGGCACAGGTGCATTCACTCTTTGTGTTCTCCCAAATTCTAATCTTCTGAATCCTTCATGTCCTTTATTTTCTTCCCAAATTTATTTCACTGGATTATACTCCGTGAATAACATCTTCAAACCCTAATGTTTCCGATTACTGCTTATACTCGTACTACCTCTACCACTACGGGATTGAATCGATAACTGCATCTCAGTGCTAATGTGGTATGGCAACTCGAACTGATGTACGTACGTACGTACGAAGTTCTACGTTGTTACTGACTGACTGGATATTTCGAAATCGTGTGACATTAATTCGTAGAAACCATCTGAACTTTGAATATGTGTGTTCACTTTGTGACTGATCAGGAATATATGATACCGAATTATTTTTCTACAAAATGTTGAGTAATGTGTTCACTTACGTATGCTTTATTAACTGCACCGTTACGTATTCTCCCATTATGATCAACTTACAACAAATACTCAAATGTATACATTTGCTCATTTAAACTGTGAGATAGGACAACTATCGATGGTCGTGTATCAACTGGGTTGGTGCAAAATGATGGTTCATTGGTTTCACTTCTACTATATGCAGATGTTAGATGGCCTTAGCGCGTACTCTGATGGATTCAGTCGATCGATTGTCACGTCTAACATGTTCAGTTAAATGCCCTCTCATTTCTAAGATTTCGGGCAAACAGTTTGTAATAAGGAATAAAAATCAAATAGTAAGGTTTGTTATTAGGTCAAAAACGTTTCGGGAAATTCGCTGTCTGTCATCAAAGTTCTGTACAGTTTTCACCAGTTGAACTTCTAACGAGAATAACTATTACATTTTGTCCCCAGAACAGGTAAACTGGTATTGGTTTCTTAATAATTCAACGTTGAAATATTTCAGGTGGTTGGAAATGCACATTATATTTTCATGATAAATTACGCCTTTCATATCTGGAAATAATACATACTCTGGTCCGTACAAAGAAATTAACTTCACCTAGATACATATATGCTATTAAGTTTAATGTAGACAATATAAAGCTATTCTGTCATTAGTAGATGACTTCGACTTCGAAAAGACCGAAGTAATTCTGTTACTTGGATGTGGTTTCCAAAACATCTTAGTCATATTATTCCTGAATCATGAAGGATGCTCGTTTGTACTAGCTGCACTACGTTTTTCTTCATTCGTTTTCTGTTTTCAGTATGGAAGAATGTGAAGCATTATGTTCTCGTGTCAGTATTGTTGTCAATGGCAGAATGAAATGTTTAGGAACGTGCCAACACTTAAAAGCACGTTTCGGTCATGGCTATAGTCTTAATATACAAGTGATGATTCCGATGGTAAATCATCATCTCAGTTCACTTAATGCTGAACCAACCGTGTCATCAACATCAAGTTCCCGTGTCCCACATCAGTTGTCATTAATTAATGCAGTAAATAATGTGGATAGTTTTATCAAACGTGAATTTCCCGATGCACGTTTAGTTGATCGACATCAGGTAAATGCATTCTTTCTATGGTAAAATTTCTTAATCTGATACTTCTTCGTACTTGGTTATTTTTGTATATTACATCATACTACTTATTAAAACTCAATAACTAATTTCAATTTCGATCATTCATGCAAACCTGTAGCATTCTGTTTATTTGTCATTGTAATGATAACTTATTATGGTGTATTTCATATTTTATTTACCTGCAAACATCGTTTTTCCAAGAACACGTAAAAAGATAAAGAAATTCATTCACCAGGTACGTGAATGTGCCACACTGGAACTGTAAGTACTAATACTACTCGGTCAGTACACTCATCACTTTTACTGTCGAAGAAGCAACTAATGCTCAAATAATTTTAAGGTGAAGGCTTCAACATTCTGTTGGGTTTTTTTAAAATCAGGACTGTATGCACTACTCATGTTACAGCGGTCGTACTGTGTTACTCACCTGGTAGATTCCAGTTAACTCTGTGGTCAAGGTCACAAATCTTTATGATGATTTTTTATCATATATGTGACATGTATAAGTATTTTTGTGGTTAAACGGTCTGTCTCTCCCACTTTATTCATTTGAACCAATGTTTTTGTTGTGTTTAATTACAGGGTGTACTACAATATCATTTACCAACAGATGGGAGAAATCAAATACGCTTAAGTCATATATTCCACTTGATGGAATCGAACAAAACACGTCTCGGACTACTAAATTATTCAATTAATCAAACAACTCTAGAACAAATATTTATAGATTTAATTAAACTACAAGAAGGACCTGCAAATCACTAATTTTAACTCGTACTACTATGCATCAGTAATGACACTTGATTCAGTTTTTAAACCTTGGTCAATTAACAATCAGAAAAATTCAGAGATCAGAACGTATACATACGTTTATCATTATGTTTATGTTATTTTTTAATTCTTATTTTCAGTTCAGTTCTGGAGATTGTTTTCTCTGTATTTTTTAATGTGTGGGGATTATTTAAGATTGATTAATGAGAGTTTTTTAATGATTCTTTATGCAATCGCCATTCTACGTTTATTATCGTAAAATCTATACTTATTTTTAATGACTATTTTTGAAAACATCTTCAATCTAACATGTACGCACACGAATACACACACATTTTTGTCAGTGTCATAATCACCTTATCAATATTATGAGCATGACAGTAATGAAAATCTCGCTTATTGGACCTGCTTAACACAATATATTCTATCCTGTGATTAGAAAATCATCCATATTCGATTGTTTTTACACGTGCTTCGTTTTATGTAAATTTTTATCCCACATTAATCATAGTTTTCTATAGAAATATGTATTTTCGCTTGCAAAGAGATACTTCAGGAACAAACTCAAAATTATTTTAAAGATATATATTGAAATGATGACAATTCATCTCTCAGTTTTATTAAGTTAGGATAGCAATAGAATTCAAGGTTCCTGTTTAGGACTCGTGAGTTTTATTCCAGTGTCGGTTTTGACATTTGGACGCGAATTTAGTACTTTATGCTTCAAACCTCTACTCATTAGCCACTGAGTTCAATAAGCCAATATCCCGCTCAAAAGATATGAATTTTTTTAAGGGTTCGTATTTTCCCGTTGTTGATGTTTAGAACTACAGTTTATCAGTCTCTATACCTACAATGGGATTATTAAAATGATCCATTTTCCATTGATTTGAAATCAGTTTAAATGAACTGTATGTTGACATAGTCAAATACCAGAAATAACGTAGATATTAGAAATGATCATGAAACAAAAAATGTTAACCTAACGTACGAGTGGATACATAGTACTGCTGTATAATTAAGCCTTATTCCCTCTTACAAACACGATTTAAAATAATCTCAAGAAGAATGCCTTGTTTATCTTATATGATTAAACACCAGAATTTACTTCGACAACAGTTGTACTATCAGAGAATGATTCGGAAATATGCTTTCTGTTTGTTTCTACCTATTTATTGAACAGTGCAGTTGAAAAAAGTTGTTCCACACCTCCCTTAACGAAGTTTTATACAAAGACAGCTGAATTTTATTGACCGTATCTTATGTGGAAGGTGATTTTTGCTTAATAAAGTTGATACACTAAGCTTAACATTGGTACAACATATACACTTAACATTTTCCCTTCATAGGTTTATTTCTCTCCAACACGTTATGTGTGACATAAATTCTCCTGATTCACTCATCTTAGTGATTCTCATTATCAGAGGGGATTATAAATTAAGAGGGTTATTGCAAACTAAATAACATCCCTAAAGAAGTTCATATCCATCATTCAACCTAGCGGTCACAATTCGTATTTTCACATGAGTCCAGTTATTATTCTCATGTTTAGTTGTCAGCTTGCTAAATGATATTTTCTTTAGATAGTCTAGTTGACTAACAAATTAAATTTGTCGAAACTACTTTTCCATAAAATGAGCTTTTTTTTTTTCCACTCAATTACAACCTCTGACTTTTCAGTAAAGTTATTAACACTGAACTCTTATCAAGTTTTGTCCAATTTAACCAGTCATTTAAATATAACTTACTGTAACTATCAGTTAAACTAGGATTGTAGACATAAATTTCCCAAAACAATTGCCTGCAATATATGCTTGCATCACAGAATGATTGCTTCATTTTGGTCACTACTAGTATTTTAACAACCGATCTCACCCTTGTTTAAATTAAATCTGTAGCATAGGATTAAAATTATGAATTCAAATCATATGAAAAATACACTAATGTCCCTACCGCTCAATCATGATCATTGTAGAGCCAACAGGACCATTGAACACTAATCTAAACATACGAAAACTAGATTAAAACTCGACTAATTGGTCGACAGTCGATTGTAAACTCAGTCATTCATTAACAACGTAGAACTTCGTACGTACGTACGTACATCAGTTCGAGTTGCCATACCACATTAGCACTGAGATGCAGTTATCGATTCAATCCCGTAGTGGTAGAGGTAGTACGAGTATAAGCAGTAATCGGAAACATTAGGGTTTGAAGATGTTATTCACGGAGTATAATCCAGTGAAATAAATTTGGGAAGAAAATAAAGGACATGAAGGATTCAGAAGATTAGAATTTGGGAGAACACAAAGAGTGAATGCACCTGTGCCATCGCAAACGATTTTGAGCCATGTCATTCAGGGTCTCTAACGATCGGTTGCTATCATCTCGCGGTCCCCAACCAGGTAGTCTATACCTATCAACATGACTCAGACCACTCGTCAGTGACTTCATGGACTTGTGCCATGATTTGGTCTGGCCGCCCCGAGCTTTCTTCCAATCTACTCCCATACCACTGAACATCGCACGTCGAGGCAGTCGGTGGTTGGACACACGTAATGTGTCCCAGCCATCTCAACTGGTGAAGTTTCACTACTTCCTATGTCTTCATCATACTTGAAGAAAGGTATTATTCCTAAGTATTTAGACTGTCAGCACACAACATATATATACCTTTCCATAACAAGAATAGTGTCGAATAACTTAGAAAGTTATCCTCTTATAAAATTGAAGAAAGATATCTCTATATCACAAAGTAATTGAATTTTGAATAGAAACTAACTGAATAGCATTGTTACGAAGACGTTGGTTTGATCTCTCTTAGGTTCAGAGTGATCATCTTCAAAGAAAGACAACACAGAATATTTGTTCAGTACTAGCTGATTCTCAAAGGTCACGAAGCTGATAGCAGTTCTTGATCAAATTTTATTTCTAACTAATACAAAAAGTCACCGTAATAAGTAACTAGGAGTATGTTCAATTTCCTTGAAAACAAGCTCAGGTCATCAGAGTACATTTTCATAAATCAAGCAATCTTTGTACTTTTCCATCTGGGCAATTTGTTGTTATGGTTACTTCGTATGAGAACAAGTCATTTTTTTATATATTTGTTTGACTTCACTCATTTCCTAATAAATAAAGAAACATTCATCAAAATATTAAGTTTATTTAACTAATTACATGAACATCGTTAGTGTTGTTGATAATTCCACAAGCGAAAAGGTTGAAAATGCACTTAAATTCTATTCTACATTAATTAATGGATCTTTTGTTCTCATAAAAAAAAAATCGTACAAAATGTCATACTATCCTTTTGGGAAAGAGAAAATCACTTTTCATCCTACACAAATAACGGGAAATGAATACATTTCTGTAATTATATGTATGTTGGTCTAAACTCTACTTGTATGACCCGTTTAAACTAGTTTTCTTTTTGAACAATTTTACTTCCTTAACAATACTTAATTCATATACTGTAATTTTTAAAAAAGTGTCTTAAACAAAGTTATGTATTTGGAACACTAGTTCAGATGCACCTCCGTAAAGCCCTATGAAGAGTTATTTAAAAGTGTATCGTTCCTTATATATCTGCAATTTCAATATGACGGCAACTATTTTGATTATCTTAATGAGTGATTAGACTTAACGATGAAACACTCCACTTTTTGTGAAGAGAGTTCGATCATTAAAACAACAATGAGAATAGATTAATATGGATGAGCGACTATTACTTGACAAAATCACAATTCATCGTGACACAATTAGTGACAATATCACATAAAACTAATTAGGGTTTACTTCAATAAAGACCAACATATCACACCATCGAACAGGATGAATGGGAAATAACTAGTAGTTCGCTTTAAAATGACTTAACTCGGCATCTAAAACTTCTATAGATGACAAACAACGTAAAGATGCTAAAGTCAATCACAATTCATTAATTGTTGCAAAAGCATGAACTCACATAAAATAGGTTATTATCTGTTCGGTTCACAACATATTATGTGAGCAGAGTTCAAAGGGAAACAAATCATGCCTAAAGGTTATGAATTACATTCCAGGTTATATGTTTTACGTCTCGTTGGAATGGGACCAGTATACATAAAGAGTAACAAAGGTATTGGTTTACTGAATGACCGCACCATAAAAAGGAAACAGATAAAGAACAAAATGTGAAGATGTATGGATTATCGGACGGCGAAGTGTAGATCTTGCTCTTGTGCAAAATATGATGTCAATATAGATCAACCAAATAAACCCAATCATGTTCCAAATAAAGCTAACTTAAAAGTAAAACAGTAATCGCTATAATAAAGATAATCAAATCATAGCTAAGACAGCTGACAGTCTAACGATTGCAACTTCATCTCATCTTCCAGCTGTCATCAAGTATTCCTTCTAAGTCCGAATTGATCGAATACAGTCACTATCGTCTGAAAACAGGTAGGCTATGAGAGTCGAAAATTTCTTTCTGTATGATATTGGACTAGGCGAAAAATGAATTTTGATGTTTCCTACAATTCAGAGTGACGAATGGAACAGTCAAAACCTCATAGCTTCTGTTTACACAGATTATACTATGAAATTCAATGCTACTATTCTCTTGGTTTATATTCTAATGAATGACGAAAGTATAAAGATGTTGTATGTACATCTTCAACGAACTTAGCAAACTATATACAAAGTAAATTCCTCAACTATCACGACTGATTATAAACGTTTAGCCAATATCAGTATATTAACGTGTATGTCTAAATGTATTACAAAGTCTCAAGGCTATAGCGAATTAATTATCAAAATTGTACTGTGAAATATCCATATTTACATTATGGAAGATCTGAAATTGAATAATGCAGTAGTGAGGTGGTTTAGCGACTTTAGTCAATTCGCTAGTTCTGCTGATCCTAGCATACGCGAATTCTTCTATGCTTTAAAAAAGCAATAGAGTTTAAATGTACCGAGAATGGAATGGTTTATTTTTGAGACCCAAAAATAGTGTGGAATAAAAAGTTTAAGCAGGTAGAAACACGCATTAAACTACTTGTCAATAATTATGGAAACAGATTCAGACATCGCTATTTGGATCCTCACTCTTAATTTATTACATTTAGTCGGTTAATATACTTATAGCATTTTGTCCTTGACTTAACTGATATTCACTCCTATCTATCTAAGACACTTTGTTGATGTGCATATCATGGAACTGTGTCATTTCTAAAGGATACTATTTATTTTAAACAGGATTACTACGTGAACAATACTACTCTTAATTTGTATTCTAATCGGATGGAGTTGAACTTACTGTTCTGTTTTCCCCTCGTAGTATTGATGTTGTTTAATTTTGATGAACCAATAAGAAAGAAGACAGAATTTTGAAAGTTACCTCATTGTAATTGGTTGGTTAGTATTTTAAAATATTCTCCAAACCATCAACATTATTTTTTTATATCCGAGTTTATCTGAGTAAAAATCTTTTGCTTCTGAACAATATGCTAAACAATATGAATACAATAATGAAAAGTTTCATTCTATTAAATTTATTTCTAATTTATTCTCGATATTGTCGTAGTGTCCATTTGGGTAAGTCTTTAAAACCTAAACAATTTCATTCTTATGATCTAACAACCCACATTTTAATTTCATATGAACAAGAGGTGATAAAAATATGTTGTAATGTTAAAAATTTAATCCATAAGTCCAGATTTTGTGATCACATTTCTGTTGAAAAACAAAGTCAATGGCAGATTCTCATCAACATTCTTTAACCAGTTAACTTAAAGAAAAACAGAACAAATCATTTCTAGCTTTTAGTTTAGTAAAAAGCGGAATATAGCTAATTACTTATTCAGTGTTTGTTGACTATTTCGAACACAAACTTCAGTAAGCAGCTACGTTTTGTTAAATAACTCGATAAACAATGATCATTATTCAATTTTAATTACCAATAATTATGCTTCACAACCCGTTGTATAACATATCATTATATTTTATTTAAAGGCAAACTAATTTACGTAAACATCAGTCAAATATTATAAGAACGAGTATGAAAAGAGACGTGTTTTCAACTTTAGTAAATAAATTTAAATGCTATAATGTGCAGTATTCGATGTTCATAGGGTGAAAGCAAAGAAAACTGTTTAACCTTTCAATGTACTGTTTGAGTAAATCTGTTATTTGGTGCTTTCAGATGAACAGAAATTTATGCAGCTGAGTGAAAAGTGATTGTGTGTTTAAGGTCTAATGTCTGTTCAAAGCATACAATCCCAAAGAATCAAACTAATGTTTTTATACAGTACTAAGAGCCACCTCCTTGTTTCTTAAGCCTCAACGACACCATATAGTCATGCTAACCAACTACTTAGTTGAATATTTATGTTAAAATCTGATATAAAATCAGTTTTTGATTGTTTAAAAAGATGCCACAAACAAATAGTTCTGGAAAAACTAGGTCTGAAAATATAGTGACCCTATCCGAATTAAAATCAAATTTAGTACTTAAAAACCCAGTTTCAGTAGACCCCTTGCTTCTTCGCATTCTGACTCGAAATAACTCCTTACATCAATCTTGAATGATCCCCAAGGAAAGATAAATTATTTATTTCTACTAACGGTAGAACGTTGACGTGACGCAATGCAACATGTCTGTCACCAGTTCACTCGTGCCATGACAGACTTTCAGTTTGTAGGGAAGCCTCCAAATATGTAAAATCAATATGTCTGTTTTGGAAATTAATTTTCCAACAAATTTTCTAACTAACAACGTTAGTCAAATTCATGGAGAACTTGGAAAAATCTGAGAGCAGTTGGTCAACGGAAGTTATATATACATCGTATATACTCCATGATCCTAAATTTTGATTATTTTCACGTCGTTTTGGATTATTTCATGCAAACTAAAACGTAACCACTTGTCAAAACAATTGCTTTAGACTAGAAGCTAGCAGCGACTTTTCACGTTATCACTGATTTCACTATTACTAAATCGTTTTGTGGGAGTTTCTGTGAAAGCAGATAAGTCAGACGAAATATTGAATACTCACTTGGAAGAATAAAATATTATTTAGATTAAACAGCATTTATTATAAATCGAAGATGCTATGAGTCAAGTTGTTATCAATTTGTGTGTATTGTAAATTTTATATTCTATCTAAAATGTACTATATAATGTAAACTGTTTTATTATATCAGGGTGTAGGAACTTTGCAAGTTCTCCTACGATTCTTACCTTCCCTGTGAAAAAGTTATTTTATTCTAAATGAATAATGAAATAACTTGTTTTGTGCCTTTAGTGATATTTATTCCAGAAGAACAATCTTATTTGAACCTAGCGGCAGAATTAGCAATTAACAGACATAATTTGTTGCAAGACAATATGTCAGATAACTATGTAACTGTAAATTTTCATAAAATTAACCACAGAGATCCACGTTCATGGAGTAATTCTATCAAAAATGGTGAGTGGCTATGTTTAGTCTCTATGATTGTTGTAGTTTTCTCATTCAAATAAATTTCCATTATTATGTCTATTCTCTATAAGAAGGATGCACCAATCACCTTAGGTGGTTATATTTGATCCTAACATTTCGCGATTTTGAACTTGTCAGTTGAGTCTAACAATGTCTTAAAAATGTTAGCGTTTTCTAAACCAAACTTAAAATCAACATTTGTTTGCGAGTCTGGTTCAAGTGAAAACCAATTCTACAAACAATAAAATTAATTTATCAAAATTCAAGAATTTACGGTTCAAAAACTTGAAGTGATACCATCTAGGATGATCAACTCGAATTCATATTAGCGTAACGAACATCTAAAGTTAATATTTTCGTTGTGATTGAAACCTCATAGTTATTTAATGTGAATAGTGCTAAACTTCTTATTTCGTTAAGTAATAAAATAGATTAGTTTATTATATTTACGTCAGACATAAATCACGGAAGTGCAATTAGGTGACTAACACAGTAGTGAGCCAATATTAATAATAGTCGCCCAACAGACTAGAGATAAGTAAAAACTAGGGATAATTTATAATTTCCCTATTCTAAGCATGTAGATCTAACCCATCTGAAAGTATTCACTACTAGTAATTTAGACTTATTCGAAATTATATGTATGGAATGTTTTTATGTTGATACACAAACATTTCACAGCTTTCATACAAAAGCTTAAAACATTTGCAATTTTTTGGTACTACTTACAAGCAGCTGAAAAATAAAGCATTTTATAGCAAACCACTTGGTTATTCTTTCTTTCAGTTTGCTTAAATATTCAAAATGATACGATAGAACATCCAGATCTTTTGATCGATCTTACACCACCATCGCAAGCCAGTTGTGGTATTCAGAAATTAGCTCAACAAATTGATTCCGGAATTATAACGCTTAATTATTATGACTGCCCGCCGTTATACATTAATCAAACTCTCCTTAATAAAACAAATCTCATCACAGAATTGAATATACCTTCAGTAAACTTCCCTCCTGAAGCAGTGGCATCTGCATTATCTGTTTTTGGAAATACAATCGCTGGTTCTCTTCGAACAGAGACTATAATTAGAGGAAGCGATGAGACTGGTACGTATTATAGGATAAAAATGATATGTTACTGTTTATTAACCGTGTGAATATTTTCCAGTCTTTTGATTATTTTACTGCTAGATAAATTGTGCACAAGTTATTTGTAGTTAATTAGAGCTAGAAGGAAATTTCTTAATTGAGTAAATACCGAACAGAGTTTCTAGTGGCTATTTAGTTACATTTGTTTCTAAAGACGTCATCTCATTTCATTGGATGCCTATAATTTAAATCTAATTAGTGTAAACAGAAATGATGAATAGTGAATCAACTCGAGTTATCAGCTGGTACTTAATATATATTTGTATCAGTCAACCGAATTAATAATGATGTTCAATAAAACTCACTGTAGTGGTCATTGACCATAAGAATTAGAAAGTTGAGCCTATGAGTAAGTAATCAAGTGTTCTTTTGTTTCTCTGAATCCTTCATTAGAAAAAGTTTCTTCCAAGAACTAGTAAGTACATGGTATGGTTGAAATGATATTCTGGACTTAAAATAATTTCAGCTATTATAAAATTGTTTTTACTTACAACTAAACGAGGCTTCATTAACCAAGTCAACAGTGCAGATTATCATGTGCCTACAATTGACATTTACATAAACCATAAATCCTTTAATTGCACATCCATATTATAGAAGTCTCACAGCAACGATTTCATTGCCCACTTCAATACTGTAATAAATAAATGTAATAAAATTGATATACAGCATTTCATAGACTGTTTTATATACTACTCTAAAAAACGATAGAATAGCAACAGATTACAACCGGCTTATCTAACAAATACGAACGACTCCTTATATCACCAATAATTTATTACCTAATTCAATATATACTCATTAATACAAATTCAATTCTAAATCCAGTACTTTCTTATGATAAAATGTGTGCATACAGAGCTGAACTTTTATCGGACAACAATGAAATGAAACTAATGAGAATTTCAAAATGATTTAATAGACATTTGTTGATGTTTGCTCGTTGTTATAGATGAAGTAATAACAACTAATTAATAGTATATATTTATGTCCATATAAATTCAAAATACCCTAGTTATTACTCATAAGTATCAAGTACAACCATGATCTATACATGTTAATAAGTCAATTGTTTTTGCTCAAATTATTCTGAACGAGATGTCATAAATTTAAATTTCAGGTTTTATTTTCGGTCATCTAGAGGAAATATATTGTAACGTGCCATTTAAATCTTTTTTACAGTGACTGATATTCTAGTCACCTGAGTAGAAAACATTTATTCGCTACTAGTGTGGTGTATAGTACTTATGTCTATATAAGTAGTATATAACACCAGTTGGAAGAGGAATGCCTAGATCGAATCGAAGAGAACGGAGGAGAGAGTTGTTGCTGTGGTAATGAAGGAACGATGAAGTTTGAGACGATTGATGGGATATTTGCAAATGAAATATTTTATGTATGGTTTTTATATTTTACCAAGATACTCAGTAATTTTGTATTGATATATAATCAGGTGTCCGCCACTTGTGTTCTCATTCACTGCACTATGACCTAATAATCCTCTGGAAAAAACACCAATAAACTGAAATACTTTTGTGCAAGGTGATGCGTTGAATAATGGAAAGAGTTGTTTTAATGCAATAGAAATACATTAAACCTACAATGGTTGCTTGATCATTTGTTTAGCTCTACTTTTTTAAATTAATTATCCAATATTCTATGTAAAATAAACTGTGGAGCTCTACAGAAATTTGCTGTTTTTTCCACAAATTCCAAACGACATTTCAAATATTTTAACTTGATCTATCTTCAAGCATAGTATGACATTTCCTTTTAAAGATAACAATTCCCTAGAAGCATTGGTCGTTTTATGAACATTTGTTCTGTCAATAAAATTAGTCATTTTGATGATTTCAAAACTAAGTTGATAAGAAATCCTGTGATTTCTAAGCTGTATTTATCTTTTGTATGCTTTTTCTAAATCCAGGTTCTCAAATCACAATTTCAGACTATCGTGACTATCCGTCTGTGAGACGATTCTATCTTACTTTGCCGTCACAACTGAATGAATCACAATTAGCACAGTCCCTAGAAGAAATAAAAAACGTGGTTATGAATAAATTATGGCTATTATTAGTTGATTCGCAAACAGTGTGGAATATACTTACAACTGTAGCTAAATTCCAGCAAACCGATGTACAAAATTGGATAATATATGAAGAGCATGTTAATTGTAATTTCTTGTGTGTGGGATCAGACGTAACTGGAAAACGAAACTGTTTAACGTACAGTAATTTAAATAAACTTTATTGCCTGAAGATCGGCACAGCCGCTGCAGATAAAAAAGAATTGGAAATGATACAAAACTATTACGGAATAATTTGGAATAATGAATCTTTTAAACAAGTTAGTTGAAAGCTTATAAGATCAGACTACTTATTATCTCGAGTAGCATAATCTGAAAAGATATAAATTATTACGACGAATTACTGCGTGATCACGATTAGGCTGATGATTTGGCTTTTTTTAAAATAAGTAATTTAATATTTCGATATCATGCTATAAGAGTATTTTTGCGCTCTATTGTATTATTTTTTTAATTCAATTATTAATTTTATCCACATCATGCACATTTTACTGTTGGTGAGAAGGAACGAAAATACTTTTAAACCATATGTAATGTTAAATTAATTTGAAGAAATAATGTCTAATAATCAAATATATCGGTAGCCTGTTTGGAAAACTGTCATCATCCTTGAAAAAGTAGGTTCCGAAAGACTGGGTGTGATAATAGATTAAAACTAGAGGAAATTTTTAGCTGAATAAACAAATAATATTATCAAGCTGCACAAGCGTATATATATAGTGTCATGCAGAAATATTTTGAAATGACTCTGAAATTCGAAGTCTTTTTATAAACTATGTCCCCCAAGGTTTTACTGGTAAAAAGTAAACCACTTAGATGAATTCCATTGTCCTTACAATGATGATGCGATTCCCATGGACAATTACGTTCTAGTCATTACTACCATATAAGGGATACTTAATCTACACACCAATGTTCATGAGTTGTAAAGTGATTTTCCAACCCTTCTTTTTCCTGTTAAATTAAAATTGACAGTTTGTTGCATTGAGTGCATATGAGACCGTTAAATCTGGTTTATTGGCACTGAATTCCTTACTAATCGATAATCAATGGCCAGAAAGCATAAAACCAACAAACTCATCAAGAAAAATTTGTGATTCATCGATGCCCACTGTTGATTCCACAATGAGGTTTTATCGTTATTTAGAAGCCATAACCAGGGTAAGCACCGTGTTTTGATTATATCATAAAATTATGTTATATATATATATATATATATATATATATATATATATATATATACCGTGAGATATATCTTGTTCTGATATAGAATATGCTATTTGTCTGCTGTAACAATATGATCCATAAATAAGGTTGAAATATTTTTATAGCTCAACCTAAGCAAATGATTGAGCTATACATAAGTCTATTTAATTATTGAGGTTATAAAAGTGTGTTCTAAAACTAGTATTTTATAAACACCTAGTATTCAATCTAGAATTTCTTTTAATACAACGAGAATGTGCTTAAGTTAGAATGAGTTAAATAAAATCCTGATACACTGTATTCCGAAATTTTTTATCTCAGCTTCCTAAACGAAATGGTACTACTGGAATGATTGATTTTAACAAAACAGTAACCAATCAACATGCTATCTTTCATTTACAACAATGTTTTGGAAAATCGAACTCATCAGAAGCAATGTGCTATGATGTTGTAAGCTACTTTTAATTGTATGACACTTTATGGGACGATAATTTTAAATTTATCATATTTTTTTTTATCTAATTCGAAGATGGATAAAACTATAGATTCATTATGATTTGTGAATTTTCACCAGCCTTAATATTTTTTTGGAATCAAACTCAGCTTTACGAGGCTGCATTTTCAGCCGTCTACGACTGAAACTTCACAGAGCATGAAAACTTTGACACTTGTTAAGTGAAATATACTTTAAAGTTGTTGTTTCATACAAGTCAACCGTTTCAAATTTCTATGAATAATCAATAAAAGTGTATTTACATACTAACCAAACTCTTCTAAACGATCTCGTTAATTTTTAGAATTCTGTAACGCATAAAGAAATTATAATCACACTTCCAGTTCTATATCTTTCTAAATGATGTTTTAAATCTTTTCCAAGTTTGCTCGAGAAAAAGCCAACCACCATAATATAGTCTACATAGATCTAGGCAAAATCTAAAACATAATTAACATGATGAAAAAGCTTTGGAACGTTTGATTAAGTTAGATAATTTGAAAGGCATTAATAGTCATTCGAAACTAACGAAAGAAGCTACATTTTAGATATCATCTAAATTTAATCATATTTGTTTATATTCATGTGCTAGATCACGTTTGGCGAGGAAATTTATGCAATTTATTGAAAATGTAAAGTTGAGTATGGAGTAATGAATAACGATCTAGTATCGTCATATGGATTAAATTTATAGAAAATAACCGTGAATTAATGGATGGCCAAACCGATTTCTAGTTCACGTTTATTCTTCTGCTTCGATAGAGTACAGTCTTTCTTGATATAAATTCTGTAATCTTATTAGAGTATTAGACGTTACACATGGAACAGCTTATGTTGACTTGATTATTGTCAAAAACGATTCAATAATCTAAATGCTCGAACTGTAAGGATTAACAATGATCGATAGCGTTTCAGTGATGACAATAGTGACTGGTAAATCAGTTCTAATACCAATCACCTTACATCTACCTACAATAACCAGTAATTTTTAGCTCTACAAAAAGCCCCAAACAATAATTTAGGCTGTAATATCAACGATTATGAAGACCCTATGGAACGGAAGTCAGAGTTTATTGTTGAAATAAATGAGCTTTCAACCTAGTGAGGTAATAAATAAACTATTTATATTCCAACCCTGTATCATGACAATTCATAGTAGCCGTTCGGTGAACAGTAACACTAAAAGAAGAAACTTAAGGCCCCCCTGATTATAAAAAGGCGTGACGGCACCACGGGGCTTCCCTCAGCAATATGGTCGTGCTGCCTTCTTTTAAGGGAAGGATGTAGTTGAAAAAGGTTATTTAAAAAATTATCACCTTTCCTCATGGAATTCCATTACTGACGGTAAACCCTTTAAATTATGGAGCTAACACATCACAATCTCACATAAAGGCCATGTGTGGCTGGTCTCAAGCAGCTATCCCTTGGGCTCTGAGGTTATAATTACAGGTCACTAGACCACTAGTGATGTAGTTTTTTGGTAGGTACCTCAAGAGCAAATATTTGTTTACGGTGTGGGCAACTTGAAAGTAGAAACTGCCCACACCCTCTAACAGTTAATAGCCATTCAGGGGATATTTTGAAATGCTTTTCGAACCTTCAGTTGATCGGTCGGCGCAAAACGTTTGTTTACAGTAACTGAAGGATGGTTATAAAGGTTAGAAGGCAGGTTAGCTAACTTTGCCAAAACAAATTGATCGTTTTTTCGGACAAACTGACGTTTTTCAAGTTAGATCTACCGTGATCAATATTTTACGTAAAACTGAGCTTCACATAACCAAACACTGTCACTTCTGAAACTTAATTTTAAGAACAATGGTATCCTAAAATCTGCTACTAGTTTCATTAAACTCAGAAGCTTGAACAGGTATTCATTTCTACTGACTGAGTTCCAGAGAGAGTTAAATTCTTTAGTTAAAATGTTAAAATGAATGATCCTAGTTCTATGAACAAAACGTAAGCACCCAAATAAAACATTCGTAAATAATCAATTTCAAAATTCACATATTCATTTAAAGTGAACATTGTTCGCTAAAAATCAGTTCAAATTAATCAATAATGAAAGTTAATGGACGAAATCCTCCTAAAATGAATACGTGGATTTCAAAACTGACTTCTTGCGAATGTTGTATTTGAGGATTTAACATCCCAAACTATTTCATATATACTGCAACGGAATTAATATATTGACTTGTAGACGTTGGTTACCAATATATACTTCTTTCACTGTTCGATATGATATTTCCAACCTTGAAACTTTTTTTAAAAAGTTATTCTTTCGTCTGTTCCTTGATTAATAATCGCGAATGATGCCTTTAAGTTAACATACTTTACTGAATGTGTCTTTTTGTCACATTCGTAGTCATAAGTATGAATGTCTTTACTATTGAAACTATGCTTTACAGAGCAAAACTAATTTTCAACTTGTGATAGGTTCCTAAATAAATATATATCATATGAGAGGCATGCTGTAGTTGTACTCAGTCGATCAAATATATTTTCCGGTCACATTACTGTAACAGGTACCCTACAAAAACATTGAATGAAGATCGCGCTATATCCTTAATAACTGAATTTGAAAGTTACTGCCAATCTATAATAACTCATTAGTTAAATGGTACCGTCTTCGCCACGAGGCTGAAGGGTCCTGGATTCGATCTCGTGTGGGAATGCATATGTGCACCACAAAGTAGTCTTAAGCTAGTACATAACAACTTTCTAATGCTTTCAATAATTATCCAGCTTCATAACGTCGAGTGCATGAATAGTATTTAATCAATGACAAGCAGGTATAGTGATAAATTTAATTACATTCTTTCTCATCATTTTCATTATCATATGAATAATTGATCTTCGTTATGTCATGAGTTTCCAAATTAACTAAATTTTTCAAATTAAACTCCGAAATTTTCAACAAAAGTTCACATTCTTTCAACTAATCAAATTTACTTTTAATAGGGATGTGTGGCTAACAGCTGTCGTAGCTGTATTTATTATCGGTTTTCTGCTGGCATTCATTGACAAATATTCACCGTATAGCTATCAAAACCAACCTAAAAAAGGTGATAGTGAATCTATGGGTACAGTATTTACTGTAAAAGAATCTCTGTGGTATGTATTAGGTTCCTGCACTCAACAAGGTAAACTGATCAAAGTTTTGTCTTTTTCATAAGAAGTCATTGGATTTTTTATCTGATAAATTGCAATAGAAACACAAAGTAGTTAACCAATTATAACAATATTTTCAAGTTCATCGCATCGAGATAACAAGTTAGGGAATTGTAGGTATATTGATTAGGTCTTTGATGAAATCTTATTTCTGCAATACAGCTTCTTAATATTCGAACTAATTAAATGCTTTTTCTGGTCTCCACACTAGTTTAAATACTTCTAGAAGTTTACTTCTGCATAGAATTTCTTGAAAGTATTTTTCACCATTTTAGAACATAACATCGTACTGGGATCCAATATAATGGTTAGAGGCAGGTGTTAGAAAAATAATTCATTTCAAGGTATTCGTTTGGTAATTTCGTAGTCATTTTCTTGATTTAAGTTTTGATCCACACATGAGACACTCATTGAGAAGTTTGAAAAGAAAAAACCTTATTCACATGTTTCCAGAACAAAGAATCAGATAAAGAAATGTTGTTTTTGCTAAACTTAACATTAGAGATGAACACTAGTAGAATAGTCTTAAGAATATACTGTAAATATGTAGGTAATAATGCTAATGCTAATAATAAGAAAAGAAACACAATGTCAATACAAAGCCAGGAAAGTTAAATTCTCTAATTAAGATTTCCTTGAAATATAGTTCTATATGTCTACGACTTTTTGATCGTTCATCTTGATATGGTTTATGGTCATAAGTAGTGAAACTGTTGCTTTAGGATAATTATGTTGAATGTGCAACGTTTTATTCATAAAAAGTAGTTAAATGTAAAAACAAACGAATTATACAACTTTGAGTCACATACCTAGCTACATCCATCTCTTGAAGCGTAATCAAAATTGAAAGTGAATTCTGCAACTTGTTCTACAAACAGATAAGCCCAACAGTACTAGTACAATTTATGATAAAAACTCTTGTGATGCATAATGTTATGAACTGTACATGCATGAAACAAGTAAGCTTCAAGGCGTCAGCCTACTGAAGCAAAAATAACCGCATCATTTCATATATCTTACTTGAAAGAAAATTTCTAGAACACGACTGTCTCCAAAACGTGATTAGAAAAATACCTAAAGTTCATGATATTCTAGATCAAAGAAACTTGTCCACAAGAATAATCTGGACCACATCAACATGTATAAAGAGAAGAAGTGGAGTATTTACTTAAACAAGTAACTCATGACTATTCTAACTAATGACAAACAATTAATGCGGAATTTAAGTGTCCTGGTTAATATAAATAACTGTGCATTGTGATTGTTGTAAACTTTCCTCAAACAAACAAAATCATTATCATTATTATAGAACTAATATTTGAAAAAAGAATATTCTTTTCGATAAATTCTGTTCAGGTTCTACAATTATATATCCAAATTATTAATCCGAAAAATGACCAAGTTAAGGGCAAAGTACATCGCCAAAAGTTAAAGCATGTGAATTTAGGATTGTTATCACCGTTCGATGCCGGCTCAGTGGTCTAGAGTTTAAGCATTCGCGCGCAAGACTGATAGGTACTGGGTTCGAATTTTGCGGGGTGGGATCGTGGATGAGCACTACTGAGGAGTCCCATACTAGGACGAAACGGCCGTTCAGTACTTCTAGGTTTTACATGGTTTTCTAGCCTCAATTGACTTATGAATTCAACTATAGGATTTCGGATTGTCAAACGAAATAGAATAAAAATTTTAATGTTGATTTAACTCATATAGAATGTTAACTTGAATCAGCTTATAGGTTAATTGAAAATTTAAGATTCATGATCACAATAAATATGGGTTAGACAAGGTGAGAGAAATAAATGTGAAATTAACATTTGATCAAATGCTCAGTGGAAGACTATATTGTGAATGAATTATTTACCTCGAAGATTAATAATGATGTTTAAGCAATAATAATAATAATAATAATAATAATAATAATAATAATAATAATAATAATAATAAGAAGAAGAAGAAGAAGAAGAAGAAGAAGAAGAAGAAGAAGAATGCAAAGATTTATGAATAAAGATAACAGAGACAATTTCATTTGACTACGTAAGGTCGTAAGTAAAACAGTCAAATTAGGTCATTCAATAGCTAAGATTAATGCCAATTCATTGGCCTTGAGGTTGGTCAGATGAGGAGAAACGGTTGAAGATATTTCTTTTGTAAACATAGCTCCGGTTTTTTAATGCGGATGGCTACTACTTAAACCTTTTGAAAGATTTTGAGTCTGACAGGCTTTGGCAAAAAATTACTGACCCGATTTATTAATTTGGATAAATAATTGTAGAACCTAGAGCGAATTTATCGAAAAGAATATTATTCGTTCAAATATTAGTCTTTTAATATGATAGTTATCATAGTCAAAATGTATAAAATGATAATAATTTCACTAAGTGAAACAGAACAAATAAAATAAATTATTTGCGTAGAACCGGACTATTTTCAAATCTTTGTATTTCATTCATTTGAAAATCAAACCGGGAAATATCAGAGCACTAAAGGAGAGGTCAGTTCGCATGATTAATAATGCATTGAACATCAAAGATTATACTTTCTTAGTGCAGTCGAGTCAGTACAATAAATATAATTAATAATTAAGAGTTAAATAAATTATCAAAAAAAATCCTACGTTATGAGATACTAACAAGCAACATTATCTACAACCATTTTCTTTTCTTCGTTTCTACAGGTGAATACATGGATCCTCGTTCAGCTTCAACACGCATCTTAGTAGCCGGTCTCTGGCTGCTAGTTCTTATTATAATTGCAATGTTTTCGGCTAATTTAGCGGCGAAATTAACCGTCTCCGGTTTACAAGGGGAAATTAATACATTCAAGAAACTAATTGAACAAAAAGAAGTCAAAGTAGGACCAAAAATAAATTAAATATATATCATCATAATTTATTCTAACAATCACGTATTAAGATGATGGTTGGTATAATTGAAACATACAACCAATGTAAAAAATAAACAGTGATAAGTAGTGATTTGGACGTTTCACTATTCTTGATATGCCTTAGTTTTCAATCGTTAAATTAAATATAAGGTACTGAATCATTTGTGATATTCTCACTACATGATTGGTTTGAGATGTGTCAAACGAAACAATAACAAACAAATCTCCAATGTACCGGCTTAAAGTACTAGCCGTCTTCATCGGCATTCTCTTAAGTTATGAGATCTTCGGAGTACATCTCCTCCTAAACTAGTCCCACTTGGACAATTCCGTTAGTGAATAAATCTGTAAAAGTCATGAGTTTTCGTTGAATTGAGTTGAACAGATGAATCGACCATAGAATAAGTAAATAGAAACATGCAACAAATTTCTCACCTGTGTCTGTTGCTTCTTCAATAGTATATGAAAGGTAACAATTTCTGAGATTAGCAATACAACGCCAATTAAAAGTCCACATCCAAGTAATGAAAACATACCACCAACTTCTTCAAAATCATATCCTTCATCAACAGACAATGTTCCACAGAGAATTGTATTGATTACCAACCATTTAGTTAGGCAACAGTATGCCCATATATTCATTTACTTATGTGTTCTATGGAGATGTTTTCAGTTCATGAATAGATTGCCTTGTAATCTTATATCGTCTGAAGTAAGACTCCAAAACCCAATATCATCATTTTTTTATCTGGACAGTGTTCTGTGCGTAGAGTATTACCAAATAGTCTAAAGTAAAATAAAATTACTGTCTAGTCTCTCCCAACTTGTTATGGTTCATCAACGGTTGATGGTTTGCGATGATTATCATGAAATTGAAAAATCGAGATGATTTTACAGTTCAATTGTTGTTTACATTTCTAAATATCATCAAATAGTATCAGAGTTTTTATGGTCTATCACTCCTGATATCCCCTTTAAATGGCTTATTGACAATTTATTTATGAAATTACTGATATGCAGCATATTATCTATTTATATCTTCGTATTTGTTTTGCTAACCGAATTTCGTTTGAGAAGATAATGATAGAGTTTAAAAAAAATTTAGTCATGATGTTATTCCTACCCATGGTATCCTGGTTAGCCATTCTGAGTCTTCTAGATTGACCTCCCAAATCAAGTCTTCTACATGTTGGAACTAGACTTCGCTTCCGTTTTCATGTTATATACTTAACACGTGATGTATCTACGATCAGCATATGGTTCATTCTTGTACTTCCTCATGTGTGAAATGGAAAGTTAAGTTTAACCTGTTCAGTTAGTGTTTACACATTTGCATTATGACTTTAGTGAAATTCCATCATTGATTTTTCAGTACCACTCGGATCAAAACATTATGCAAATACGAGTGACTGGTAGTGATAATAATGTATTTATTAACTGAAGCAATCAGCAAAAATTGAATAATATGCTTCTATTGTTGATTGAGACCGAAATGAATAAAAGTGAATTTGGAAGATAGTCTAGCTTTTAAACTTGTTACTTCCATCACCGACCGATGGTAAAAATCTCATTTAAAATGAAGCTACAATAAAACGTGTCAAATCGTTCATTAACAGTAATTCTATGACATATCTTTAAGATATTGGTCACTGACTGGATGTGTTTGAATTACTTGTTTACGAATATGTAAGATAATGAGATAGTAATATTTCTGAATCCTGTTACTTCATCACAATTTACACACTTTTTCTCCACTATTATACCTTTTCAGTATACAGTTCGAAGCAACTCATCAGAATTGAAGTTCTTTGAGAAGTTGAAAAGTGCTGAAGAATCAATTTTTGAAATATGGAAACAAAAAGTTGTTTATAACAGTGAGCTCCTTTGAATTTATAGCCCAACATTGTTAACGTGCAATTTTTAAAATCTAAGAAGTTAGAAATTATGAACTGAATCTGTAGTGACTGGTGTTGATAGAACCCCTAAGTTTGCAAGTTATTCTAACCAACAACCACCTTACTTCAACCGTAAAAATGAAATGAAAATGAAATTTCAACTTCATTCCCATTACCTAGTATTCTTTATTACTATCGTTTGAACTCAAGAGACTTAAATTCCGTGATATATATTTATACATATATTCTTGAAAATGCTCGTCATTAATGTACTATGGTCGACTTGCGAATAAAAATCTTATAATACTGTGATGAATGAGAATACAAGTGGAGACAATCGAACATATTTGAACACAGAAGTACAGAACATCTTGGTAGAATCTGAGAACCATACAGTAAATACTTCATTTGCGAAATGTCAATCCGTCGTCTCAGACATCATTGTTTCTTCGTTTCCACACCAATCATTCTCTTTTCTCGTTCACTTTTCTTCGATCTTCTTAACTTTCTACAGCCACGCATTTCACTTTCTATTGGTGATACATACCACTTATATCTGTCGACATCAATAGCACACACCGCAATACTTTTTACCCTGCATATACTGTTTCGGCTATTGCTCAAGTCTTAATCTTCGACGGACAGGGTTAACCTTGAGTTAAAACTGAGAATAATTGTAATTCCTTTTATTCCAGAATTTATGGCCATTTCTAGCCCAGTCTTCAATCTGATTGTATAACGCAGCAGGCAGTGGTACAGTATCATATCTTACAAAAATCAACTCATACCATAAAATAGATTGATTTCCTGACCGCCCATAAAATACGCCGAAAGCGAAAGATAACATATGAAAAAGGTTAATGATTAATTTATCATAATTAAGGTCTGGTAAAACATATAGCAATGATCAATGGGTCCACTGGAAATGTGAAGTAAGGAGAATCTACTAATGCAATAATACAATTATCTGATAGTTATACAAAAAAAGATAAACGATAATAACCTGTAATTTGATCCCAAAAGTTACACTTTTTTTGATATTCACTCCTCCACATCGACGATCTGTTGTTATAGTATTATTATTACAATGGACAAAGTTTCCACTACCTTTAGTCAGTCTCATTAATTGACGTTTGATTTAAACAGACATTACTTTTTTATTTGGCTGATGAATTGGATCACACTGAAATTATCGAGTCGTAATTTCGAAATCCCTCCGACAACTTTTGTTTAATGAGTGGAAAATGAAGTCAGGCAGATAAAAAAACAAGATTATCCAAAAGATACGGACTTATAATGAAAGTGTTATTCAGAAAATTATTTAATATAATTCATTTACCTACTAACACGTAGTCATTCTGTATTTAAAAGAATGGAATTTCACTGTGAAGATCTAAAGGGTTCAATCAGTCTTTTGAATTCTCTGTGTCTTAAATTTATGGATTCTCAAAGTCAATCTTAAGATTAGAGCTGTCCTCGTGAACTGATTATTAGCTCTAGAGATTTCGATGACGATAATTTTAGCATGATGAAAATACCTTAACTTACTATACATATAAAATGCAATGTGTTTTTTCATAGTTTCGATAACTTTAATCTTTATATCATGTAGTATAATGGGACACAGACCCACTGATTTTCAAGAATACAATCATGGTCACCTAAATCTTCCTGACAATAAACTTGTTTACCTTGGACTGACAACACTCTGAAAAACATCATACACCGTGAAATTCTGTAATAACTGGTCATCGAATAATGGTTTACTATATCCCATTAGTCAACAAACTATATTAGAACTGTGAAACTGAAGGCTATGTCGTCCAAGTTTTTTACAACTTACTACTAAAATCAACTTACAAGATTATATATTTTTGAATGTTTATCTCAACAGGAGACTACCATCACTCAGTCATATCAGGTCATTATATTCATCTATTGACAAGGATTCTAGTCGCTTATTTTAGCAATTAAAGACCCATTCTTAATCGAATCGGTCTCCATAATATAACCATAGTATGCTAATAAGTTTTTGGAAAAGTGATTAGCTCCAAGTCTTTAATAAACATAGTGGCTATTCTCCGAACCAAAAGTGATGACAGTTTGAACATACGCTTTATTGATTCGGCATATAAGGTGAATTTGAACAAACGTGTTTAAATACTTAAACATAATTAAAAAATGTAGACAACATTCAATTCTTGCATTATTCAATGGTAAACTTATTCATGTTTTGCTCTTCAGATGAATTCACAGCAAATTATACAGTTTGGCAATATCCAGTCACTGAGAAATATGGAATAATTTACAGTAGAATGCGTGAATGGGGCTTTTCAAATAGCCATGAAGAAACGATTAAACTTATCAACGACGGTTGGGTAATATTTATGGAAACTCCAAGGGCTGCTTATTACATAGCCAACGAATGCAAACTGAAACGATTCGGTAACCGTATAGGAAGTTGGTATTATAGTATGATGTTAATACCGCGTTCTCCGTTAACTTCTGCTTTTAATGAAATGTAAGTTTTCCGATAAATTACCTAAATAAGATCAAGATAAAGATAATAATCGTTTGGGTAATTGGCAATCTTATTATTCTTTTATTTGAAACCTAATCAAATTAATGTCACATTGAAATTGACAACCTTTATTTTAGAGAAAATATTTACAGCTATACGACACATTTAATAAGCTGAAATACTGCTACCTGTATGATTACCATATCATAAACTATGACAAAGCTAACGAATTCACTTACAATAAAGAACATGCACAATATCATTCCTTTGCTTCCTCTTCTCTGAAAGTACTGGTGGTTTTATAAAAATGAACGTATTAAGAAAACAAATGGTAAGTGAGCAACACATTTATTTCCATCACTTCACACTTCGTCATAAAAGAAATCTAAACGTTTCATTCACAGAATCAAACTTGATTATTTGAAGTGATGGAAACGAAAATGGCAGCTAGAAATATCTTGATTCTTTGACTAATTAGCATCATAGAAGGACTCTCAGTGTAGTCAAGCTGTATGTCAGCTTTTCAATCAGTTTAGTACAGAAATAATAAATCAAAGATAATTTATTGATATTTGACTTTTGTTAAGTTGTTTACGCAAGCCGTACTCGGATAATCCTATATATATCCACTTGCGACTATGTTTTCCATAAAAGTTACCGTCTTTTCTCGTTAATCCAGAGCCTGAGAAGAAAGTTACTGAAAACTAGTATTCACTTGTTCTATATAAGGTTTGTTATCTTATTTAAGTAGAGAATTACTAAAATTTCCTTTGTACTGTAAATACCAAAGTGTATGCTTACTACAACACATATTCCGCTTGAGTTCACTAATCTACTTGGAAATAATTACTATGAGGCTTCATAAACGCTATAGTATGCATAATCACCTCACTGAAGTCTGACTGTATCTTGAATTTATATCATGGATTATTTGAGGCTTGAATCAATTACTACAGTTTAGAGCTAGATGTAATTAGGACTGTGTGTTTATTTCATAAAAAGAGAAATAATGAACGTCTATATCCATACAACAATTTAAAATGGATGTTTCAATCGAAGTAAAAACGCATTGATGGAAAAAATAAGTTTCATTTGCGACTGAATAAAATCGTTATTCAGAAATTCAATAATAAGTATCAAGACAATCAAGCCTTACAAAATAAAAGACGCTTAAATTATAAGCCCTGATTGCAAACAAAAATATTTATAAACTGACAATATATTACAAAAAAGAATGTCACACACACCAAACTTCATAACAACAATTATTGCAAGAGAATGAACTTTATTATGTCCATAAACATAGCTTACTTTTCGCCTTAGAATTTATTCTCTGGAAGCAGATTATACACTGGACACGCTGAGAGCTAAGTGGTGGGCTAGTAATACAAGTCGATGTGGAACATTGTCTGTTGATGAAGGATATGATTTTGAAGAAGTTGGTGGTATGTTTTCATTACTTGGATGTGGACTTTTAATTGGCGTTGTATTGCTAATCTCAGAAATTGTTACCTTTCATATACTATTGAAGAAGCAACAGACACAGGTGAGAAATTTGTTGCATGTTTCTATTTACTTATTCTATGGTCGATTCATCTGTTCAACTCAATTCAACGAAAACTCATGACTTTTACAGATTTATTCACTAACGGAATTGTCCAAGTGGGACTAGTTTAGGAGGAGATGTACTCCGAAGATCTCATAACTTAAGAGAATGCCGATGAAGACGGCTAGTACTTTAAGCCGGTACATTGGAGATTTGTTTGTTATTGTTTCGTTTGACACATCTCAAACCAATCATGTAGTGAGAATATCACAAATGATTCAGTACCTTATATTTAATTTAACGATTGAAAACTAAGGCATATCAAGAATAGTGAAACGTCCAAATCACTACTTATCACTGTTTATTTTTTACATTGGTTGTATGTTTCAATTATACCAACCATCATCTTAATACGTGATTGTTAGAATAAATTATGATGATATATATTTAATTTATTTTTGGTCCTACTTTGACTTCTTTTTGTTCAATTAGTTTCTTGAATGTATTAATTTCCCCTTGTAAACCGGAGACGGTTAATTTCGCCGCTAAATTAGCCGAAAACATTGCAATTATAATAAGAACTAGCAGCCAGAGACCGGCTACTAAGATGCGTGTTGAAGCTGAACGAGGATCCATGTATTCACCTGTAGAAACGAAGAAAAGAAAATGGTTGTAGATAATGTTGCTTGTTGGTATCTCATTAAGGACTTCTCAAATGCTTTATTCAATAATTATCCAAGTATTAGAACTTTAACTCTTTGGACCGATTTGTGCTTTGTGCAGTCTGTGTTTGTAATATCGAAATAGTATGCTTACTTGTCATCCATTACTCGATTCAATATCATAACTTAAATAAATCCCAAATGTATCTTGTTTCATAATCGAATTTAGGTCAAACCTAATAAATTTGGCTTTTTTCTCATACGTGGAATATGATGTTAAAACTGTAACTTTTAATACCAAAAACCATATATTTACTGTTGTAACGCGTGTGTGACTGCAGGTTTTGATACGCAGCGTTTATATCGATCGGTTACAGTGACACGTAAATACGTACGAACGACCTAGTGTCCTGATTGGCCCTGCTTCCCTGTCTACCCCGCCAGTTGAGTCCAGAACGAAAGTCACAGCCTCTGAGATATGAATCATTATATTTCAAACACACTCTGTTTATATACTAACCAAGCATACCACATCGTACCATAAAAATAGGAAACAACATTTACACAATATTAAACAACTGAAGCAAATATCGACCAATAGGAAATGTACATTTAACGTCCAAGGACACTATTCGACTTGACACGATAATTATTGGCACATTCCTCTGCATACCTAACACCTCCCCCTCTTTTTTGAGGATCCGGAGTTGATATCCGGATTTTAAAATTTTCTGCGTCCGTCCTCCCCCGCGGAATAATGTTGGGTCCTCATGTACCCAAGTAACAGTTAGTCTGATTCTATTTAAAGCATATTTCGCGCATTGAGTAGAGGGATCACTAAAACTGACTAGATGATGAGGATTAGCGACACCAGACATGAGGTCATTAAGGTTTGATTCTTGTGAAACATATTCACCAGAACTCTTCAAGATTCCATCAGTGGATAATAGGTCACTAGAATAAACAGCTTCCTTGAAATTTGTATTAGATTCCTGACCATTATTTGAGGCATGATACACATTTTCTGGCACGAGTTCTTCTTGTGTGCTGTATACCTCACATGTTTCGGGCAACGTGGGATTTGAACCCACGACAGGGCATGCTTCTGAACTGGACATTTCTGAATCGCTGGACGGATCATGAGCGACTGCCTCGTTTGCATTGCTGCTCGTTAGGGATTCATAGAGGCTTTTGTTTTCATATTCATACCTCCTGCAGTCATTCTCGAGTTCAGTATGCAGCTGAGAAATTAATTCATCAATTTCTTTCACATCTCCAAAACACGGGAGATTCAGCAGTCGCGTACGTAAATTGTCCAAAACATTCAACTGGCACTGTCTGAAACGCTGCTGCTGGCGGTCAAGTAGTAGCTTTAATTGATCGGGAAGTATATTCATTTTCTGAGACAGCAGGGTAATAAGAAATACTGTGACCAATTAACAACAAATGACTTCCAAGAACACTGATAATAAATTCGGACGCTGATTGGTCAAAATAATTAAGCTGAATCTCGTCCAATTAGAGGGTTCCAAATTTTCTCTACCCCGTCGCCAATTGTTGTAACGGGTGTGGGTGACTGCAGGTTTTGATAAAGCAGCGTTTATATCGATCGGTTACAGTGACACGTAAATACGTACGAACGACCTAGTGTCCTGATTGGCCCTGCTTCCCTGTCTACCCCGCCAGTTGAGTCCAGAACGAAAGTCACAGCCTCTGAGATATGAATCATTATATTTCAAACACACTCTGTTTATATACTAACCAAGCATACCACATCGTACCATAAAAATAGGAAACAACATTTACACAATATTAAACAACTGAAGCAAATATCGACCAATAGGAAATGTACATCTAACGTCCAAGGACACTATTCGACTTGACACGATAATTATTGGCACATTCCTCTGCATACCTAACATTTACCATACTGAGTTTCGACATTTTCGAAACTTGAACCTTCCTTCTTGATACATTTAATACCCGCCAAATCTCGTATCACTGCTCTTTTTTATTTTCAGACTAATCGTTTGAGTGCTGATTTTAGATTTTAAATAGTTCTCATTGCATGATAATTCTAGTTTTGTAGACAACGCTGACGAAGTATCTGAAATCCATACAAATTCTTTTTTTATTTTTAAGCTGTGAGAATATCAAATGATGATTGTAATATGCATGGTCTTCGAAAGCAAATAATTCTGTATAAAAAGTCAAGCGATTTTCACTACACTTACTAATAAGGTTTATTTTTATTCTTTGACTTGAATGTTTTCACAAAAAAGACTAAAATCTCTTATTTTAGGTACAAAAGATATTAATACAGTTAAAATTGACGGGGAACCAATTTTTTCATTGTTTAAACTATGTTTACTGACTTAATTGCCCCCAAAAAATCTGGAACCTTGTTTTGTTATACTTCTTTGATATTCTATAACAGGTCGCAAATGAACCTCCAAGACTACCACCGCAACCTGTAACAAACAGTGTACCAGAAACAATACAAGAGGAAGAAGAAAGTACAAATAATTTATCTACGAGAAATCCAGTTACATCAAATTTAATAACAATTACTACAACTGATTATAGTGATCCTAATCAAGAAGCTATATCCTTGAATGAATAACTGATTATAACAGCTTCCAAAAATTGGTAAACTTTCAGTATTCATATAATCTATTTTAGAAAACACTCAATTATTTCAAGAGTATTTGATGTTCATCACAGTTGTAGAATGATTTCATTACTTTTATCATTAATTTATAAATGTGTATTCTAACAAAATATAATTTTCTGAACAAGGCATGAACAATAAGAACTGATGGAGAAAACGATTTCATTATGTAACAATATATATTATCACATATAAACAATAAATAATTAAGTTAAAAAATAAGGTATAATGGCAAATGTAGACTGTTATAATTCAAGGAAAATGAAACAGCTAGTCGAAAAAAATAAATCTCAACCACGTGGAATGATAAATTGTAGTCGACATTATTGCATATTCTTGTGAGAAAACCTAGAGATTGTAAGAAAAGAAATAAGTTATCGAAAAAAACACAAATGAGCACGTTGACATACGATTTGGTTCGGACGAAATGAACTTGTTGAGAAAAAGTCAGTAAATGGGTAGGGGTGAGAAGTTATTACTGCTCACAGCAGCTAATCAATTTTTTTTAATTATATACGTAACGTAGGTCAATTTCCAAGAATAGCCTGTATAGAGCCGGGTAGTTTTGAGGTTATTAGTACACCTATCACATGAAAGACTTCATAAATATCCACTTCATATCCGGTGCTAAACAATTACCTGAAGATCGACTCTGTTAAGAACTCCCTTCCTTATATCCAGACGTGTAATCTGATTTCGTTTTCGGAAAATGTCTAAGACCAAAAAACAAATCTCACTTGAATCTTTTCGCAAAACCTTTGCAAGAATAGCTTCAACTTTCCTTCAGAAAACAGATAATGTTTCGCTGATTCTCAAAATTTCACGAATAGACTAATTTACTCAATCAAACATAAAAAGATAGAAATGTTTATACTTTATAGACAAGCCTGAAAATATGGGCTATGAACCTCGTAATTTGTCGGGAATAACAATTTTATGATTATCTTAATCGCAGCGATTAATCTATTCCATCAGAAGTTGAGCTTCACTTTATTTTAATAATAATAAGTAATTTAATGTGGAATGACTTTAAAAAGAATGAAGCATGATTTCTGCAGATGATAGGATCTTTAAGACTAAAGATTTTAAGTATGTCGACCACAAAACATTCTGGAATGTTAATGTGACATTGATTTTTAGATCCTTATGTGGCGCTTGTGTAAAATGATGATGTGTTTTGTCTTCACTTCTAATCCGATCAAAACTATTAGAGTGGTTAGCTCTGAGAATTATTAATTAGTTAGAGAAGAATATAAGAATGAAAATAAATTACGGTTCAGAATTATGAGAACTTTTTATGAATATCAAATTTACAGGAGATACGGCTGCTAAAATCTTGAATAAACGGACGTCAAAAGCCCTTAATAAAACGTTCTATTCAGCTAAGCTCCGTGTTGTTTACTCTAGCCGGCCTGCCATTCACGCATGTGTTAAGAACAAACTTCCGCTTTGGGCCATATCAATGTGCATCTATAAATTTACTTGCTCCTGTGGGACAGGTTATACTGGCCGCACAAAGCGATCACTTTCCAAACGAATCTCAGAACATCACTCGGAGTGGCTTTTAAAAGGACATTGCAAAACAAACGCCAGTTCAATACAGGAGAACCTTATCAACTCTGGACACGTTGCTCCAAAAGAGTCGTCCTCTAAAATAGTGTACACAATCAAAGGAACTGGGTTGAAGGGGGTTTGAATTGAAAACTTATGTACTGCTGAGGCATTGACAATCCACCAATTCAAGCCCAAACCCTGCATGTAAAAACGATACTTTCAACCTCTCATCCTTTTTTGGCCTTAATTCCATTCTGTAGTATGCTTCGGTGTTTTTTTTAATTGGTGTATTGTAATTTTAAACCGTAGTCAGTTATTATAATCCTTCAAAAATGTCTATGATTATCATTCAGTTATTATTATGACCCTTATATTTTTGGTTTCCCTTCATATCTGTCAAGTGGGCAATTATCTTTCATTATTCTGACCCATAAATTATTTTCATCCTTATAATCTTTTACTTTTTTAGCTCCTTGATTATTTCACAACCTCAGTTGATATTCATAGTTTCGAATCTCTTTGTGGTGCAATCTGTTCTATCCTTCTATAGATATATATTTACTATACAACTATAAATACGAATGTTCAGCTTATGTTTCTTCGGAAAGAAAATATTATATGCTGAGTTCTCTTTATTTTTGTTCAGTGACATAATGGATTATTTTGATAATATTTCTAGTAAAGCTCTCATGAAAGTGTTTACCATCAATTTCGTTTTTTTCTTCTACACTTTTCTTGCTAATTTCAGGTTTCACCCAGTCGTTAAATACTAGGCATACTTTTTACTGATGTAGAATGGCTAATTCCAGCCAACTGGTTTAGGACTGGCATCACATATTTCGTCAGTCAAAGGCATTATCACTAGGCTATTTGCGTAGCCAATTAAACTTTCCCTTGGGTATTGAATGGCCGTCATTTAGAATGGTTGGAATACTTCATGTTGAAAGCCGAGATTCTTCGGAAGTCACGAGCCCGATGACCCTTCTGACAACCAGAGCAACAATCATTATAGGCACATGGAATATCCGGACAATATAGGAGACTGGGAAGACTAGTCAAATAGCTGCAGAAATAAGGAGATGCAACCATGCGGTCGCATCAGACCCAAGTTGGACAGAAAAGATTACATTCGAGAGGGATGCTGTTATACTCTGGTCGTCAAAAATAAAATGTTTCGCACACACAAGCCCTTACACTGATGCTGTCTAAAGAAGTACTTAAGGTACTTATAGGATGGGAGTCTCATGGATCAAAAACCATAAAAGGATCCTTCAAAACAAAAGAGAGACTTACAATGAAAGTTATCCAGTGCTATGTACTCACCAATGTTAGCCATGACGACGATAACGATCAGTTTTATGAAAGGCTGCAGTCGATTGTAGTGAACCAGACAGAAAAGAACCTGACCATTATGATTGGAGACCTAAACACCATAGTCGGAATGGACGACACTAAATATGAAGATATCATGGGACGACATAGACTGACAGGGAGAAAGGAACGAGAACGGTGACAGATTTTCAAATTTATGTGCATTCAACAAAATTGTTAAAGGTGGTACAATATCCCTCCACAGACGCATACACAAAGCTACACAGGTCTCATCGGACCACACTACAGAGAATCAGATTGATCATATTTGTATCACTGAAAAATTCAGAAGATTAATGGAAGACGTGAGAACCAGGAGAGGAGTTGACGTAGCTTCAGATCACCACCTGGTGGCAGCCAAGATGAAACTGAAGCTAGAATAGTACTGGACAACTGGGGGAATAGCATTACAAAGGTTCAATACAGCCTTCCTTCGAGACACTAAAGAAATCAACGAATTCAAGATAACCCTCAAAATCAGGTTCCAAGCATTACAAGATCTGCTGAACGAAAAACAACGAACTACTATGGAGAACAATTGGAAACGAATCCAAGAGGCACTAACTTCAACATGTCTGGAGGTACTAGGTTGCAAGAGGCATCATCATAAGGAATGGATCTTTATAGAAAAACTGGACAAAATCAAAGAAAGGAAAAACAAGAAGACAGCAATTAACAACAGCCGAACACGAGCAGAGAAAGTCAAGGCACATGCTGAATACACAGGATTGAGAAAGAGAGTGTACAGGAGCATTATAACTGGCAAGCAGAAATACGTGGAAGACCTAGCAGCGACAGTAGAAAAAGCTTCGACAGAAGGAAATATCAAAAAACTATATTACATAACGAAGAAACTTGCAGGGAAATATAGTAAACCTGAGAGATCTGTCAAAGACATGGAAGGGAAGCCAGTCACTGAGATTCATTAATAGAGGTACAGGTGGGTAGAACACTTTGAAGAACTCTCGGATAGACCAGCCCCCCTGAAGCCACTGGACATCGAACCAGCACACAGACCTTCCTACACATATCGCTCTACTAAAAATTGAAGAAATTTGCATGGCCATCAGACAAATGAAAAGTGGGAAAGACGTACGACAAAACAGTATACTAGCTGAAGCACTGAAATCAGACTTAGAAGTAACTGTAAGTATGCTCCACATTGTAGTCAAGAGGATTTGGTGGCAAGAACAAGTATCGACGGACTGGAAAGAAGGATATCTCATCAAGATACCAAAGAAAGGGGATCTCAGTGTGAGAACTACACAGATATCACACTATTAACGGTACCATGAAGAGTTTTCAACAGAAAGCTGTCAAACCAAATGAAATATTCAGAAGACGACCAGCTTCGAGGACAACAGACCAGATTCCGTAAGGATCGGTCGTGCACAGACAAAATCGCGATCATCACTGAACAATCAATTGAGTGGAACTAACTTGGAATCCTGAAGGCAAACGTATAAGAAGACCAGTGAACATACTGCAACGGGAATAGAAAGCAAACATCAAAAGAATTAACAGCAACTGGACAGAACTGGAAAGGATTCCCGAGGACAGAGTTTGATGGGGAAAACCTGGTGGGTGGCCTGTGCTCCACCACGAAAGGTAACAGGAGTAAGCATCCGTGACTTGAGTGACCCGCTGGATTGAGTTATTTACATAATTTGATTACTGAATAGTAACCAACTTCATTGTTGCATAGTCCTTATTGCAGTTCGAATTCAATCTACTTATTGCTTACTTGAAAATGTATATGCCTCTCGTTGTGGTTACAACACAGTAATTTGATCTTAATCTTGATCCTATTAACCAGTAGAATAAAAGACTAATGGATTTTTGAAACTTTGCCATTAGTTTATTTTTCATGTTATTAGAAAATCTATAGACTATTTATGTCAAAATTTGTTAAAAAGTATTCATATGAGTAGAGTATTCAGTGAAAATCGGGAATATATATTACTTCAACTTTCAGTCTAAAAGTTTGATCCCTTCACTTTAAGAAAATTAATCAAAATTCAGTTATCTTTTAATTTGATTACGTTCCTAATAGTTTTGAACCATTTGATTTTAATTGCCAGGATTCCAACGTATAATTTTTATTTACAATGCCTCAATATCTCAAAGTTTTTTAGAGGTTCGTTAGATGGCTTCCAAAACTATGTACTCTCAGGGAGATTTTATTTGGATGTGAACAATAAATAATCCTGGTATACAGGATTTCTACAAACTATAAGTGATTGGATGAGATTTTATGATAAAATTATTATATCCTGAAAACACTTATATCCTGTTCACTACAACACCAGGTCATTAAGCTAACATTCCAAGGGCTATTAGGCTCAGAAATCCACGTATATCATCCCTTAAATTCTACTCATTTATCGTTGAAGAATTTTCTCAGGAACTCTATGTGAACTACTGAATGTCTCTCAGACATTTCATAAACAAGTTTGTACTTTATTAATTAGTCCCATCAATAATAAAAGTTAGACATCTGCTTTATGGATCCAACGTACTTTAGATTGAGCGTAATAACTCTTAAGTTCGAGGAAATAATTTGGACTCTTTATCTAAGACTTAGTTGCTATTAATAGTAAGTATGAATTCCAGTTAAAAAACTAAGAATTATATTTCTTGTTACAGAAAATACCTGCGAATCATCCATCCTTATACCGGTTAAACGAGTTCAGATAATTGTCCTATTTCTTCATCATCCAGTTATCAGGCAAAATGTTATGAACTTAGGTTTTATGATTTAAGACACATACGGGAAGAGTCTGTGTTCAACTTTAAGTAGAAAAATTCTCTGAGCCAATCAACGAGAAGAACAAAACTAAAATAATTAAAAAGTAACTGGTTGAAGTTCTTAAGATGATGAAAAATGATATGTCAATCAACGAACAGGTCTTTGAGCGCATAAAACCAACAGGACCAATAATACCACAACTATATGGTTTACCTAAAATACACAAACCTGACCTACCCCTCCAACCAATTCTTGATATTTCCAGATCCCCTTACCACTCTATAGAAACGTAGCTGGCAGATCTCCTAGAACCCGCATTTGTATACACTCCATACATGACACTTTTGGATTCATTGACTACATAAAAAAGTGAATGTAAATGACAAAATTAACCTTTCTCTTGATATCGAATCACTAATTACTGATGTTCCACTCACAGAGACTAGTTTTATTGCAAACACATAAAAAATAGTGAGATTAATATCAGAATACCGAAAGCTTATTTGAAGGAACTACTATTACGTTGCATTTGCAATGTACAGTTTACATTGAACGACGAAATTCATAGGCAAAAGGATGATATAGCAATGAGATCCCCTTTTGGTCCATTACTATAAAATTCTTTCATGGACAGTCTAGAAAACAAATAACTACCGACAACTTCCATCTGTATAAAATGTACGCGGTTGATATTTTTATCATCTGTGACAACAAATATGAGTTAAGTCATCTTCTAAAGATATTTAATAACTGTCACCCAGCAATAAATTCCACACATGAAGTTGAAAACAAACAAAATATTCACTTTCTCGATATGGAAATGACAAGAAAACACGATGGAATTCTAAAAAGATCTATCTACAAAAAGTCCTTGTAGAATAGACACTTATCAAGCTTCCACAGCTGAGTCCCCAGTAGTCGAGAGCGAAACCTAATAATACCACTCGCTACGCGAACACGAATTTGTAGTCCCAAGGTCATAGATGACGAGTTGAGTCTCTTGGACGAAATATGATATGACGGGAAGAAAAGTCAATTTTCGATTGATTTACTTATTATAAGTTTTGTTCAACATTACTTCCCTTCTAATTCGATGTGATGATCATTTACTGTAGTATTTGTTTTCTTTTGTCGTATGATATTTTATTCTGTATAATATACGATATTCTTGTATTCAATTAACATAAACTATGCTCATTATGTGATTTGTTATAACTTTAAGTATTTTTCATATATGTGATTTCATCCTAATTATTAATTAAAATGGGTATACAATCAATATATAAATGAGTGTATTTTCGACTAGAGTTGTTGTCGTCATGTTTCGGGGTTAATAAATCATCACTTGTATCAGTCTTTGTGTTCTTACTTTCACGTCGTGGGAATCGCAGTGGTTCCTCTCTTCACAAGAATAGATGATAAGCGATTCTGACATAATAATCAGATATAAAAATTAGCGTTCAATCGAGAAGTCATATCAATTTACTTCATCACTGTGTTCATATGGGATACGTAAACTTGAACTGATACACTTTTCGCATCAGGTCGTACACTAACTATAACCAACTGGCTGATAAGGCATTGTTATTTAGCAGTCTGACAACTAGCGTAATCAACCTATTATACGGATATTATCAGTAAAAAGTGACGATTTAAATGAATAAATAACTAAAAAGTTTTCCACTGTCTCACTTTCTGCTTACATTACATGTGTCTGCAGGCAGTATATAAGGACACAGTAAACAGTTCATAGCTTAGTTGATTAAATAAATGGTTGTTTAATATTTATTGTAGATTAAAGATATGATAAGTATAGGAAGGAACAAAACTATCGGTAAACACATTGATGACATGTATCGAGGTTGTCTTATCGACTTCCCTTTATGGAATTGTTTACATAGGATGATATTTGGGAGAACTACAATATCATCTGACGGCTAATGTAAGTGTGGATGCCTGGAATGTTTTTGTTTGGTCTGCATACGATGGAACGAGGTAAGTCTGTTCGCTAATACATGAAATAATTTCCAAATGGTTTCAGAATTGCAGCTATAAGAGCGATATATGTTTTTCACAGGGTAAAACTATTCATTTTCCAACTTTGAATGGATTCGATCGAGAGTTCTTGAAGTGGAGTTAACCTATACTATTTTACAAAATGTGATGGGTTAACAAGGAATGTTAGAAACAGTAACAATAAACTGCGAGTCTGACGAACTCTATATGCATCTAGCAACTTACCTGCTCATGAGGAGCCAGGTATATTAGTCGTTCTGTAATAAACGAACACTCAGACGGGATAATCCAACGAATTTTAATATGAAATTACGGAATGTTTTAGTAAAATATGAGAACCATACATTATTTACTTCATTTGCGAATTTCCCTCACTTTTCTTCCATATCCTGTAAACTTCTTCCGAATCACGATTCCTTTCTAATTCCGTTTCCGTTTTCTTCAAGGTGACCTTCATCGCTTCCTGCTGCCAGGTTTTCCACCTTTGTTTCGTGTTACATACTACTTATGTCTGCCGATATAAGTAGCATACACTACAGTTCGACGATATTTTATTCAAAAGAATTCAAGAACATTATCCTGAGTGGATAAAAAGAGGCGGAAACGGCTCAATAAAAAGCTCATTAATTGAACATCTTGTGAACACAGGCCACCCAACCAAAGCAGACTCTGCATTCAAAGTCATATACACGGCAAGTAGAAGTCTTCCAAAGACAATTAGATTGCATCCTCTTAATAGTGTCGAAGCAATAGCTATACATCTGGGAAAACCAGAATTGCGTGTGCAAAAGAGACTGGTACAACCTCTTCTTCTACCATGGTTTTAATATTTCATAATTCTGTTTCTTCTTCATACTTTTCGTCCTCTACAAACATCTGCTTCCCCTTCCATCTTCTCCATAGACCTCCTACTCCTAACTGGTTTATTTCTGTTTCTATAATCCTCCTAATTACATTTCATTTCAATTTCAACATTTTATCTTATCATGCTAAACCATCCGTCTTAATTATAACTTCCCTATTTATCTTCATGATGAATATTTAAGCCCTTAACAATAAAACTATTATTAGTTTCCTTGACTAAAAAAATAATTTTTTTATTACCTTTGTTTATTCTAACTCACTGTTATCGCGTTTAACATAAACTTATTAACACTATTAGTGTAATTATTATCATCCTGAAAAATAAGTATATATATATATATCATCTTTCAGTTTAGCAGTTAACATCTATTTGGATTCGACTTCGCCTAAACCGCTGCAGAACTAAATATATATCAAAATCAATCACAAAACATCAGATATTTTATGCTCTAGTTATCATCGATTTCTACATCCGTTTGTTAAATGGTAGTCTAATCCTAATAATAAAACAACTAGATAACGACTCTCTACACATACTATGTACATATGGAGTTCCTTGACCGGACGACCTAGGTAACTAATGAAATTTATATTATGACCCAATTTAACTAGTGACTGATTTCTGTATATGTAGTCTTCAGATTATTCTCTTATAGTGACTCTGAAAGATTCAATTGAAAATTTAGTCGTGTTATTCACTGCACAAACAAATGTCAGACTAATTTATTACTAAAATAATTATTATATTTCAAAACAACTCACCTCACTAAATATGAGAATACGTTTGTTTATTCCACATAAAAATAATAACAATTGGATTTTACAAGAATAAATCTATTCTAAAACTATATATATTAAACGAAAAATAGAAATATATCAGACGACATTTCTGATGAAATTATTTTCAGGTTTTACAATATTGTATTTTTAATGCATCAGGTATTAATCAGTTATCCCTAAGACTCACGAATTTAATTTACGCTGTTCATTTAGCTTCCAATACGCATCCATAAATTTCGTCATTTCACAAGCAACTTTAGGATGATAAAACCTTGGATCACTCCTGTCTATTTCCATCTAAAACAACAACATAAATAAATAAATAAAAACCTCATGTGGAAAATAAGCACCTTGACAAAAAACATTAGAGAAAGAAATACAGAGCGTTAGAAAGTGAACAACTCGTTCTGAGCCCCCTCTATTACTGATTTTCGATAGTGAAATTTCTCTAACTCCATCATATAATCAATAAGGTAAACTAAGGTAACCGTTCAAGTTGCCGTCCAATGACACTGAAGGTAGACCATAGAATTGTTTAAATATCATGACATTTCGAAAATGCAATTAGAAGACGAATTTTATCAGGTTTATGTGATTTGTTTGCTCAATACATTTTAGACAACTTGATCACGCATATAATTGTTAAGACTTTTTATATGAAAATTAAAGATCAACTAGACAAATTAAAAGGTAAGCGGCAACAAAAATAATAATAAAGTACACATAAGTAATGTGAAAACCACGCTGGATAATAAATCAGTATTACCAGGGTAGGTTAAGTGTAATATCAAATTGTTTTTAAACACATAAAAGGAGTTTCAGTTTCTGTATAGCCGAGGCTTCAAGTTACTACAAACGTGGAATAATAAAGGGCTTATTCCATAGGGTCAATGATATTTGTGTTGGTAATGCTATTGAAGTAGAGACAGCTCTTAACTGAAGCATTAATGAATAACGGTTATTCATTAAAGTTTATAAACTGTTGGAAAGGTTTCAATACGATGTGATCTATGACGCTTCTGGAACCCAGAAGGCGATTCTACATCATGTTACCATTTAGAGGTGACTCAAATAGTCTCATGGTGGAACGGAAACTTAAATTAGCCATCAATAGGACATTTTATGCAACCCAACTCGTCATTTTTGAAGAGACAAGGTCTATTTCTCACCAAAAACCCAAACGGCACGTAAGTGATTGCGTCAGGTCCCCTTGTGCCTATAAATTTAAATGTATGTACCGAAACACGTACATAAGGAGGAGCAATCGTGATTTGCAAGGGTAGCTGAAAACATACCTAAATGACTGCAAAAACGAATGAATTCCAATGGTCAAATGAGATCGCAGGATTGACAAACATCTCCCTCCATCACGAAGCATTTGGCTGAGACCGATTATAAGGTTTATATGAAGTCAGACTTTGCAGTCATGTACAAAAGCCTTCAAAGGCATATACTAAGGTTTATTGAAGCCTCGGTTATACAGAAACTGAAACTCCTTTTATATGTTTAAAAACAATTTGATATTACACTTAACCTACCCTGGTAATACTGATTTATTATCCAGCGTGGTTTTCACATTACTTATGTGTACTTTATTATTATTTTTGTTGCCGCTTACCTTTTAATTTGTCTAGTTGATCTTTAATTTTCATATAAAAAGTCTTAACAAGTATATGCGTGATCAAGTTGTCTAAAATGTATTGAGCAAACAAATCACATAAACCTGATAAACTTCGTCTTCTCATTGCATTATCGGAATTTATCAAAGAGACTGTTTTAAATTTCGTAACCTTATAAAACGTTGATGACTAGATCAGCAATTGATTACTTAATAGTACGGACTTTCTCGGGTGACCTTAACGCTTTGATAATGTAGGCGAACAAGAATCTGGAGAGAGAAGTTTATAATCAGAATAAAAACTACACAAAGTGCTCTGTGAATTCAAGTAATTCGCAAAGTTATTTAAATTCGAAAAAAAAACTTTTCACACGTTCACATAACCCTAAATACAGGAATGATGACTTACTAATGGCTGACTTATCCAACCATATTCCTGATTTTCTGTTTGAGGTTCGATATATTTTTTTGGTGGTTCCAAAGAAGCGCGTTGTATAACCTTCGCAAAATGTTCTGGAAATATATTTGGCAAATAAATAGCATATCCATCAATGAGTATTTAGCCGCAATTTCTCACTAAAAAATGGTTTATGTTGGTTTCTGAGTTACGGTTTGGCCGTTTATCAAGATTATGAAACACCAGAAGGTATCATCAGTTTCAGTTTAACAAACGGTTAATCATGAAAAAAATAAATCCTAGAACGGGTCATGTGAACAATTTCATCTTTAAATGGAAACATCGATAGAGGGGTTTTACAATTGAGGTTTTGCCACATCCATAACTACCTTTACGAACTCCTACATTTTTAAGTGTAATTAGTTTGACACCAAGTATACACTTGATCAAGTTGTATAAAAGTGTTAGTGAATAGCACATACTTACATACCTACTGTAAAACTACCATAAGTATAACCCGACACAGTTATCGCGATAACTCTGATTAGGATCTCTTTTTAATTAATGCCTCTACATTAGTTTCTTCAAGAGAATAGCATCCACCGAATACGTAAGCGAACCGCCAACCAGTCATTTACATTACTTATTGATGAACCACATTTTTCATTAATTATGTGGGTATTTATAACAAGTTCTCTGATATGATTTTAAAATATTAATCCTACATTACAACAAATAATTAGATAGGAGAGCATATATGAGGGATATATGTTTTTATATTAACTAAAAAATAAATTTGCACTTTACAAGACTGAAAGTCAAGCGATAGCACTAAACCTGTGTCTGATCAAAATTCGATTAAGATTTATCACATTGATCATAAATATCAAAGTAAATCATTAATTAATAATTTTGAAAAAGTAGTATATTGACTTTTTTGGAAGACTAGGGCCTAACTAATTAAAATAATACAGTATCTGAAGTGATACAAGTCACAGAAAACATAAAGACTGTTGAAACCACCAAAAGATGACAGCTATTACGATATATAATAAATTAAGGTCTGTTATCCTTTCTGACGAGTTGTTATTCAGTCTGAAATAAATCTGAAATTGGTTTTAAAGTTGGGCTTCAAAAAGATTTTTCGATAGTAAAATTAGGAACTAACCATGAATAAACTTTTCTAAATAAGTATCTTTAGAAGATACAATACAAGTAAACAAAGTTTACGTTTTTTAGTACAGATATATAACGTTTTAAGGGTTACAGAATATCAGTTATGCTTCAATGTGAGACTGTCTGTCATTCTTAATTAAGAAAAATCACTAACCTATAAGTCTATATAGATAAAGTGTGACTTTCAACATTAAAACATTTGTTTTGTCCAGAAGTTACTTAAATACAAACAGGACCCAATTTTTATTTCCCAAGGGATACAATGGATTTAAACCACGTTTCATTCAAAACGCTGACTCCTTTTCTTCTTAAAACTTGACGTTATGTCTGAATAAAGCTTTTAAGTGACATCATATAGGGTAGAAGCTGTAATAATTTTCTCCAGTGTTAGTTTTCCAGATGTTTGGCTTTAAAAGGTGATTGAGTATTCTAGCGGTGTCAGGATCATAAATATCTAGTACTAGTCCTGAGCTAATATATATTTGCAGCAATAGATACTTCCCTAAAGTAAACAGTTCAGCATGTATTTAACACCTGACACCGATTTGGTGTGATTTCAATAGGCCAAAGTAACTGAAGATGCGGTCAAGCACTTACATTGTTCATTACCCAGAGGTAAACGCTATGTTTCTCGTGTACCACCCTTGTCTTGTCGCCTGAACCATTCTAACTTCACTAACATCAATCATGACACAAATGTACCCTTCCACCTACATGTTTATTGTTTTTCCTTGGTAATTATCTGTTTGGTGTTTATGAAGTATCGGGATTCGATATCCTATGAGTTCTGTACTGGAATCGCTGGAATCTACTTAACTAAACCTACTAAGTATACTAACCGAAAGAAACATTAAAATACGAATAGAACAGTATGACCATGAAAACAAGGTACTCTCTATTAACTGAATATACCGGTATCTTGTGGTTACATATTTAGCTTTTATGAATCATTTAAACCATTGAGAAATTTGCTCACGACCTCTATTCATTTAAAGTTATTCAAAAACTTACTGTCTTCAGCATCAGCTTCTTGTATTCTATTTGGTTTATCAGCTAAGGGATACACTAGCAAATTATAAAATATGTGAAATCTTACTTTTCTTAAAAGGATTGATACTGTATTCTGTGAATATTTTTTGATGTTTCAACTCTTTTTTAATAGTTTCGCTCATAATAACAGCCTGGTGTACATAGTTAGGAATCTTATTATTGCTGCTGTCAGACATGCTGAATTCTGTAGAGAATAAAAACCGTAAAAACCGTGAATTTATTTACGGTACCTCTTTTTTGTATACGGTGCATTTCATAATATGACTGAGTGATCCCTGACATTTTAGAAATTAGCAGTAAGCTTCGTCATTTTCCGGTGCTACCAACCAACTAAAGTTTGTAGTTCTTAAAACGTCGTAAACTAACTTTAGGCCCCAATTAAAAAGCCCAGGTAGTCTTACTAAATAGATAAAACACTCCCTAAAATCAGACGTAAACTTACATGATTTATCCAGAGCTCTCTATGAAGGCTTTGTAGCTGTTTCTATCAAAGTCTGGTTTAAAAAGAATCATCTTAAAAGTTTCTGAATGTTGTTGTGATATAAAATGGTGGTTGGAACTTATAATCCAGTAATCAGATTTATGCTATTTGCCAGAGATCACTAATAAATTCCTAGTAAAAGCTAACAGCCTTTTCATTAACATATACTAGAGAAAAAGGGCAGGATATGAACTCACTGTTCCGTTTCATAAGTCCCATTAATTAAACTGCGCATTCAAAATATAAGGTGACTTGAAACTGTTTGAGAACCTGACTTAATACCCTTGTTATCTCAAAATTTGCATAATGGTTTACAGGAGGATGGTAAATCATGAACACAAATTTTGCAAAAAAGGTTTTTTTGCGTATTCTGATAAATATTGTCAAAGCCAAACAATCCTTAAGCCTTTTATTTTTCGTACAACCTCTAAAGCTAATCAGTAACGTTCAAACCATTCTAAGTGATCTGCGAAAATGTATGAACGATTTGAAGGGATTTGTGCGAGGTTCGAAACAATACTGAACTATAGTAAATTTGTTGATTAGCTCCAAGAAAAATATGATGGGACTTAATAAAAAGGTCCAGTAAATACTTCGAAACCTCACCATAAGTATACAGTAGATTGCGGCCTTTTCACAAAACAAGTTTGAGCCACAATTTATATTGTCAATCAGCCAAGTACACTACCACTACTCTCACTCAATACATGACACAATATCCTAAAATCATACATTAATAATCTCTTCCTGATGCATTCAGGGTATTATCACCATCAAATAGTAAGAGGCCGTTAATTTCCAGTTTTATTGTAACTCTCGTCAACTGGAAACGTTATTTATCTGTTTAAACTCCGTATAAAGTTAAAAATGATGTATTAAGTAGATTCACGGCAATCAGAAATTGAAAAAGCTTCAGTCTACATGTATTCTTTTACCACACTCACACATAATGACATCTACGTTCAACAGTGATTCAGGACAGCACATTTCTGTTTTAAAATAAAGTTTTTTTTCATTTTCTTAGCAATGATAGTAAATGACAAATAATTCTTCCTCTAAAACATTATTAGAAGTAAAACAAATCTTAATTAGTAAGCTTAAACAAGCATAGTAAACAAGAAGTCTTTGAGCCATTAAATCTCTGAGACATTACATGCATTTATAGTGCTGTTAATCAGGAATTTGTGTTTGTAAGGTGACGACAGTAAGTGCTCGTAATAAATGTGTTGGAGTGCAACTCATTTATTAGAAAACTGCAGCACCTTATAAATAAACCATAATGCTAGTAGTCTGTTGGTGTCATCAATGATTTATTTGCTGTTCAGACCCAATTATTTTTCATTGATTTCACAAAGCCCTGAAATAGGTAGCAGCTTATATTTTGGTAAAAACGTAATGGGTATATATTGTTTTATGTAGTATGGTTTTTATCTGAAACATCAGTAACAATAGAGATCTTAAGAATAATAAAACATGAATATTGGTGTATTCGGCTTCTGTTGTGCAAAATTAACCAAAAATGAGATAGTTGATGAATGCGTGGTAATTAGCTTGTAAACAGCTACCTACTTTATCTCAACACCAATAAATTGCCTTCACACGTGTTCACGGTGTGTTGGTTTGTTTATAGCTACTGAAGTAAGTTTTGGACAGACTCATAATTTCTCATAACATATATAACAGTCAGTGATACCATTTATTCTAGTTAGCGTAGTAAGCACGAGTATTCAAACACGACAATTATCGAGGTAAAAGATACTCACAGATCAAACTCCGATTATGTTAAATGTCAAGAAGCTAATACAGAGATTGTGATCCCAGAATGGCATGTCTATCTTAACTACAAATACGCCATGCTCTGGATACTATTAGATAATCTTAATGATGGTTTCTTCAGAACAGAGTAACCTATGGTAAAGAAGATTTGGTATGTATCAAATCGACAATTAAAAATACGAAACCTTCCCTTCATAACGTACATAGGTTAAATCCATTTAATAAATTAGTGATATTTAATGGTTATGATGATGAATTTTTTACATCACCATTATCAGATTCAAGTACCCATATATATCCATCTAATATGTTTTTATTTACAACTCGATCTGTCATATAACTAGTTTCATCAAATGAGATAGGACAGCGCCATTTCATATATATTATCGTATACATCTGGAAAAATAGAAATTACTAATGAGAAGACAGTTTAGCAAAGGGAAGATTTGGTTGTTGGTCTTAACATGGTAGGATCATACATTAATATACTGTTTTAGGCTACATAAGTCCAGTCTAGTCATGTGACTATCAAAAGTAAAAAATTAATTATATTGACTTTCTCCGGTATGGTAAAATGATTGATCACGAATTCTAATCTACATACGTTCCTACTTATCACTTCCTGTCTAACTAACTGCATTACTTTCCCTAAACAATTGGTGGTGCACAGAAACTACTTCAGTTCACTATACCTCAACACAGCCCAACTCAGGTTAAACTAGTCCAATAAACGTTTACGTTATTTCATGGTATTGCAACACAGGTTAACTTCATTCCAGTACATTTATTGATCATCGTAATACAAGTTCTAATGGGCCCAATATAATTGTTTATCCTTTAGGAGCTAGACGGTAATATAATCTTTGGACCACCTCGATATCCTTATTTCTGGTAAAACTTTGTTGAATGAATTTCGGGGAAACCACCACAGAAAATCATGGTAAAATGCCACAAAAACCCCAGAATTTCCCCAGGTTAGGCAAAAATCTTCAAAGTGTCTAGGGAAATCTTTAGATTTCTACAGATTCTTATAACCTTTTCGGGTTTTTTCCTAAAATTCCCTCAAACTTTCAGGAAAACTACCAAGCTTATTATGACTTTGGGGAAAACCCCGAAATTTCCTAAGGTTTCCCTACTTTTGATAAAATACCTCAGCTCAAAATTGTACCAAGCAATTTATAACCATGGTGAGTAATACCTAAGTAGCAATTTCAAACTATTATTCTGGACAGCGTAAACAAATATTTTGAATTTTTGCTTCAAGTGGTAACTACGCCTCAGTTGTTCAAATAGGTTTGGACGTAATAGAAGCTTTCGCTTATCTAATAGTATCTAGTAGTAATAGATCACCTGTGCCTCCAGTTAGAAGCCTAAGTATATTTAACGATAAAGGATAGGAAAAATATTCGTAACTTCTCAATCGCACTATCTTAAGTAAATTTTTTGGAACCGCGGGAAAATTTTGGAACTTTCCACTAAGTCATAAGAAATATGGAAGTTTTCCCCAAGGTTTATGGAAATATTAGGGAAAACTCAAGATTTTCTCAAATATTTCGGAGATTTGACCCAGAACTGGGGAAATTTTAAAGCTTTCGTGCGATTCTCCTAAGCGCTGACTTGGTGTTCCGGAAACTGCAGCACTTAAGACTAGATACTTGTCCTGGCCCGGATATGGTTCATTCTGCCATACTGAAGGAGGCAGCCTCAATCCTGGCAACGCCGCTTAGCGTGATGTTTTCACACTCGCTAAGCCAAGGCAAATTACCGGAAAATTGGAAGTTGGCTCACATCACACCAATTTTCAAAGGGGGTCGACGCAATGAACCTTCAAGTTATCGGCCTGTGGCTCTTCTGTCATTACCTTCAAAACTCATGGAGTCCCTGATATGCGATGGTTTAAACGATTATCTACTGTCCTTAAACTTCTTCTCACCCCAACAGCATGGTTTCAGGAAGGGTTACTCTTGTATAACCAACCTGCCGACTGCGGTGGACAGATGGACAAGCATCCTCGATCGCAAGGGAAAGGTTGATGTCATATATCTTGACTTCTCAAAAGCTTTTTATAAAGTTAACCACTTGTGTCTTATCAATAAGCTCAAACGACTAGGTATCAAACCACCTCTAATCGATTGGCTTACTTCATACCTAGAAAATCGACACTTTAAGGTTAGGGTTAATTTCACTTTATCTCAGGCTATGGAATGTCCTAGTGGGGTTCCCCAGGGCTCAGTATTAGGGCCTCTCCTCTTCTTGATCTACATAAACGATCTTCCTCAACAGGTAACGTCAGACTTACTACTTTTTGCCGATGACGTGAAACTTTGGAGAGAGATACGCAACCAAGACGATACACAGGCACTTCAGGAGGATCTGACTTGACTTCAAAGTTGGGCAGACGATAACGGACTTACCTTTAACACTTCAAAGTGTAAAGTAGTCCATCTGCGACATGTCGCAGACTACAGTTATAACTTAAGAAATTCCTCTCTCGTAGTATCCCAAGTCGAAAAAGATTTAGGAGTCCTGGTGCCCCATGATTTAAAGTCTTACGCTAATTGTGACAAAAATGCCTTCCGAGCAAAACTTGCACTGGTAACATTGAAGCGCATTTTTGGCCAGTTTGACGGAAGAACTTCCCATACATTCCTCAATAGTTTTATCCGTCTCTATTTAGAGTTCGGAAACATAGTACTCCCCCGACACTCCAAAAGGACAAGGTCACTTTGGAGCGTATCCAATGGCGAGCCACTAAATCAGTCCGAGGACTCAAATCTAAGCCTTACGAAGAACGCCTCCATTCACTAGACCTTTACCCATTAGAGTATAGGCGTCTTAGAGGTGATTTATTAATGGCTTATAGTATTCTCAACACTTCTGGACATCCTCTTAAACACCTACTCAAGCTTAGTTCGAATAATAACCTAAGGGGTAACACCCAGAAACTGGAAACTCAATATAGCAAGACGGGATGTAGACACAAATTCTACGCCTTAAGAGTTGTCAATAGCTGGAATCCTCTGTCAGCCGAGCTAGTCCAAGCGACTTCTCAGGAGTCCTTCAAGAGGCAACTTGACCTATTCTTAAGGACCAAGGACAGTATCATACTATGATTTACCAATTTCTTTTCCTCTTTTATTGTTAACATACCTAGGTTCCTGCCTGGAGGATTTGGTGATCCCCTGCTACTAGACACGGAAGCCTGTTAAGCGAAAGCTTCTTCTATTCCGTCCACAACCATTTGAACCATTTGAAGTTTTCTATTGCAGTTTCCGCGAAATTTACCCAAACCGGACAAAATGGGTAGATAATATTTCCCAGTTACACATCAGCAGCCAACAAAACTAGAATCACGACTTTTGGGCAGGAAACGACGCTAGATTTGAGGCTAAGAAGTCAATTCCCCTGGGTAGTTACCGTAGCACATCCAGAACTCCCAATAGAGGAAATAGACATTTTAGAGAGATATGAATTTCACGTAGACACCAAGAAACGACTTTCGACATTTGAAGCAACTTCAAATTATACAAAAGTGAAAGAAAATCATGTCTCTTCACTAGATCTAGTACAAACTCCACCAGTAGTAAGTACTGAGTCCCATTATATATTCGCGGAACCTCCAAACCTAACCGAATTCAACCCCTGAGCTTCCAAAATAAGCTAAAGGTAAGTCGTACAATCAAAACTGAAGGGGCGCCTGAGTTCGCTAGACCCAAAGGTTAAAAACCAGATAAGCTTGAGACCCTTAGAGTCACATTTAACTATACGCTACAGCTGGGTGTTATCCGTCTCTCAGATTATCAATGAGCATATACACTACACAGTGCTCCATCGAAAAATGATGACCGGCGACAGTGTGGGTAATACAAATCCCTCAGCCATCAAACGGTACCAATCAGGCACTGAGTAATTATGTCCAAGATTTTGCAAACAGCTTACAGGGTATGGACATATTTATCAAATTTGGCCTGATCGGGACATACCATAATACCTGGTAGCTGAGAATTTGAGTCGTGCTAAGTATTCATGCGATGCAACTTTTTAAGTTTATAGTTGTTATAAAGTAGACTTGTAAAGCGCATGGTGTGAACTATGACCATGGAGAAACACGTACTTCTAGTTTGTTTCAGATGTCCGAAGTTCCATAGTTGTGCCCTCAGAGCATGATTCTGAAAAAAAAGAGAAAAGAAACCGAGGAGCAGCAAGGCACTTGGATATGAACGAGAGTAAGCCAACCAACTAACGATGACTTGATACCTAATCGTTTGAGCTTGTCGATAAGACATGCATGATGAACCCTATCAAAAGCTTCTGAGAACTCAAGGTATGTGATGTCAACCTTCCACTTGAGATCAAGGATGGTTGTCCACGACGGTCAGTAGGTTGACTATACGAGAATGACCCTTTCTGAAAACGAGCTGTTGGGGCTGAAATAAGTTTGTGGATAACAAACAGTCACGTAGACCATCTCATATCAAGGACTCCATAATTTTTGACGGTATCGAGAGCTGTTCTACCGGCCGGTAGCTAGCGAGCCAGCTGAGTTGACCTCCTATGAAAATTGATGCAATGTGTGCCAGTTTTATCTGATTCTAAAGCCTTCTTCTCTTACTGCCTTTACGTATTGGTTCCCTGATTTTTTAAACGGCTCCTGTGTTTTGGATGCATTTGTTGTACACAAATTTTGAACTTGTTTGTTCATAACTTTTGCCTCGTACAAACCGGTTTCACTTTGATTTTTTGCTTGATATTTCGGAAGTTTTGCTTTGGAAACCTAAAAATTAAAGGTTTGTTTTGTAATCCATCATCAAAACAATATATTTTGGTTCATTACTTGCGATTTACGAATAAAATGTAGTACCTGAATTTGAATTCGGCTCTATTGTCGTTTGGGGTCGTTAGTTACTAGCGGGTCAATCGAACGTGCTTCAATAACGGACGAGAGCAAAATGTGGACGTAATAGTCACCTTTTCCTAAGGGGCCCTGATTGTGAGGATGTCTATTAGAAATTCTCCAATTGTAAAGGGCCGGTCTACGCGTGACAGTTTCTGACTATTTCTCCGCCGAGTGTCTAACCTCGGGTTTCCGAATAATCCTCAATTCTTAATGAAGCAGAACATCCGAGTCTCAGTGGAGTTATCATCTCCCATGCACTTGTTCATATCTGACTCCATTTCCCAACGTAATGTGTTCTTTCTCTCTCCTCTTTCCCACTTCCTTCAGGATTCCAAATAAGGACGTGCCTTGTGATGCAGGTTGATGATTTGCCCAATATGTATAACATCCATTTCCATCGTCTTTGCCTAATTTCCTCTTCAGCTGGAAGCTGGTTTGTTCTCTCCCCCCGTAGACTGTTACTGATGGTGTCTGGTCAATGGGTGTTGAGTATCTTGCGTAGACAACCATTTATAAATACTTGCACCTTCTTGATGATGGTTGTAGTAGTTCATTAAGTTTCAGCTCCTCACAGTGGAACTGTCATGATGTTCGTATTAAACATTCCAACTTTGACCTTGGTTGACAGTTGTTTTGAGTTCCATATGTTCCTCAATTGTAGGGATGCGACCCTTGCTTTGCCAATCCTCGCCTTGACTTCTGCATCTGATCCTTCTTGTTCATCGATGATGCTGTCCAGGTACGTGAATGTTTCCACATCTTCCAGAGTTTCACCATCAAGTGTGATTGGATTGCTGTTATATGTGTTGCATTTGAGGACCTTGGTTTTCCCCCTGTGTATGCTGAGGCCTACTGATGCAGAGACTGTTGCTACACAGGTTGTCCTTACCTGCATTTGTTCGTGTGTATGCGATGGGAGGGCCAGGTCATCTGCAAAGTCCGAATCGTCTAATTGGTTCTGAGCTGTCTGTGCTTTCCTTCAGATGTCGATGTCTTCATAATTCAGTCAGCCACTAGAAGGAGGAATAGACAGGAGAATAGACAGTCCTGTTTGACACCAGTCCTTACTTGGAATGCGTCTGTCAGCTGTCCTCCATGCACGACGTTACACTGTAGTCCGTCGTATGAGTTCCGGATAATGTTGACAATCTTCTCAGAAATTCCATAGTATCGAAGAATTTTCCATAATGTTCTTTTATCTACACTGTCAAACGCCCTCTCATAGTTAATGAGGTTGATGTATAGTGACGAGTTCCATTCAACTGATTGCTCGGCGATGACCCGTAGTGTCGCAGTTTGGTCTGTGCATGACCGACCCTTACGGAATCCAGCCTAATGATCTCGAGGTTAGGCGTCTACTGAGTCTTCCACCCT